AGTAAACAAAAAACTCAGCAAATTGAGCTAAAAAAAAATTTCAACTCAATATTTTTAAAAAATAGCTTTCATAGAAAATAACATTGGATATTTTTGTGCACCAAGAAATGATTTTGTTTTAATAATGCAATTTTTTCAATCAAAAATGTTATGTTCTAGAATAGAAAGTTAACGGAAAATTGTTTCTATAGCTAGACCAATTTATTCGAATAAATAATTAGTAACATAGTATTATTGAACATTAGACAATAACTCATTTCCTAAACTGCTTATGTTCAATTTAATTCTAAGACGATTAATTTTTCAAGAATCCACAATTGAAGCTAAGTTTAATGAATGTAAACTCTAAATGAATAACATTAAAAATTCAAACGACAGCATAATAACATAATTCAATAAAAAAAAAAGACTTTATTTATGGTAGCAGTTGGAATAGAATGAAGATAAAGAATGATTTTCATTGCTAAAAAAATGTAAAATAAATTCAGTAAATTTGTGTAGGTGAATGTATTCTAAGAGAACAGTGGAAAGTGAAAAATGTGAAAGAAAGAAGAGACATAGAATTGTGTAGTTAAATTGATATAAGCTGCTGAAGGGGACAGAAGCTACTGTCGGTAAAACTCAACTGATGGGGGGGAGTGGGAGCTAGAGATAGTAAAGTGGGAGTTTGGAGCTTTGGAAGCTGCTGCATTGGTGCTAGCTGTTGGGAAAAAGATCAATAGTAAATCTACTATTCAACCAGTACTTGGTCCCCAGCAATATTCAAGGTCACTTCTGATCTTGTTCGTAAGCTAGTTTCTTTATAAACAATTTTTTTTTCATTTAAACAAAAAAAAATTTTTTTTAATTTAAAAAATTCATAGATTTGTTTAATTATTGAAAATTTTTCATTTCAATTAAAACACTTTTCATTTCAGCAAAACTATGCTTTATAAACTCGATTCATATTTTGTCTAGTCGTAAAATTATACATAGAAGAGAAGAAAGGATTATGGGCCACTTTTTGTTTTTATTTAATTATATTTTACTCTGCTAAATTATCATCAATTGTCACTTTTCAAAGTTTCTGTTTATTGACAAGAAGTTATTTTTTAATATATTTGTGGGTTAGCTAATAGAAAATGCAGTGCATTGGTATAATAAATGAATGGACCATATTAAAGACTGGACCATAATCCTACCTCCTCCTCCATGTTTTTGTTTTTCATAAAATCAGTTTTATAATGATGTGATTTGTTATAATATATTATAGAAATTAGAAGTATCATAAAACGATTCTTGATATCTGTCGCATTGTTTAAAAAATTAAATTACTTATAAAAAAAAAAAAACTTTTTAGAGATATGTAACAGCATGTAAAATTCACTTGTCAAGTACACTATTAAAATTTCAAAAACGATAAAACTTTTTATCCTAGTAATCATTTTCTATATTAAAATAATTCTTCATAAATAGAACGATGTAGTCAAATGTAGGAATGCTTTAAAAAATATTTTACAAAAAATAAATCTCCATATTTTTTCCATTAGAAAAGCAAAAAAATAAATAAATTATACATCATCATTACATCTCTATTTATTCTATATAAAAAAAAAATTTTTTAATATTCAACTGAATTTCATGACATTATTTTGAGGAAAACAATTATATCTTCCTTCAAATATTATGTTTAATGTTTAAAACTTAACCTTGGTTTGGAGATAAATTAACTTCATGTGTGAGCATACTCTCACTGAAAGATCATCAAAGAAATGATACTTCAAGGAGGTAAAGATTTTGAAACAAAGATAATTTAAAAACCTCTAAAATTTACTCGACAATTTAGTAGCTAAGATTTAATCAGCAGTTGATAAACTGATAAGCAAGGCAATTCAGTGTGAATACATTAATTTGATAATTTTCGATACTATCAACGATGACGAAGATGTGGTACATCATCATCTATCAGATAAATCAGCCCATACTTGATAACTTGACATTTCACTTGAGAAACTTCACTTAAGAAACTTAGTTGCAAGCTAAGAGTATTGAAGTCAGAGCATCAAAAGTATTGAAACATAAAAATCTGATTCCAACCCAAGAACAAACTTCGATCAATAGTGTGTAGTCAGAAACAGACAACAAAAAAATGAAGATAAAAATGTTGTCGATAAACCAGAAAGGGGAAAAGCTGAATGTTTTCCTTTTGTGCTTTAATAGCATGCTCCAAATCCAAACTGCCATCTCACATAGGCTACATGCATTTTCTTTTACTTCAAAATAATGGAAATCATCAGATAAATGTATCTAGTCAGCAACAAAGACTCTCTGTGAATCAATGATTCTAGCAAACTCATTCATTATAATAAATTTTTATAAATATAGAAGTGATAAATTATGCATTCTAAGTAAAAATACTCGTTACTCATTAACTATCTAAGTAGTTAGTAACATTCAGAACTCATGGATTTACCAACAAGATTAATTGAAAATCATATTGAATGTCCAAGTGCTTTATTCACTTGGCTAATATACAGTATTGTTGATGATACTGAATTAAGCTTGACAGTAAGCTTCTGGGAATTTCAGCGTAAAGTGGAGGTATTAGAGATTGTTAGAGTAACATGGATACATTGATAGAAGAGTTTATCTAGAACAATTAAGGTTTATTAATATTTGATAGATGTTTTAGTTGGTGGTTTTATCAAGTTCCAAGCATTGATCTCCAAGAAGACAAAAGATAATCTAGGTTTATTTCTATATTTGCTGCTGATTCTTTTTTGTTCATAACAGATTATCTTTACTTATAGAATTATTAACTTCAAAGAAAATGTTTCAAGATCTCAATGAGTTCGGTTTTTTTAATGAGGAATATTCAGTACTACAAGACAACCTAAAGAATGTGTTCAAGAATAGTTTCAAAGAATCTTCTTGAGACTCACCAGGTGGCTTGGAAATATTTCCCTTGAGAAAAGCTTTACAGTAAATATCTTGTAGCATCACATGTAACTTGAAAATATTTCAACACTGGGTCGTGGATCAGGAAGAAATATTCTTATTCTATAAAAGTATCTATTAATTGGAAGTTTTTTTTCTTTATTCATTAATACCACGAGGTATTTTCAATTGTAATATGATCAAATAAAAAGAAAAATTAATGAGATAGTTTTTTAATGAAGAGAAAATGTAATTAGCACTTGATCATTTCAACCAATTATATTCTATTTGCTAAGCAATTCCAGTTTTATATGAGAAAAATATTAAATATTTTCTACAGCCACCAAGAGACGCACGATATTTCGGAATAAAATCCTGTTGACCTACTTACGTTAATCGTTATATATTTACATAGCTTCTGTGAGGAATACTAAAAGCTTAAGGAATATATTGGAGACTCATCAATGTGACAATTTCATCAAATACAATAACTTCAGGGGTAGTTTATAATGTACATTCTTGGATAAATATCTCTTTGTATTTTTAGTTAAAAATTGATGAAAAAAAGAAACTCAATAACCACATACATATGTTATTATTATAGATAAAAATATAATTAGAATGAAAGGTAAATAAAAATTAACATGTTGGTGAACTTTAATACATTATAGCTCTGACTTTATGCACGATATAGTACGGAAGTGCGTGCCATATGGCGGGTATATTTACTTCTCGAGGGGAAAAGTAACATAATGGTCGTCAACCTTGACAGGATTACTGTAAATATGGTGATACAAAAGTATCCAATTTTCATTCTAATCGATTAGACAGTTTATGTTATTTTCAGTAAAAGAAAACTACTAAGCTTTTTTTTTTTAATATATATATATTTAATATTTTTTTTTATTTAATTTAATAATATTTTATTTTAATTTAATTTAATATAATAATAACATATATATATATATATATATATATATATATATATATATATATATAAATAATATTTAGTGCAAAACAAATTTGGAATAATTTTATTCAGTACGAATCTATTGAAAATATTTATTGTAGAGAATAAAAATTTTTTTTTTTTCACAGATATATTGACTAAAGTAAGATGTTCAATATTGCTAGCACTTAAGCGACGATGCATATAATATGATATTCTATCCATCGCTGCCTATGGACTCGATTGATCGCACCAATTGTTTTCAAGTAGCTCCATTTCTCATTATTTTTATTTCATTTTATCCTGAATTTTTCTGAATTTAATCAAATGTTAAGATCCTCATTTATATTGGTAGACAGAAGTGCTCTACATGATTCAAGAAACTTAAATTGAGATTATTGATTATTACAAAGTTCATAATACTTAAAAAGTCAGCTAAAATGTTTTTTAAAACCTTCCAAAAATTTAAATTTCTATAAATTAATTATTCAACTGTTTTTTTAGACATTAAAACTCATTAATATTCGACAAAAAGAAGAATTAATAAATGCTATTTTTAAAATATATGACCTATAATTTATTCTCTTTTTTTTCGGAAGTATCTACTTTAATAAGATTGATTGAACTAGAGCATTAGATTTAAAACATTTTTAAATAGAGTTAAAAATAAACAGAATAATTAATAATAGAAATGATGTTTGAAGTCACGATAAAAATCACTGATCAATATTATAATATATTGTAATAATTCTTGACACGATAGGCTATCGTTTCATGCCATGATATAGTGACACTTATAACAGTCACGCTCATATGAATACTTTACACAATTACATAAAAAAATATACTCATTAAACATATGTGCTTCCGTTCATATTTTTTATATTTGACATTTTTGTAGACTAGAATATTGAAATTTTTTTCTTTTTCATGAAACATGACCTCCACATTTATGTACTTTGATAAAATCCAATGTATATGTAATAAAACATTTGTATTTAAACATTACTTGAATTGATTTTTTAATCATTTGTTTGATTTGAATAAAGTTGGAAACACTACCTTTTTTATGTGTAGAAGCAAGAATATTTTTTTTGTAAATGCATGAATAAAAAATGTCATAAATTTTACTTACTTTCATCAGTCTGAGGTGCTGATAGAATCGCACTGTGCTTCTTCTTTACTTCCTCTACATTTGTCTGAATATTGTCAATCATTTCACGTATTTCTTCCACCTTGAAATAAAAAAAGTCATGTTAGATTAGGAGTAAATATTGATGATAAAATGACCAATAAATGACCACCATTCAGTGAATGTGTAATATGTACCAACATATTAAATATTATTATTAAATTTTGCTTACAATTAAAACAAACAATGTCAATATTTCAGGAGTATAGCATAAAATAGCTTATAATTTTGTAATTAATTATATTCGTGGTGGTAATTTATTAGGATTTTACTTTAGTTGTAGCATCATCAACTCCAAATAAATAATAGGACATTTTAAAAGATAAGATAGATAATTTTTTTAAATCATCTTAACGAATAACATACTTTTAAAATTAGATTTTTTAAAGAGCCGAGTTATGTGGATAATTTTATTGAGTAAATTGTTCATTCAAGCTGTAAAAAATAGTTCAACACAACATTTTGTAATGAGAGTTTATCGCATAAATATTAAATACTAAGAGAGTTGCATTACCTTAAGTCTTTATAGACTACTAGAGAATTTCCTGATAGTTATTTCCGAAACATTAATGCGGGTAAGATCGATATTTTCAAACCACTAACACTCTATACATACTTGATGAGTATTTTTAATATATCCATTGTTTAACCCAAAATTAACATGCACATTTAATGAGTATTTTTTTATCGAGACTTTTTTTTATTAATTATAAATGAAACCACTCCAAGATCATAGTATGCCTGACTAATGTTGAGTTATACTACTGAATTGACTTTTAAGTTTCAAGTTATGTTGCTGTACTGTAATTAAAAATTACTGAACCATTTAAACTTTACGAGCATATTAATTAGTACAATTTCCGTCGTGGATTTTCATATTTTATTTAGCATGTAATTATTACATTATGCAATAAGATTGGTTAATTAATCATTTAAATGGTTTTTAGCAAGTAATTATGATGGAAATTTAATTCTTTGACAATTGAAATTATTTTATTTTTTTTCTTATTTTTTGCAAATATTCTAAAAATGTTAATAAATGATGTTTATAGTTTTTTGTTAAGGAAAAAGAATTATTGAGAACAATAAAAAATTTCTGGTGTTTTCTAATCTAGATAAAATTGAAATTATTAAAAAACTTGAGATAAATTTTTATGTATTCAGTCAACAGCAGTTCTAGAGCTCACTGATGCTAGACAATAGCTGGTAGGATGCCAAGCTTTACTTCTACTCAAGCTTTTTTGAGATTTTAGTCTTGTTTAAGGAATTTTTTTTTTTTTTTCATCTAAATATTAAAGTTACCTTAGAACATCAAAGTTATTAGTAGCTATAATAGATTACAATATAATTTTTTTTACAATAGAAAATATTAATAAAGTCAAAAATTAAATTTCATTCTATGAATGAAATGTTTAAAGGTATTTATAGGATTATATTGCATATTAAAAACCCTTTATGTAACAAAAAAAGTGGAATTTAAAAGCGCTTAATTTTTTTTATACAATCATAAAAATTAATTAGAAAAGTTTTAATTGTGTGCACTGAAATATTTTGAATGGAATAAAATTTATTCAATAATAATATATAGAATTCAGTCGAAAAATTAATTAAAAAGTAAAAAGAACATTTCATGGCAACTATTAAAAAAAAAAAAAACATTTATTTACTGATATTACTTTTTTTTTTTTTACACTAAAAAATATTTTATTCACTAGAAATTACGTGAGAAAATTTTCTAATTAAATTCAAAGTATTACATTGGAAATAAATGATTAGTGATTGAGAAAAAAAAGAAAATTCAAAAGGGAGAAAGCTGTGAAAAATGACAAAAAGCTACTGAATACAATGCAATACAAGAAAATAAGTTTGAATCGTGGGACCAATTTCCCTTCGTTCAATAGTTAAAGCACATAACTACATCTCAATTCAGGGGACAAAACTTTATATATGAACGAAAGGTCACAGGAGAGCGATAAAGAATATACCTAAATAAAACTTTCTTTTTATAAAGAAATCTATTCATTATTCACACCAATACATACATATTATTGTTGCTAAGTAAAAATATTTATAAAAATAATCAAATGTATTTTACCTCAATAATTTATCTTATCAACAATATTAGGCTTATTTTATGTTATCATTTATTCTTCATCTTTAGTATTTACTCAAGGCTATAATTCCAATTAGAAATGGAATATTCAAATGATAAATGAAAAATAATATTGTGTAACAATTGAATAAATAATTAAATCATTTATTTTTTAATTAATCTTTTAAATCCACATCTTTACAAAATAACTAATAAAAGAAAATAAATATTAAATTCATAAATAAATTTCAAAAATCAACATCTTTCTGTATTTTTCATTTAAAAAATTACAAAGAGAAACAAGTTAATTCATTAATGAATAGAATGATTAAATCTAAAAACTAAATGCTACATTGAAGCATATACTATGGTAGAAATTAAAAAAGTTTAACGAGTTAACAAATATTTAATAAAAGAAATATCAACTGAGAATTTATTAAGCAGTGAAATATTTTATTTACATGATAAATTGAGTAACTTAATATTTCTTTTTTTCTATTATCACTTTTTTTTTTTCTTTCATTAGTTTAATTGTCAATCAGATAAAAAAGCTTTAAAGAAGTTAAATTTCCTTGGACCAAAAAAATTCAACATCTCTAAAATAATTCATAACTTTCTGATAACAATATTATTTATCCTTTTTCTTTTTTGAAAAATATAATCTTGAAGATGATAAATGTTCTAGAGTTGTCTAAAGTATACCCAAGTATCTATCTAAATTTTATTGCTCCCTAAGGTTTAGAATACAAACGTCATGATCGATGAAACACAGCTTCTGGGTAAAAAGTTATATACCTAACTAAAAAATAAATTAGTTTAGATATTTCTTTATTTCGAAATGGAAAATCATTTCAAGAGATGTGATCACGACAAGAGGGAAATGATCTTGATAGGATTACGGTTAGTAGTGTGGCAGTATGCCAGGTTAACCAGTTACATTGATATGTGGAATATAGTATAGGATACACACAAACACATATTGATGTTCTCACACAATGGTCATATCGTCATATTCGTTGTCTCTCCCTTTTCCTTCGGTTTGTGGGTGCTTTCGCGTCATGCAAGTTTAGTTTGTACAATCAAGCTGGAAATGATTTAGGTGGAGTAACAGCTCTAACCAACACATACATACATACTCTAACGCACACACATTTATAAATAGTCCCAAAGGATTATTGCTTTGAAATTCTCTATGCAGGCAATAATGTCGAGAATCTCATAAAATTCAACTGAAATCACTATTCTGCAAATTATTCCTCCAGGAATTATTTTATGTTTATTGGATTGGTTTTTTTTTTATCAGCTGATGAAGAGAACAATTTACCCTTTTCAATGATAACCGTCATAATTCCACCGTTGAAATTTACTGTTATAAACAACTCAACACTTGGAACATGATTAATTCATCATTTTAAATCCCTTTTTTTTTACCAACAAATTCATTTTTAAACTCTTGAAAAATATTTCATGTTATGTATGACTAATTTTTCTGCTGTTGTAGTTTTACTGAAAGAAAAATTGCATGAAGAATTAAATACATTAAACTGATAAGATAATAAAAAATAGATTATATGAAAAAAAAGGAGATTCATTATGGTTGAGAAAAGCACATAACCATGATGAAAGCAAAGAAAAAAAAATTAACAAAAACAAAATAACATTGTTGTCAGGATGGAAATAGGAAATGTCATAATTCCCCACACGTTTTGATATACAATGTTTCCTGAAATCAAGCATCTAACACCAACATTTGCAAACTCAAAGATACAGAGGAGAAGTTTCGTGGGTGTTGGTAAATGTCACGCTTAGGAATATTATTTTGTCAGGAACGTTGGTGTGTAAGTGCAAGCAGAGTGTTAAAGTACTCGTCATACTAATTATCTATAGAACAGTTAAGAAAATGAGTCAGAAGGAAAGGAAATTTTCACTCACTGAATTTCATAAACATAGAAAATTTAATTTGTAATATTATTTTTCATAATTACTGTTTGAATTAATGTGTAACTTCACTTAACTATTAGTTACTTTGATTAAAAATTATTTTATGTTATCATTAACTATTTTTCACAACTAGAACTCATTATTCATCAACTATGATCATATTTAAATTATCTAAAAAATATAATTTAACAATTTTATCTTCATTATTTATACTAGATATTGATAAACAAGTTTAAAATAGTTCATAAAACAAAGCATAACTGTTGGTAACCTGTTAAGAAGTTTAAATCTGGATGTTGAAAATCTAAAATAGTAAAAATAAAAAGCAAGTATTTTCCGATCAAGAATAAATCATCAAAAACTATAAGTAAATACACTCAGTCTTGGCATTTGCATTCCAAATGCTATGCTACTTTGTACCAAGAACTTGAGCACCTGCTGATTTCGCTACTCACAAGGGATTCTAGACTCAATATAATACAGATCGACTGAAGTATAAAGTAAGTAAAAGTTGCCATGATTTATGGAAAAAAGACTCACCTCTGCAAAGAATTCTGTCATGAAATCTTCTTGCCCGCCCACATTGACAGATACCTCGTCCGCGACTTCATCATCGTCTGATTGGGCCTGAAATAAATATTAAATCAAATGAAACAGAGATATAAATTTTCAATATTATTCATATGAAAAGGATTGGATGTTTGAAATGTTAAAAAAGAAGGAAATAGTGAAATCAATCTTTTAAATCAAACAACTATCAAATGTCAAGCAAGCATTTTAGTATTGATGGCGTTGGAGACTTTGAATGTGATTTTATCGCTAATAAGCTGTAATTGCTTTAACTTTTCAATCGGTCAAGTATGAACCACTAAAACCAAAGTGAACACTAGAATATCATAGAATATTTAGACGACAATCAATACATGATTCACTGGTGTGTTTAAAGCTCTGGCTTTGACCTAAGTTTCAATCCACCCACGTTGGTTCATTCTGTTGATGACAAGCTTTCTCTGCCTACACTGCTGGCTATACCACCTACATTTATCAAGAAATTGAAATATCTATATCGAGAATGCGTAATTGGCGTACTCGTTACAATAAATCACTAAAGCGAAAGCTTTCTTGTTTTCTTTTTTTTTGATAGTCGATTCTATAAACACAATAGTCTAGAGTAGCTGGTAATTTGCCTTGAAGGAAAATAATTAGTTGATTTGTTTTCAATTTTAGAATAGCGATATTGGTTTGTATAAAAGTAAATGTTAGAAATGTTTGATGATTATTTTGTGAGATATAAAATTCAAAAACAATTGATAGAAACATCATAAAAATTATTCTTAATGTTTAATAAAATTATTTCTCCGATTTATTAATATATTTTTAATAACTAAACATAACTTTAAAATGCATATAAATATTTAAATTAATCTTCAAACAATAGTTAAATAAATTTTAAAATTTGTTTGCAGTTGATAGGATGCAATATACTTTATCGAAATTGAAATTTTTGTTAATGTTTAACTTGAGCTTCATCACAAGAAAACTTTCCAAACTTGATAAAAAATGTATTAACTTTGAGATTAATACTTGTTTACTTGAAGAACTAGTCTAACCACTAGAATTAATTTTAACTCAAAATTTTTTTCACTGTCTCAAGAGTTGTTTAATCAAAATTAGATTTAAAGACTAGAAAAAAGTAATTGTTGAGCATTAAGAAGAAAATTTTTCATTTATAAAATTAAACTTTTTTTTTTTTGGTAAATTAAATTGAGTTTCTTATTCTAAAATTTACATTTCACCTTCTTAATTATTTTACTTATTCATGAGATCATTTTTTCATGAGAATAATGACAAAATTAAATTAAATCATGATTAATATTCAAAACCAGACATGGATTACGACAAACTAGCTAGTATAAATGCAAGTAGATATTATTAAATAACAAAATAATGAAAATACTGTAGAGCAAGTAAGCAGAAAAGATCTTCCAAGCAATATTGATAGATATATCAGCCTGGATGAATTATTAAACTGATATAAACCACCTGATGGATATTATTCTCCTTGAAATAACTTATCAAGAGGAAAATTAGTATCTATTTTTCACGAAAAGATATAAGAAACATTTGATATCTCACACAAAATAGTGAAACCTAGAGCGAAATTTTATCAAGGTAGATAATAAATTAATATGTTCATTAAATACATTCTTTCATCTTAATTAACAATAAAAATGTTATGTAAACGTTGATGATGTAAGAAAGATAATAGTCTCGTGATGTGAGAAATTAGTGAAACGATGCAGAATTTCTATGATATACTCAACATTGGGTCAAGGATATGTAGTGATTCGAGGCTAAACCCGGGATATTCAAATGAGTATTTCATCGCCACCCATGTCACTTCAATGTCATATCTTCTACGTTAAAATTTTCGCTAGCTGGGACAATGATTATTTAAGGTTCTTTGAATATTAAGGTGATGTGAAAATAAATAGCTGAATTTTTTATAAATATTTTCAAATAAATATTCAAGATCTTACATATACTTTTAAGTCAAATAAGTGGCAAATTTTAGTGTAAATTTAATTCAAATAAACTAAGGTGTTAATTGGTTTTTAAACAATACAAGAAGTGATTTAATTTTTGTATAAGATAAAAAATATATGTGTTTTTACAAATTCATTGATAATTCGGTATTTTTAATTATGAAGAATAATATTAATCTTGTAATAAAAAATCTGATAAAATATTACATGAACATATAAACTTGTATTTAGTAGATAAATAAAATAAATTGTAGTAGTAAAGTAATACTGTTTAATGATAAATTAATTTAGTGATAAAACACATAAGCCTACTTGCTTAAGCAAAGTATTTATCGATAAACTCATTCAAAAAACCTGAAGCAATTATATCTTTAAATTTTGAAAAAGATTTTCAGACTTTGGATCTTTTAATTTAAATCATCCACTCCTTTGATTAAAATTTACTGAATAATTTTACATTACTTATATTCTAGATGAAATAACCATCAAAAACTCAACTTAAAATTAAATAAAACATAGGTGAAAAATGTATACGAAACTTTTCTCATGATATATTTTTAAAGAATAAATAACCCAAAGAGAGAAAGAGTTCAAAGTATTCCTATTTTGAAATAGCATCAACTGTATCGCAAATAAGTTAGATTACAACATCCTTTAATTTAATTATTTAAAGCTGATCAGTTAATCCGAATTTTTTGTTATTGCAGCAAATATGCAGCATTCTATAAAAGACTAACAATAAGAATATTTATTCATAAATAAATAATATATTAAAATATTTCCTCCAATGTTAGAAGTCATTATTTTTTGTTGAATTTTTTGTTCATTCCTGACTAATTTCAATGAGTTGTTGTTTTCCTTATTAAAAAAAAAATGATAATAATAATTATTGAGAATGTGTATTTTTAAAATAATTCTCAAGTATATAACAATTCGATAAATTCTTTTTATAGAAGAATTATCACAAAAATATAGAAAAGCAATAATGTATCAATGAAAATGATTACTATACTATTACATTATAGTTTTTTTTTTTATTCTCTCTTTAACAACAATAGTTAACCCAGTTCAGAAATCGTAAATAAGCTCAAGGTAATCGAAATGAAATAAATCTAGCACCTCCAATTTTTTCTCAACAATAAAAGTTATTATCCAGTCCTAGTACTCAACTAGAAAATCCAAGCAAAAAAGTTTATATGAGAAAATCAAAGAACACATAATAGTATTAAAGTAGGGTGGATGCATAAGCAGTTGATTAATAGATTCTTTATAAAAGGATCATCAGTCTTTGTTAGAAGAATGTAATTAATTACTAATAATTATAGGTATTCTTTTTCAAAGTAAACCTAAATAATAAAAATCCACATTCTTTTCATTATCAATTAAAATAACATGTTTTACAAGAAAGAAGGTAAATAAAAAAAAATTCTTATAAATTATGGATATTATACATCACATAAAATATTAAAATCTATATTATGTTAACCTAGTATCTCTATGTTCAATTTTTCTTTAGAATTTTTAAACTTGAAAACAACACAAACTTAATGAATAAATGATGTGGTTGTAATACTTTTGAATATCTAGTGTTTAAAAATAGAAATAAATTCTAAGAAACATGGTACAATTGTCAAAAATAGCTTTTTATGTAAAGAATTGTTAATGAAACAATAATAAATGGATATTCAACTCTTAACGACCTTTTTTAATCTCATACAGAAAACTCTTGAACGTCGTTAAAAAAGATACGTCAATCGAGTAAGTTGTAATTAACAGATAAAAAAATTAATTATTGCCTACAATGAAATTTTATTGTCGGTGTGTTAATATGAAGAAACTCATGTACAAGTGATACATTACAATTAAATGATGTAATAAATAATAACCGTTAGAGATAAATTTCAAATAATTTATAGATGTCGGTTGAGTATTAATTTAATATTGGAATCTTGTGTCATCGTGATTTCCTGTTAACTGTTGTGTGTCATTTAATAAATAGTAGATGATTTTAGCAATCAATAAACCATATAAATAACCTCTTCTCATATTAATAGTATAATTAAACAGGTTATTTTATTCATTTTTATAATATAAAATATTTTATTATTATCGTTGTTATGCACGTCATGAATAAATGAAAGCTTATTAGATGTTCGGAAACAATTAAAATGAAATAAATATTTATTACAAAATGAATGACTTCCAAAAGGTATTATTAAAGCTAGGAAATTAACTGGTAAATTCATGTGAAAATAAGAGTTCATATAATTCGGTCACTACAAACAGGAACATCCGGCAAGACATGGTATAGAACAAGCGTCCCTGGTGGCATTAACTTCACAACTACAGAATAAGTAATCACTGTCAGAGATAAACGTGTTCTAAAATTACAAATCGTATATTGTATTCTAGGAATAAGCGAAGAAAGCAGTCCATAAATTCGAGAGAAACCGATCAATGCAGGCATGAATTTATTAAAGAAAATATTTATTTCATTAATAGCTTGAACGGTTGGGTATTGAAATGACAGGTATCTATTAAAGGGGGTGGAGTCTATTTTGAACTGGAACAATAAATTCGAATGCCAAACTTTTTATTTTGAAAACAAAAGAGGATAATATTCTACGACCGTGAACACCTGTCATCACTGCCGGTTCTTGTATTGCTTGACAGTCGATGACTCAAGAATGGAAACGCCTTTCTCTCGTTGACACATTGGTTGGTCGCACGATTAAACATCATTTCCAATGGTTTATTTTTTGTTTTCAAAAAGTTACAAGAATATATGAATATCCAAGCGACGCGAAGCAATGAACAATACTTTTGTATCCGTAATGGAGAATGACACAATAAAACAGAACATTATACGATGATACAATGATGGTATGTATAAGTACACATTGAAGAAATGCTGTTGGAGAACTCACCGCAACAAGGGCTGCTAATCTATCCTTAGTCATGATGAACAAGTTTAGAGTCAACGGACGTAAGATGAGTAGTGTCTAGTAAATAATCCCATTCACAATTTTATCCATGTACGACAAGCACGGCCACTAAAAACTAACAAAACGGACAAACTAACCGCGAGAGACACGATCGTAAAATCGATACACTCGCTAACTCGCCTGCTTCTGCAGTGCTGTTTTTTCAATCGCGCATGCGCCAATGACGTCAATTTCACCCAGGACTGACGCTACTAAATTTTAGTGCCCTGTACTTATTTCAAAATTTTTTTTTTTTTTTTTTTTTTTTACTTTTCATTAATGAAATTCTTGATTTATGACATAAATATTTATGTAATTTAGTAAATAAAAATTAGATTGTTTTTTTAACATAGAATTTTAAGATTTATTCAATGTTGAACTATGACACCAACGAATACAATCAATAAAAATCGATACTTTTCTCTTTATTTCTGAAAATGATAATAAAATAAAATATTTATTAAAGTTTTGTATAAAATGATAAGAATAGACAGGTTCTATAAAACTTGTAAATATATAAATTCGAAGTCAGAGAAATCAAAATTACCGCCAACAGAACTAACAGCCAATCGAAACGTGTATTGAGTAAAAAGTTTGTAGTACATGTGCGCACGCGTATTTGTTTTTAAACATTCGCATGCTTGCGCGAGAATACTTATGGCATGAGCCATTCTATACTCCATTATATACTTCGATGACAGCTTCGGTAATAATTTCATGTGTGGACGATTATGTTAACTTCTTCAGAACATGCGGTGTGATTTCCTGAAAATCAAGCAAACGTACGATAAATGAAGTCATAAAACTTTTAAGAACATTGTAAGTACATATAAATGTAATGTTATTTATAATTAAATAATGTGACGAGTAAAATCAATTTTTTAGAATCAGTCATTGGCCACAAAAGAAAATAAGAACTATCCTTACTAACATGACCAAAAAAATTCATATCACAGCAATGAATTTGCCTTCATAACAGTTAAACACTACTCTCTTAAACTGCATCAGTGAAAACTACTGTAGATCAGTGAATATTCACTGATATCCAGTGCCAACCCAATGACTAATTCTTTCAGTGATAGTATTGGCACTGGCAATCAGTGAATATTCACTGATCTACAGTAGTTTTCACTGTTTCAGTTTAAGAAAGTATAGCAAACTATAGTTATTTAAAATTAACGCTCGTACATCCTCAACATTTGTTTTTTTATTAAATTAGAATTTAAGATTATTTAGAAAAAAAATCGTTTGTTTTAATAAAAAATTTGGTCAAATTTTTTAATTTTTTTTTGGTAAGTAATAAGGTAGTTCACCCAAAATTTCCTTAAGGATGTACGAGCGTTAATTTGTTCACAGAAGAATTTTCATAAAATTCAGCTATTAATTCTTAATTTAATTTTAATTCTTTTTTTCTTAATATAAAAAGGCGACGTTTTCATCAATGAAGCAGTACACTCAACGCAGTTTTAAATCGCAATAATTTTTCGAGAAAGCAAACGCAACGAAACCATACGGAGAGGCAGCCACAAGTCCGACAAGAAAGACGCGAAATGCAATAAACAAGGGAACGATGCAGGAACACACTTTTAGGAACATTAAAAAAATTGTGATGAGAACATGACTGTAATTATAATAATACAGTGAATATGAATAATATTTTGATACTTTTATAAATGATGAGTTAAAGTACATATTGTATTTTTCGAATAATAAATACTTTTCAAAGAAATACAATATTTTAATTAATAAAGTTGTATTAAAATATTCATAGGTTATAATCTTCAAGCTGATTTTCTGTAATTAATCAACTAATGTTATGTCGCAGAATAAAACTGACCATCATATTTTATTTCAATTATGATATATAAATTTAATTTTTAATTTATATAGATGTTAATATGTGACAAATAATTTAATGATAACGTTCAGTTCTAATTTTATAGAAATTTCAATTTTCGGTAACGATATGATAGCTAATAGTACATTTACCGAAAGAATAACATAGAATATTATAATCTAAGTATTTCACACCTAATTTAAGATCTTTTATATCGTTTCCTCAGCTAAGAATGTTTTTTTTTTGAAAAAATTAGTAACTGGATATCACTATACATGTACCACATCTTGGAAATGATCAGTTTATGCACATGTGTATGTTTAAACAGCTTTAACACATCGCTGATGACAATCTATGTCATGAGATGGATAAAAATCGAAGAGGCACCAACTGCCAGCCAAGCAGATATTTCTAAAGAGTTGTCTCTGCTTAATATAATATATAATTAGATAGGTTTTAAGAAATTGATTGATTTTGATTTTCATTCAATTTTTTACATGTATGAATAAAAAATACACATAAATAAACTTATATTGTTGGATTTATTGTATTAAACATAGAAAGAATCATTGAATATAATAGTTAATGGAATAAAATAGGATATAATACGTAATTATCTAATACAATAATTATAATAATACAGTAAATAAAATTAATAATATTCATATATTAAAAAACATGAACTGAATAAAAAGACTATCAACATATATACAATGTATTTGTGTATGATTATTTACATATTTACAAATTTACACCAAGCAACATGACAGTTAATAAAATAATATCATTTACTATTAATTATTTGACAAACTGATCAATCACTTATTTCTTATCTTCGTCAGACAGGAAATGAATAATATGTTCTATACACTCATCTAGAAGAAATGGTAACTTGTTTTCTCTGAAGAAGAAATTTAATAAACTAAAAGTAACTTTATGTACAGTATTTTTTGCCAAAGCAGCCGTCAATTTTTTTCTAATAAATATTGCATATCCGGTGAATTTACTTGGGAGGTGTAGCATTCATTTTCATTTTTTTTTCTTCTTTTTCTAATACCAAGTGACTACCCGGGAAAAAATAAAATATATCTACATTGATTTACTTAGATCCATTTTTTGGCACAATTAGATCTACTTTGTCCTGTGTACATCTGTTTTGATCACTTTATATTTTCTGTGATCTCTGTAGATGTATTAAATTTTTTTTATCTTCGAGATCAATGGAGATCTTCATAGACATATAATAATTTGTGTAGATATAAAGTGATCTCACTAGATATACATAGATTTACTAAGATCAAATTTTTTTTAGTTTTTTAGATATGAGTAGATCAAATTAGATATAAAAAATGGCGAAAATGTGGATCTGAGTAGATCTATTTTATTTTTCTGGGTAGTTTTAGATCATCTAAGGAACGGTGACGGTTTTTTCTAAAGAACCGTCACTTCTGGAAGTTTATTTAAAAAAATTTATGAGTGATACTTATAAAACTATTAAAAAATTAGATTTGTTTAAATAACAACGACTCATGGTTTGTTTTTCTAAAGTTACTTTAAATAATACAATATACTTTTTAGTATACTCATTATTGTTACTGATTTTTGCGATTTGTTTTAAGGATGTACGAGCGTTAATTTTTTCACGGTAGAATTTTTTGAAATTATGGTATTCGATTCATTTTTTATAATAAAAATTTTATGAAAATTTTCAGCACAATTGTGCCGCTAGTTTTCGAGAACTATTAATTTGAAATGAATTTTTTTACACAGGCTCTTATGAAGATCACGTGATATCTTGCTAAATCTGCATTTACCTATTAAGTGGTAATACAGTTTTAATCAAATATCACATGATCTCCATAAGAGCCTGTGTAAAAAAATTCATTTCAAATTAATAGTTCTCAAAAACTAGCGGCACAATTGTGCTGAAATTTTTATAAGATTTTTTATTATAAAAAATGAATCGAATATCAAAATTTCAGAAAAATTCTACCGTGAAAAAATTAACGCGTGTACATCCTTAAGTGATGAATGATAATGTTGAACTAAAACAAATCAATCGATGGTTTTTATCTTTGGTTTAAGTTACCTGCTACTAACTTTATATTTATATATGAATTAAATAAACAAGACAATCACCAGCAGGAGTTTCATAAAGAATTTCCGTTATTTCCATTAGCAAAATTCTTGCTTAACACTAGCTCCAAAAAAATTTTCTATGTACTGGACCTAGTGACGAAGTTCTTCTATTAGGAAGTAATCGCATTAGTTTCTGTACCTGACAAACTAACAAAGACTATTTCAGTTGAAACTTTGTATTTAGCTTTTATGGGTCACCTATCGCTAAGTTTGGTTGATAATAGCTCAAGTGGCAATTCTATTAAGAATATTATACACTGTTCTCTTGGTAATTCCATGGGTTTACCTGGCTCAAGCGGATGACGCTTGACCTTCCCAGCTGATTGTAATCCCGGCGGACATAAATATTAGCGAAAATTGTTTTCTTTTCATCTGTTGTTCTTAAACATGATTTATGAGCTAAGGACCACCAATGAAATAATATTTTTTAACTGTTTCTATTTCTTTCTATTATATAATGGGTTTTCCTTCAATTTATTACTTTATGAGAAAAGTCGGGTACTTTCCCTCAAAATTCCCGAGATATTAGAAAATTTGATTTTAATTCCTTTTATAATATTTACAAAACCTGAAGGTATATGCACGTTGAAAGATCGTTTAACACTCGAGAAAATTTATTGTATGCATACACATATTTTAAATTGGAAATTTACTTTCAATTAGCCAAGACATTATTTTTTTCTTAGTTATAATATTTCAAGGCCACAAAAGAAAATAAAAACTATCCCTACTAACATGACGGGAAAATTTATATCATAGCAATGAATTTGCCTTCATAACAGTTAAACATTACTTTCTTAAACTGAATCAGTGAAAACTACTGTGAATCAGTAAATATTCACTAATATCCAGTGCCAATCCAATGACTTATTCTTTCAGTGATAGCACACTATAGTTATTTTCGATAAATTTTTATCATTGTTTTTTTTTCAACAAAAGTCTATGTAGTTGAAAGAAGAAGTTTGCATTTGTGTCTCTCAATTAAAAGGAGAAAAAAATTTCGATTTCAACATATAATCAAGTAATTTTTTTTTAAGAAGAAAAAAGACAACTATTGTGTAATAAATTTGAAACATGAACAAAAAGTGAAAATTTAAAATGAATTTTGCAGCTTAGTAGAGTAAATTTTGTGCATCTACAAATCAGAATTTTTATTTTTGAGACGACGACTAACATGTCTTTATTCGAGTGTCTTCTCTTCCCACCATCAACCCCAACATCCCCAAAATGAGACAGAGGAACCGCCGGCCAATAAAAGGCCCATTCATTCCGGGCACTCCATAAAAAAGATTTTAGTCCTTGCAGTGTAACAACTCAAGTTTGCTCCGAAAGCTATCACGTCAGTGTCAAGTGAAAATTGTGCAGCGCAAAATGTTGCGTGCATAACTTTACTAAATTATCCATAATGGAATCATCCCAAGTAAATAATTATTGCTGGCCATCAAGTCTTCGAGAAGCCATCGAGTCAAGGAATTACGGCTATTTAGAAAAGTACTTAGCAAATGGAAATAATATTCACAGCAGAGAAGCTGAGGGATTTACTCCACTCCAAATTGCTCTAAAATTAAACGATATCAAAATAGTGACATTCTTGCTGGAAAATAGGGCTGATCCAAACAAATTTTACCTTCATGAAGATTGAAAGGGATGTTCTCCTCTACATTTCGGTTTATCTCGAAGAAGCCATAAAATGGTAATGTTATTAATTAAATATGGAGCCGATCTTTTTGCCATGTGCTATAATAAAATACCGGCGAATTATTATGCTATCAAGTACAATCGAGTACAAATTATTCGCTATTTAATGAGAAATGGAATCAGTCCTGATTCTCTCATTGATCATGATACTTCCTTACTCACCTGTGCTGTAAAAGAAGGAAATATAAGAATAGTGAACATGGACCGAATGTCAACTCCCACCATAACCAGCAAGCAATCGTAGAGGCAATTTATGGATATGATAATTATTCAAAGAGACTGGTGAAGATGCTCTACAATTATGGGTTAGATTGTCATCAGCGATGTGTTAAAGCTGTTTAAACATACACATGTGCATAAACTGATCATTTCCAAGATGTGGTACATGTATAGTGATATCCAGTTACTAATTTTTTCAAAAAAAAAACATTCTTAGCTGAGGAAACGATATAAAAGATCTTAAATTAGGTGTGAAATACTTAGATTATAATATTCTATGTTATTCTTTCGGTAAATGTACTATTAGCTATCATATCGTTACCGAAAATTGAAATTTCTATAAAATTAGAACTGAACGTTATCATTAAATTATTTGTCACATATTAACATCTATATAAATTAAAAATTAAATTTATATATCATAATTGAAATAAAATATGATGGTCAGTTTTATTCTGCGACATAACATTAGTTGATTAATTACAGAAAATCAGCTTGAAGATTATAACCTATGAATATTTTAATACAACTTTATTAATTAAAATATTGTATTTCTTTAAAAAGTATTTATTATTCGAAAAATACAATATGTACTTTAACTCATCATTTATAAAAGTATCAAAATATTATAACATTGTTTATTTGATAATAAAAATACAACGAATACAATTTTTCCAGTATTTGTGCACTGTAAAACTTATTTTGTTTACAGCTGTCTTAAAATTTATATAATAAAAATTCAGAAACATTATACTTCCTTAAGTTTTCGTTACTTAAAAAATCTAGATAAAGTGGTCCCATAATAAAACTTCTCAATATTCTTTAGCATTACAAGCTTGACACTGAAAAAGATGGACTTTATTAGTATATGTATAACTGAATTCATTCAACACTTCTATGAACTCTCCATATCTTACCTTCATCATACCCTGAAAACTGTCATAACACTGCGTATGAACAAAATGTCGACAACTTAGTATCCAAGATCCTTCATGAGGTTGTATCGGGCATTGGCAATAACAACATTCATTTGATGTACTAGATCTCTGACTACTTTGAGTTGATCTAGTCATACAATTATCAGCATTATCAAGTGGAAACATACTGTACCCTCCACTACTCAGAGTTGGTTTGGAATTACCGTTATTAATCTTATCTTTATCATGCATTGGACTCTTTTTACTTGTATGATAACAATCGTCTTTAACATGCTCTCTTATGCAAGCATTTGGAATATTGTTATTTCCTAGAGTCATGTTCTTATCACCATTTTTATTGTTTGTCTTATTGTCTCTAATCAGTCTTATTTTTGGACATACTGCTCGTAAATGACCGATTAAACCACATTCATTACAATTATTATTTTTGAATGGGCAGTTGATTTTTGTGTGATTGGCTTTACCACAACAAAAACATTTTACATTCATTTTAGTGGGTTTTTTTAAATTCTTATTGTCACCATTTACTATTTCTTTGCTATCGTTCATTTTACTGATGTTTTCAGTTTCATTTTCCATTAAAGTTGCGATTTCTACAGCTCTTGTAAAAGTAAGGTTTACCTCAGTTAATAGCCTTACCTTGATGGCATCACTCCTTAAACCCCATATAAATTGATCCCTCAGGCAATTGTCAAAGTTATTTTCAAAGTTGCATTTTTTAGCCAAACTTTTCAGATTCGCAACATAGTCTTTGATTTGTTCACGTTCCAATTGTTTTCTTTCTTTGAAGTTATATCTTTCAGTAATGGTATTACATACCGGCTCAAAATTGTCTTTCATGATTTCATTTAATTCTGTGGAAGACTTACTCTCAAGTTCCTCTGGTGTATATAAATTCCTCAAAAAAGAATAAGCTTCATTTCCAATCATCATTAAGAACAAATGCAACTTTTTCTCCTGACTGACGTCATTAACTATGCAAAATAATTCAAAGCGTTCATACCAATGCGACCATTTCTGTTTCAAATTAAATTCACTGATGCTACCGATTTGTATTTGAGATGCAGATTGCTTAGCTACTTGTAACCTCAATTTTTCTAATTCATTTTTTTCAGCTAATAACTCAAGATTTTGTTTCTCAATTTCTTGCATCCGTTCTGAAACCGTTTGCAGCTGTTTCGCCAAGTCTGTTCCCATTTTTAACAGTTCTTCTTCATGTTTTTTTGTTAATTCAGCACCCATTTTTAACACAATAATTAAATACTGATTTATTTTCTCAAAATTACGGTAAAAACATCAATGAAACAAGTTTCAATATCACATCTTTTATCAACTTTGGCAGTTGCTATGAAGGATTGCCAACAATTAAACATATTCCGTTGAATACGCAGCGATAATAATCAACACAGTTGGCAAGCCTTCTTATCAATTAAAATTAGCCAGGTGGATTAAAAATTTGTAGATTGGTTACTGTAAATCAACCTAAAGATTGCAGTTTATAAATATATTAATACAACTTTGTTAATTTTAATACTCCATTACTTGAAAAAAAACATTTATTTTTTTAAAAATACAGTTCATAATTTAGTTTCATTATTTCCAAAAGGATTAAATTTTCATCACATTTTTTTGATTTGATCATAGAAATCTAACTAATATAAATTTAATATTTATGCATTGTCATAACTAATCTACTTACAATTATCACAAAATTTCGAAAGCACTGTACTTTTCTTAATCATAAACTCTAATAGTATACATAAAACTTTATAAAAACTCCCATAAGTCTGGTGCAAATTTTATTCTTAATATAATGTTAGAGTTATAGAAGTCTGCTTTTAAATATACTGTGCAGGCCCTACTAGCAAGAGAGATTCCATTGATGAAGATTCTTAGTATCTGTTAGCATTACAAGCTTGACACTAAAAAAAAATAGATCTCATTAATACATAATTAAATTGAGTTAATACATATATAAATGTTATATTTTATTTTACCTGCATAATATCTTTGAATATGTAACATTCTTTATGAGTTATATGATTACAATTTAGTATTGAAAAGCCTTCAGCATTTAGTATCAGAGATTTGCAATAACAACATTCATTCACTATACTAGATCTCCGACTACTTTGAGCTGATCTAGAAAAACAATTACCAGCGTTATTAAATAAGAAATTATTAAAAATATTTGTATCCCCAAGAATGATGAAAAATACGCACGATGTAGTTCCTCCTTCATTTGAGTCTTGACAGTATGTACATTTCTAAACAGTAAAGAATTTTGAATAAAAATTTATGATTAAGATTATAGAAAATATGATGCACTAACTTACTCTGTTGTTTGCTGATCGACTTTGATAGCAAGATCTATGATAACGGTGACCACAAGGTAATCGGTGGTCATTTTCATTTACAAATTTGTTACAAAAAGGACATGTAATATTACGTGGACTACGTTCCTGATGCTCTCTAAAAGTTTAGAACTTTTTTTAGTACTTGTTGCAATGAAAAATAGTTGATATTCAAAATACATTTCGTTTACTTACTCTAGAAATGAGTTTGTTTGATAGGATTGATTCATATTTCTTCTCATTTGTGATTTTCGAACTGCTAACCACACTGATGCAACCAGTGATACTACACCTCCCACAGCTAATGCAATCAAAGTTCCTTGCCAAGCCATTGTGTTGTTGTTTTATTTATTTATTATTGATACATAAAAATGATCAATTGTTTACCGTTGAAACAAGTATAGTTTATTTACTAGTCGTTTATTTGTATTGATTCACTCTATTGAAGTTTTATTTGACACATAACCATGCATCTTAACTAATTTTTTGAGTTAATCCAAGGATTCCCAGACATATTTTCCTTTCTATTTTAGTCTTGATGAACTTCGATTTGCAGTATGGTTGACAACTAACTGTAGACATAACAAAAGTGTATGAATACATATACTTTTAGCTATAGAATATACCATCTACAATATCATCAAAACATGTCGATATGGTATTCATAGGTTATGGTCATTTAGTAACTGTTAAATAAATTTTTTGTAAACAAATTAATCATGTCTGTTGTCATTGAAACAACTGTTGGAGACTTTACAGTTGATTTATTTACCAAAGAAAGACCACAAAGTAAGTAATACAAATTAATTCATGACTTAAATTTTTGTTTACGTTATTCCATTTTTTCAGCATGTCGGAATTTTTTAAAGCTCTGCAAAATCAAATATTACAACTGGAATTTATTTCACACAGTCCAAAGTGGTTTTATAGCTCAAACTGGAGATCCTACAGGTACTGGGAAAGGTGGAGAAAGCGTTTATGGGCTTATTTTAGGTGATCAAGCTCGTTACTATGAAGCAGAGCAGATGCCAAAAATCAAACACGACAGAATAGGACTATTATCAATGGTTAATTGTGGTGATAATATGTTAGGATCACAATTTTTTATTACTCTTAATCGCGATCTACAATCTCTTGATGGCGAACACTGTGTTTTTGGTGAAATAGTTGAGGGAATTGAGGTGGTTTTGAAGTTCAATGAAGCTATTTGTGATGGAGATCATCGTCCTTACCAGGATATTCGGATATCTCATACTGTTATTTTGGAAGATCCGTATGACGATCCTGCAAACTTAATTATTCCAGATCGTAGTCCGTCACCTACTAGAGAAGTTTTAATGGTAATCATTCTTTGTATAAAAATATTCTCTATAGTCTTCATTACTAATAATTTTTATTTCTTTAGAGTGATCGTATTGGTGCAGATGAGGCTTTAGATGATACAGAAGGCATGACAATTGAAGAAATAAATGAAATGAGAAAAAATAAAGAAGCTAAAGCCGCTGCAACAATTCTTGAAATAGTTGGAGATATACCTGATGCTGATATTGCTCCTCCAGAGAACGTTTTGTTTGTTTGTAAATTAAATCCGGTTACAAATGATGACGATTTAGAAATTATTTTTAGTAGATTTGGAAAAATAATCGGGTAAAGATTTTAATCAATATTTAATATTTAATTTTTTTTTTATCTATAATTTATAATAATATCATTAATTTTTAGATGTGAAGTGATAAGAGATCGGCAAACTGGTGATTCTTTACAATACGCTTTTATTGAATTTGCCGATCGAAAAAGCTGTGAAGATGCATATTTTAAAATGGATAATGTTCTAATTGATGACAGACGAATTCACGTAGACTTTTCTCAATCAGTCGCAAAAATGAAATGGAAAGGAAAGGGAAAAGGATTTTTATATAATGATGATGAACGAGCACATGGTCGTAAAGACAATAGAGAAAATAAAATCGCTCAATCTAAAAATAAACGATCAAATGACTGTGAAGAAAAATATAGAAAGAATATGTACGACCAGCAATATTCTGAAAAGCGTGAAACAAGAAAATATGACAGGGAAAATAATGAATCTTATTATGAAAATCGAAGACGTGAGGACAGTGAGCGAAGGGATGGTAGAAATAAAGATAAAAAGTCTGATAGAAAAGACAGAGAAAAACGAAGGAGTAGAAGTCGAGAGAAAGACAGAAGGGAACGAAGTCGAAGCCGAGGTAGAAGAGAACAAAGAGATCATAGCAGAGACAGAAAAAATAAAAGTCAAATTTTATACGAGAAACATAAAGATGATAATAAACGTAGGGATAAAGGTCATGACGAAATTAATAAATACAGGAAAAAACGTTCAAGAGATAGATCTGTAGATAGACATCATAAGAAAAGTCACAAACGTGATCGCAGAGACAGATAATTTAGATACTCCACTTCCCACGGAAATATTTTGTACATACTTTGTATTGTTATAAATTCCAAGGACTTCTTCGATACGAATGAATAATTTATTTATTTGATAAACAATGTGAAGATTTTCCAACTTCCAAATCACGTTATCATCGTGATAGATGATCATCATTAACTCATTTTTGTAAAACATTTTACTCTTAATAATTTCGTAAATAATATTAAACGAAAGAAAAAATAAAAAATATAAACTGAACGTAGTTTATTATTTTTTTTTTATTAAATTTTTCAATAATAATTTACAGTCATTGTTACATCACTCGAGCAAAGCACCATTGTTTATTGAAAAATACACTGGAAATGGACAATAATTCATACTTATATATTATAAAACAACAACTAATTTATACTAATTAATAAAGTACAAGAAATGTTAGATCAAGAGGAAAAATACTTATAATTATTTTAGATTTCAAACAGCTAGCTTTGTGATCAGAAGAAAAAATAATGGCTAAATAAATGAATAAATTGAGCAATTTGTATCGAAAAAGAAAAAAATAATGAAAAAAATTTTAAGTGGAGCAAGGTTTCGTTTTTATTACATTAAAAATTTCGGTTAAACCGTTATTACTAAAATACTTCTGAAGTATAACAACAATAAATATTTAAATTATTCATACAAAACTTAACAAAAATTAACTAAATATTGACACAAAGCTGAGCTGATATGTAATAAGTTAAAATAATTACATATATCAATAAAAAAATATTCATTAAAAATGTATTCAATTAACTGAACCAGTTTATAACAAGAAAATATTGGAATTGTTTTATTGAATGCAGTGTAAGTTTCTCTTTATCTTGAATTATTTAAAAAAATAGAACTCGACATAATATCGATAAATAAAGTTGTACTCTATATAGACCTATTTTGTTTATTATGTAGTCTTACTATTAAAAAAATATTTAATTTACCGAAGACATCTTCTTTTTCGGTACAAATGTCGATTATTAGTCTCTTTCTTGATTGTAGCAATATCAGAGTTCATTCATTATGTTCATTTATTACCATTAAATTCTTTCAATCAATTATTGTAAGCAGTCTGTTTATGGAAATAAATTGATTGTAGTAAAAAAAAATACTATTTAGGAAAAAATGGATTATTTTAAATAGAAATAAACTTATAAAGATGAAAAAAAAATTACATTTAATGCACACCGATTATATATATATTGATAATTTTTAGGATATTAATTTACGTACATGATTAACTATGATTTTTGGCGTATACTGATAAATTATAGAATTTCTCTAACTGGGTAATATTAGTTAATATTATACATTATTAACTTATATTAACGATAAATAATACAGTGCATCAATAGATTTTTATTTAGGTGTCATATATGTGTAGTTTTAGATAAAATTATTTTTCCATTTTTATTCATTATATTACGTGCACTGTAATTCTCATTTTTTCTTATAAAAATACAGTAAAATATAGTTATGAGTAATAATGTTCATCACACGACACACGGATACGATAAATGAAATTAATTAAAAAGCTTTCACGACGTGATTTATAGTGGAATTAATTATCCGCATTATTTTCTCAATAGAAAATAATTGATGTTTCAAACGTGACATAAATTGTTAAAATCATTATACGTTAACTAGAAATTAACGTTGGATTACACAAGAACAATAAAGAAAACTTTGTTAAAGTTTAGCTAATACACTTCCTGCGATAACAATTGCTCTTTTGATTTAAACAGGTTTCTCTGAGTTGAATACATAAGGTATAAAGCTTCATTATTAATAGTAGAGTTGAAAAAGTTAAATTTTTTTTACATAAATATAATTGACGGTAGTCGGATTTTTAAATACTTATTTCAATTTTTTTAATTAAATTGATTGAATAGAGTGAATAAGGAAGTACCAAAATATCAAAGATTGATATCTTCGCGTGAAATATCGAACTCGTAACTTGAATGTCGTGTGAAATAGCCGTAAATCAATGATTACCATTAATTAATAAGTAAATATAAATGTTTTTTGTTTATTGGAATGTTGAATTTTCAATATCATAACGTTTTTTAATTTAGTAGATCAGTCATGTAGCTTTTAAATATTTTTTTTTCTTTTTTTGCGTTTATATATGTAATAGTTTTGTTTGATCCATAATATATTATTTTCAATTCAATTTTGAAACACATGAAACTCAGTTTATCGATTTTATATTGTTCCAAAAGTTTAATTCTCTAAGTCAACAAGAATCTTCAAACTAACAAATTTTTATATAATTCAACATCGAAATTTAATTTAACTGTGCAGACATTCAATAATAATTTCAATATTCAAAGATTTTTATGCTTATTTGAAGATCCTTGGACTCTATACATCGATAATGTATTTAGATCATTTTGTTAGATTCTACAAGATTGTAGCAATAATAATATATTAATTAATAGAGCATACGAGGATAATTGAGATATCCTTGGGGTTGTGAATTCATCATTTGCGAGAAATTAATGACATCGTTGAGATTGCGACCAGCATAAGAATCATATCCCTGGAAATGCATTATTATTATTAATGTCGGTGTCAAGTGATAGCAATGAAATATTCTAATTAACAACTTCATAAAATAAATTTTCAATTAATAATATAAAAAATCAAGTTTGATATCATCTCTAAATTTCTAAAGTTTTAATTAAATTTTGTTAATTAATTACCTGAGAGCGTTTTCGAGAGACCATAAACCTTTTCTCTGGTGGATAATAGCTGTGTTGAGGGTAAAGTGAGCCATATTGAGCTGTTCCATATTGTGTGCTCTCATAAGCAGGTTCATATTGGTTGTTGAATTGTTCGTAAGAATTAACTGGGTGAGTACGTGGGATACCGATGTCTGAAGGAGCTACATCAGAGCCAAGACTAAAATGACGAGGAGTGTAGACAGGGCCTTCCAACCAAGCACCAGCTATAATGTAAATCAAAAATTAGTAAGATTAAAATATTTTTTGAGAGAACAGGATTACTGAAAAGGTCAAGTTTAACAAATCCCTAAGGTGAAATAAATTTCATTATTTTTTTAATTTATTAAAAAAACTCTGAAAACTTTAATAATTTGTTGATGGATACATTCACGTTGAAAGAGATTAATATTTAACAAAACGAAAGCTTATTTTAACTTTAACTTTTTGGTTATAAAAAAAAGTTTTTTTTTTCTCCATTTACTGTCTTTCAAGCGATAATGGAGTAAGAATTTGTTAAATTTTTGATGAAGTTTAGAAGCTTATCAAGTTTTAAAAAAGTGTGTTTGAAACTATGTAAAGAATTTTTTTTTGAATTGTTTTAGTTGATTTATTGACCTTGTGTTTTCAAGGTAAATATTTAAACAATTTTTTCTGTCAAACTAAAACAAATATAAAGTCTATTTGCCACCAGGGATTCATTGTACTCCACCCTTTTTGCATTTCTAAGTAATTTAAAAATAAAATATAAATTACCTCTTGAATCATCATCTTCAAGTCCAACAACATTACCACCGTCGTCAATATTTTCGTATTCATCATTTCCATAATTATGCCAGTTCCTATGTCAAAAGAAATATTAAGTCGTCTCTGATTGGATTATTATTATTATTATTATGTAATAAATTGAATATTCTATAATATTCATGACCTTACCGGTTTCGAGAGCTATTTTCCCAAAGGGTCAATAGAGCTAAAAGGTCTTCACGATCCAAAGCACGTTTGTATCGAAGTTCTGGATAAGCTGATGGACTGCAAATGAAATTAACAAGTAAAAAAACAAATTTTGAAAATAATATCAAATCTAATTCTATTGTTGATAAAATATTTTATAATTAGTCAAATCATTCAATCCTTTATAGAAATGAAATTCTCAATTTATCTTGGCCATATGCTTGAGAAGTCTATAAAAATCACACAGGTTTCGAGGTTCAAGCAACTTATAAGGGTTTTTATTGATTTTCTTGAGACTTTAAAGGAAATCATAAGCGTAAAATAAGCATTATCAAAGGACTAATCTATTTTATTCTGTGGCTGGTACAAAGAGCCTTGTTTCCTCAATAATTAACAGCCTTCAATAAATTTAATATTTAACAGCTCAAGACAAATTGAATGTCATGGTAACTGCGTTACTGCAGTTTTGAGAACATGGGCTGGTTAATGTTGTTATCTAACTGGCTGCTGACTCGTTGGAATTACTCCTCCATTCCTCTATATATCTGACCTAGTTTCCCTGGAAGCTCCATTCAGCTTTTCGCATCACCCGACCACCCCAGGACTTAAGCTCTCGTTTTTTTACTCCCTCTCTCCTCTTGCGTCACAAGTATCGAACGCTCCAGCTGCAGTATGCAACGGAGGATTCATAGCATATAAATGTATATACATGTTTGACACGAAATGGAGTGAATGAGTAAGAAAGGGAGTATCAGTGATGAATTATTAACATGTACTAATCAATATTTTCCTTCAATTCCTATATTGGGTTTTGATGAACTTTCATATTTAAACTCACTGAATAATTATGTTTTCATAAATATCATAGATTATCAAGATAAACTAAAATATTTGTTTTTTCATGAAAACTAAATGTTTACTTAAAAGTTGTTTGAAATGAAAATATTCAATATGATTAAAATAAATTTTTCTTATTTTCCTATTTTTAAGAATAGATTGTAGGAAAAAAATAATTCTCTAATATTTTATTCATCGAAACATTTATGGAAATAAAAGATAATGATAGTAATATAACGAGAATAATTGGAGTGACGGTTCTTTTTCCAGCAATTGCTATGTTCATCTATGCATAATTAAGGCTGACCTTAGGGTTACTTTGCCACTGTTATTAACATCATATCCCTTTGTAAGAACATCCCCTAGCTTTTATTACTCTAACAGATAATAAATAATCAAAGTAATGAATAAAAGTAATGAAACAAAATGCTTAGGAATATAATTACTGTAGGAAATATATAAAAATGTCCAATTTAGTTAATTGAATGTGGTTACATTAGGTGTAATAAATGTCACGATGATTTAGGGAATACTTTCTTCAAGGTTTTTTAATAGTAGGGGAATTACAGAAAATATAAGATAAGATTCGAAATAAGTCCAAAAAGAAATATGCCAAAGGCGAAAAGGCGGTGGCAGTAAAACCATATCGATCAACTACTTCGTGGCCTAACCAACCATATGCTTAGCTGTTGGAAGTCAATCTACAGGTGGGCTTTGAATGATTTTTACTCTTTGACTCTAGGGATTACAAATAAGCTTGTAAAACATGAAAAAATAAAATTTTTCAACATTTCGAGAAGTTTAGTACATTATTTTTTCATGTACTATGTATTTTTATTGACTTTCATACATGCTCTACACTAATATTGATTATTAATTTTATTAAATATCTACTGTACGTGTTTTTTTTTTATTATTTAAAGTATTTTTTAAAAATAAATAAACTATTGATTAAATATAGTAAAAATTAAACTTACCTTCTTTTCACTTGAGAAACTGGTCGAGGAGTATTTCGAGTCGCTGGAAGAGGAGTGGCTGAAGATGTTAAAGGTGAAACTGTTGTTGATTGTGTTGGACGAGAGGTAGATGAAGGTTTGGAACTAGATTTATCAGATCGTTTACGTCGATCTTCTTCGTAATTGTAGTATCCAGAGTAAGGCAAGACATCCCAACTTCTTGGATAATCATCACCCATTTCATTTACCATAACTTTTCCATACCTATTAACAAAAGAAAAGCATATAAATTATAATCTTGATCGCCTGTATCTTTTAATAAGGCAATCAATCATGCTAGATATTATCTGAACAAATATTTATCCGTATAACTTACAAATAATTCTTTTCATAAGGTGATAATAATAAACCATCCCGATCAAACATTGGAGGGTTTGCTTGTTTAAAGTGGCTTCGAGCTTCATCTTCTGACAAGGCCGCTTTGACATCCTCAAGTCCGGATGTTCCAAGAGTTCCTGTAAATAAACAAACATTCAACAATGTTATTAGTAAAATGATACAAATTAATATATTTCAACGAAAAATAAATAACAAATTGGTTCTTAAAACTAACTTTTTTCATTATTTGGAGTGAAAGTGTTGGAAGACGCTGAATTGTCAACGCGACGATTCTGTTGATTTCCGAACATGAAAACTTCTTGAGTTCTTTTCGCTGTAATTCAACATATTATTATTTAATAATCTATTAGAAACTATTTTAGATGTATAAATGATAAATAATAATTACATTTCGGTCTCATAATCTTATCTGCTTTGGCAACATCTTCCATCAGTCCAGTCGGAAGACATTCAGCTATGGCAATAGCGATTCCAAGGAAAAATAGCCGCTGGAAAATCATCTAGAAAAACAAAAAAAAAATCAACTGTAAATAAAATAAACTAGCAATAAAGTCGTAAGAAATTAAAATTAAGTAATATAAATAAATTTACCTTGTTAATTATAGAATAAACGCGTTGATATAAATTTATATTTTGTAGTTGATGGTTTTAAAAAATGTTCATTGATAGATAACTAACTCGTATCGTTAAAAATTTTATTCTCTACTTCATACAGTTCAGAGATGAATCTACTTTGAGCGTACAACGTTCAGGGTAGCAATGAAATACTGAGGGCGAATGAAACTCGGAAACCGTAGGCGGGTATGTTCGATCAACCATCCCTACTCCAGTCAAGTGTCCCCACTAGAATTCTTAGCTGTTTCCATCAATTTTCCCCGTGCAAAGGATAAAGTAAAATTGAGAACACATTAAAAAAGCTCTGAGATGTATTTTAATTCTATAGAAATTGAGAAGTCGTCTGGATTTTTTGAAATAAAAACAAGATTTTATGGCCCTTGGTAATTTGAAATAATTAGATGAATATATCAACTCGTAAAAATCTGTGATAATACTTTAAATAAAGTAAAATTAAAAAAGAATATTAAAAGCAAAAAAAGGGGAACAAAATCAAAGACTCTTAAAATATTATTAACACAATAAATAAAAAAGTTGGAAAAAATTAAACAAAAATATTTATCGACGACTATTTATTAAATTTTCTTCTACCTAAAATCATTAAACAAACTATAAAAGCTTTTTTCAATGCTCAATAACCATAAAAGCATGGCAATATCAATTTTCATGGTTATTTTAATTTCAAAAATGAGAATTTATTCAACCCAATATGATTATTTGCCATTTCGTATTTTTTCATTTTCTATAAATTTAAATATAAATAGTCTGATAGTGAAGGTGCGTAGTGAACTGTGATATAAAAGTGAATATTTATTCATGAATTAATTAAAAGTTTAAGTGTAAAATATGAGATATGTTCACATGCTTTACTGATATATGGTAGCATCCAGAGAACAAACAAATATTTGACCTGGCCTGGTACTTCCCCTCGTTTCTCCATGTTGCTCGATTTTCCAGTTCTCCCAGTATCTCATACAACCCTCTCTCTCCCTCTGTCTCTTCAAGCGATTTACCCCTACAATGAACTAAACTCCCACGTGATTCGAACACTACTTCAACGCCTACGCTGTCGCCATTCTACTTCTGTGTATAGAGAAGCATACATGAGAATGAAGGAAAACAAATACTTCCTATTCTTCAACTATTCTGTATTAGGATCATGTGTTCTTTCCATCACATTGCTGATTATTTTCTTCCTCTCCATTATTTTTTTTCCATGAATTTCAATCATGATGGATGAAGCTTCTGCTTTTTTTTACATGAATTACTTTTATTTAGCCAATTCATCCTAATCAAAAACTTGAATAATATCTGATTACTGTTATTCTGAAAAAAAAACAGTATTATTTTAATGATTTAATATCATGGAGATGAATAAAAGATTACTTAAGAAGTGGGTTTGTGTATTAATGTTTTAACAAATTAAGGATTTAGGCACGTGTTGAGTTTAGACATTATTCATTTTAACGAGAATTTCATATTTTTTGATTTTCAACAATAGCTCGCGCCCACGTAGATCAGGGTAAGAGGAGGTCGAACGGAAGTTGGGAGGACACTCAGGACAGCGGGGTGATGTTAGAGGAATCATTGACGTCAGCTGTGGATTGTTGGGGTAGCGAATCACTGCTGTCGCATGGCTTGTTGCTTGGAGTCAAAGGAAGCAACGGAATACAGAAAATAAGGAAAGGAGAAAAAAGAAATCATCATGTCTTAAAAAAAAAAATATTAAAAAATACAACCTGTCTATAAGAATATTCTGGATATCTTCTGCTATCATAATTCCGTAATTATTTGTTTCAACAGCAACGCCAGTATTCTCACATATTTTCTTGGAGATTTGCACATTTTTAGATCCCAAAAGAATTGTTTGCATTTCTGTTTTCTTCACTGAAAATAAGAATTGATTAAACTACTTACTTTTTATGACATTTTTAAAATTAAAGTACCTTTGAATAAATAAATAAAAATTTGAATGACGGCTGACAAAAACATGTTTATACTACTTAAATATGCCAATCACAACATTGAAAATAGATTTTGATGCTTATTCTGATTGACAACTTCATTAAAATAAAAATCCTTACTTGTGCCAATATTTAGAAGTCATATTTATGAATTTATTTCATTGAAAAGTAGAAATGAGTGAATATTAATGAAAGAATTTCTACAATTTTAATTTATGAATTTAATAGGATTTGTAGTAAAGGAATTTCAAGAATTTACTATCAACAGAGATTACAGAATTTATGCTCAGAAATAGTTGAAATATTTTATTGTATTTGAAAGCTACTTAGCGGAAAAATTTCTTCTGCTCTATATAGAAAATATGGTTGATATATATATAATAACTTAGAGAGGGTGGTTAAAAGCATAAATCGATTCAACTGTTCGCTGCGTAGTAGAGCCGCCTGTTGATATGGTCTGGGCTTTCATTCATAAAATAGACCAAAATATTTTGGCAATTAGTTCTGCCTATGTAACAAATGATTTTGTTATATAACCTGTACGTAAAATAATATTGTTTTACTAAACACTTCAAAATAATAAAGCCAATAAAAAATGCCCTATATTTTTTTTTCTTTTTTTGAATAAATAAATAAAATCAAGTGTAAACAAATAAATAATTTAATACATACCAGAAATTGTGGCAATAAATCATTTTTTGAAATAAATGCAAAGTATAAAAATCATAATTTTTTGCGCGCTAAAAATACTCTAAAAAAATTAGTTTTTTATCGTAAATATTTCATGAATAACATTAAACTAAGTTTTTTCTATGTTTATTGTTTGCATGCTAATGAAATGAAAATAGAATGAAAAATAGATCGAAATTATTACTATCGATACCTCATACACGGATAAAATTAATAATCGATTTTTTTTTTTTGATCACTCGTTCAAACTATACCGATAGAGTCAAATTGAATATCAATTTCAAAACAACCTTCGTAAACATCGAAACTAATAAGCATATTTAACTTGTAAATCGTTAATATATTTAAATTCTTCCATAAATTATTAATCGATTGTTAATAATTAATTTGCGAAAATTATATTATTGTATGAATACACATACAAAATAATTACATTATAAAATCTTTGAGTTGTTAACGTAAGCATTTCAAAAGCAAGTGTTAAGTTGCACTGAGCGATCAAACACGTGTTGAGAGAACAAAGAAGTGGCTTGTACATGGTTGTGTTCAAGCGGAAAATAGTCTTAACTGCGTATTAAACTTGACTTTCACTTCAATTCTTAGATTTATTAGAAATATTATACACAAATGGAAAAAGAAGAAACAGCTGTAGTTTGTCCATATGATAAAAATCATATTATACATAAATCTCGTTTACAGCGACATTTAATTAGATGTGCAAAGGTAAATAAATTTTTAAGAATCATTTACAAAAATTTTTTCGTTTTTCGTCATTAATTTTTTAACACAATTTTTTTATAGAATTTTCCACCTAAATTCAAAGAGACTTGTCCGTTTAATGCAACTCATTTGATGTTTGCATCTGATTTAGAGAAACATATTCAAGAATGTCCTGATAGAAAATACATTGAGACGGAACGTTATCGTACGTCAACTTATTTTTCCTTTGAAATCAAATTAGAATTATTTTATATGCATACACAGTAATATTATTGACATTCATAAATTTTATGTATAACAGGTTACACATTAAAAAACCATGGTTCTATAGCATCATGCCAACAATCTTATGTAGATCTTACAGTAGATGATAATGAGACTTGGGATTTAGCATCAACACGAGATGATTTCAGTACTATTGAGAGTGAAAGTATTTGTGGATTACCAGTACGTAAAGAAACAAGGTTGGTAATAATTATTTATTTATGATAATAAACGCCTAACTATTAATAAATCACATAAAATTATTAAAAATTGAATGATTCAATGAATTGATAATGTTAGGAGATTGATAATAATTGGGAGAAATTTCTCAAATGTATTTATTGTCTGTAATTTAAACTTAAACGTTCAAAGTTATTATAACAAATTTGACAAAAAATTTATTTGCATTCTTTTATCAATATATTTATAACTAAAAGTTGAACTTTCAAACATTTTTCATGCTATAATTAAGAATAGTATTCTAAATCATTATTTTTACTCTTTAGTACTCAGCCTGGTAGGATGAGAGCACCATTTACTCAATCTCAAGTTATGTTGATGAATATTCCAAGCGAGGATGCTAGAGCTGAGGATTTGGAATCAGTTACGAGCAGCGTAGGTCGTGGGAAATTTATCAAAGGAGGTCTTATTGTACAAAAAATTGGAAGAGGCAGAGGCAATTTTTCTTGTAATACACCAAAAGTTGGTGCATCAGCTTTAGCTGATACTGAAGATACAGAATCTGTTGTTAGTAGCATTGGTCGTGGAATGATACATCACAGAGTGATGAGTGATTCCAGATATGCTAGTGATATGGAAGACATGATATCTGTAGTCAGTAGTGTAAGATCCAGATATCTCTCTTAAAGTTATAATCATAATCATTAATGTCATTTTCGTTTTGAAATTATTTTCAATACATCGAAATGTTAGTTCTATTTTATTTACTTAAAGAAATACTACTTCCAAAAATTGTTTTTAAGGTTCTGATACTTTTTTTTAAGAAAGTACTGTTAGAGAGTTTTCATTTGAATGATTTATTCAAATAATACTATAGTATAAATAATCATTGTTTTTTTAGTTTAACACTTTAATGAAAATGGCAAAGAGTTTTGAATTAATAAAAAATACTTCTTTTTTTATGTGTCACTATGTCAAATAAATTGATGTAATCAGAAAAGACGAAATATGATTTAACAAAGGAAATTTAAAATACATTCAATAATAAATTACAATGATTTTTGTATTTTATTCTAATTGTAGTTTTTTATATGTAACACCATTAATGTATAACGGGATTTAATATATATCTTCTTGTATTTTCTACTTTTCTTTTTTTAGCATTTTTTAAATGCATTTAAAATTATCAAATTAGTATAAAGGTTATTCACTAAAATAAATTTGATTTTAAAAATCAAATTTGTAATTTATTTAATATTAATTGTATAGTGTTTTTGATAATATTTGTATATTTCATTCTCAAGCTATTGACCATACATACTTTTTTTTGCTTAGTTATTTTTTATCATCGAGATTATTGTAGATTTTAATATTTAGTGATGTGTTTCTTTTTAAGTTCCTGATATTTAAGTAAATGAAAGTAGTCTTGTATAACTTTTCTTTTATTTGTTGACTCATTTCTTCTAAATAATTTACTTCAATTTACAAATTAAAAACTTAAAAATGATAAAAAATAATTTAAATAACTTCTGCTAATATTTTTATAGAAGATTAAACAAATCCAATAGATAATTAATATGATACAACCAGATTATATTTTGACTAAAAAAATAAACAATTCCTTCAATATAAGAAATTATTTTTTATATTATAAATACAATAGTTACCGAAAAATGATAAATATTTATATTCATTCATTTCTTATTAATAAATCAATTTTTATATCACCTGAACTACATGGAAATATGTTGTATAAATCTGGAGATGTTTAACATCGTCACATTATCATTAATTAGGTCTACCTTATGATTAATATAAAATTAAAATCGACCCCAGAGTGTAAATAAGTACGTTACCTAGAAACTTTACATTGGTATTTATCCAAGCAATAATTATGTCATTATCTAAACTCTGTCGTTCTTTTTTATCAATGAGAACCTTTTATCTATCGTCATGGTTGTATATATTTCCATGTTTTTTCATATTTTATTACTTATGTAAATGAAAATAAATATATATTTTAAAGAAAGATAGATTCTTAAGGATAGCATTATTCCTAAAGTTAATTTTTTCTATAATTTTGTTATGATAACCTCTAGAAGTATTAATTAATTATCGTATGATATTCGTGATTAATTACAACGCGAACGATGAAAACGTGTAAAAAAGTATCGCAAAAGCTTTTTGTAGGAGTCAACGACTTAGGATAATGCATTGGCCCAGCGCTACCGAAAAATTTGTAGCAATTTTACTTATTGTTTTTATATTTAAATGTATCCCTTATACACCACAATTTTTGCTCCTTAGTTCTGTCAAATAAATTAATATTAAAATGATATAAAATAAAAAATTATTCATTTAAATTCATTAACTATCGAAGATTCATATTTCATATTTACAATGTCCTTATCAATTTAATGTATTGTCCAGTTGCATTTGTATTATTAAATTTTTTTATCAATAAAATATTCAGATTGTTCAATCTAAATATTTGAATAATGAATAAATAAATTTAAATAACTATTAAAATTGGCTATTTCAATATTTTTACAAATTAATTATTTGACAGAACTATTACAATACCATACACAATATATTCTATTTTTCTTTTTCATTTATATCAAATTATAAGTATGGAAGTGTCTCTACAAGGAGACAAGCAATAACATACAAAATTCCAAGATACATATTCAGTCTGGCCGTCTGTTTAGGCACACTCTGTATTGTTAGAGGATTTCGAAATTGTTTTTCAATTTTAAACGCTGTTGGGAGCGTGACGAGAGGTAAAAGAAACCATACAGAGTATCTCAACGCTAAAACAACGAGTGCAATATACGGGGTAAAAAGTAAAAAAGCGTATAAAACATGTGACGCCGTATGACCTATAAGTATAGCAAGAGTAACGATTCCTGCTCTTCTATCATTCTCCAAATCACGAGTGTTGTTGCTATGAAGAATGGCTTCGGTATTTAAAGCAAGTGGTATTGCATAATATATTGTTCCCCATTGCACGAAACCCGTTTGAGCCATAAAAGCAAATAAAACTGAAATAGGTCCGAATATGACAAGAATTAAAACGTCTCCAAGTGCAATGTATTTAAGGCCAATTCCTCCAGTATAAAGAAATGATGATGATAGACCACCAAAAAATACTAGGGCAAGATGCTCCATTTTAGCTGGAGATATCATGGCTAAAATCACAAAACCTAAACACCCAGCAGTATATAATAGTGTTCCTAATGATACTAGTTCATCCTTTGACAGTAAATGATCAACTAAAATTCTGTCATCACTTTTTCCACTGCTGTCAACACCTTTGATATAATCAAAATATGTATTAACAACATTCCCAGCTCCATGCACAGAAATAATTGTGTAGAGGGTGAGGATAAATATGATTAAACTAAAACTGTCCCAATCAGTTAAACGATAGGCTAAAGCTGATCCAAGTAAAGTGGGCATCAATGAAGCACTTAATGACCATGGTCGTACTGCTGAGAAGTATGATGATAATTTCATCAGTGGTGAATTCAATGTTGATGTTGATAAAGCACCATTCATTTTACTTGTTGACGTTTTTGTATCTAAGTCCTTAGAAGGACTCTGAATTCCATTTGACATAGTGATTTTGTCTGAAAATTTAATAAATTGATTAATTTTACAATTAATTATACTTCAGATAGTAATAATATTCAAAACATTATCATTATCTTACTTAAAAAACTTTATAAAACTTCTTATTTAAAATTTTTAGTAGTGAAAATACCAAGAAGAATTAGGTTAATTCCAATATTATTATTTAAATTTTATCTTCTTGTGGTTCATAATGCAATTAATTATTAAACTGTTGTAATAAAATATATCAAACCAGTTACAGGCTTGTTGGTCATAGCCCCCCTTTCTTTGGCTTGCCCTGTCTGCCCCGGTTCTTTTTTTTTTCCCCATCTGGCTCTTGCACGCTTGTCGCCGCCCTTCCTCCCCTTTCCCTCCCCCCCCCCTCTTTTTTCCCCTATCTTTACCTCATCCTTTCTTTTTCCTCTTCTCCCCGCCCACCCCTGTCACTTTCGTCCCCCTCTTGCCTCCTCAGTCGCCGACGGTCTCCATTTTTTCCATCACACCCCCGCACAGTTTCCGCCGCCCTACCCACCCCCCCCCTCCCGCCATCTCTGTACTTCTCCCCAGCCGCGGTCTCCACCTCCTTCTCTTCTTTGCACCCCTTTTTCTCTGCCCTCTTTTCACTCGGCTCGCGTGTTGGTCTTCCGTTTCGCTGCGCCGCCCTTGCGGGTGTCCGTCGTTGCCTCCTGCCCCCCCGCTGGGCCCTATCCCCATCCCTGCCCCGGCTCCTTGCTCCCGTGTCCCTTTTGCCCTCCTCCCGCGTTGATTCTCCTTCTCTATTCCACTGTCTCCACTCCTCCCTATCTTTCAGCTTTATCGTTCTCTTTCCCCTCTCCTGCTGCTGCCGTTTGCCTCCTTCTTTTTTTCTCCGCGGCTTGTACCTGTCTTGACGCCCTCTCCTCGTTTACCATCTGTGCCAACCCCCGATCGCCGTGGCCTGCCCTTTTTCGCGTCCCTCTTTTACTGCCGCTGTTCCCGACCTCAATCCTTGGCCCCCGCTATTCTTTCCCTTTCTTCCTCGTCCGTCCCATATGCTCTTCCTTCTTGTACGCTGCTTCTTGCATACTAGCCCCCACTGCCTTACCTTTCCCATCCCTCACTCCTTTCTTCCTCGTATTTCTACCATCTCCTCACTCCTCCCTCTTTACATTTCCACCTCCCACTTTCTTATCCCGTTCCCGTGATTCCCTGCCCCTCTTCTCTATTCGATGTCTTTTTTCTCTCTCCCGTGCCCCACCCTTCCCACCCTTTCACGTCTTGTTGCCCACAATCATTACACATAACTTCTTCACTAAAGAAGCAAAAAAAAAAAAAAACCAATTCTTCGTAATTCAATTTGTGGAGCGAAAATTAAAGCGATAAGAGGTATCAACCCAGGAATACCCGGCATAAGAGTGGTATTTCTTAAATGTAGATTTTTGCTTATAGCTCCTTGGCTTACTGATCCAGCCACGACTAATGTGTCTGAAGGATCTACTAGATTAGATTCAAGTATTATTGAATTAACTGACTCCTCAGCAATGGTAACTTTTCTACCCTAAACTTGTATTTGTTAGATTCACGATATGAACTTCCAAAGGAGAATGAGGACCATTTAGAAATACAGAATGAGAACATTCATTATCGTCAGGTGCTTCTGGATATGATTCAATTGAATAAAATTGTCTATATTCATGATATCTTTTTTCGTCTTCAGAAAATTGATAAACGTTTTTCCTTAACTCATGATTATATTTTGATAAATAATCTTCCTCTTTAGGTATTGCAAATTCTTTGTCAACTAATAATTCATTAATATTTATTTTTTTATCATACTCAGTAGCACAAAATAAAGTCAGACGTACTATAGAATTTACGACTGAATATACATAGCCATAAAGTTCAGTTGCTTCAGTGTCAATAATATGTTTGAATAATTTTTTTGCTTCTGGAGTCCATACTGCAGATGAAGTATTCTGAACATATGGTTTTATAAGCGCTAAAACGCATTCAAATGCTAAAGCAGGAATTTCAGTCAATACATTATTTTTAGGTAGACGACGTAAGTCACATAGTTGAATTTCTTTAACCATACCATAGTCTACGAAAAATACTTGGACTAAAATATTCTTTTTATCAGTAATTGAAATTGATTTAATAACAGCACGATGAAAATCCGTTTTATCATTCATTGTCATTGGAGCTAACACTAGAGCTCCGACTTCAGGTGATTTATCAAATTTTTCAAATTCCATGTATTGTATGCAATTTTTAATTTTTATTTCATAATCAGTAGTCTCTTTATTATCAACTCTAGCCCAAAAATATCCTGGATCAACATAATAAGTGAGTTTAAGAGGAATTTTAGTTACGTCAAGACCAGGTAGGTTTGGTGCAATAGTTTTTACTGATAGGTTTTCAATTTTTTCTTCAATACTTCTTAGTAGATGAGTAGATATTTTAGTATTAAGTTTTAATTTTTCAGCTCTTTGCATAGCAGCGTCAACGCTCATAACAGGAATAGCCATTTTTTTTTGAACCTTACGCAATTTTAAAGCTCTATAGACACTTCGTGACGGCACTCCTGGATTATCTGATAGTCCTTTTCCATTATTATCTCTTTCAAACTGAATATACACTCGCGAAGTGTTATCAAATTTCACCTGAATTTTTTCTTGATCAGCACATTTGTCAAAAAGCTTTTGAAAACGACGAGCATACAATATACCTGGTTGTTGTGTTGGCCATCCTTGAAGATAGACTGTATTCAATGGATCTAATCCTCCAAGCATTTTTATCTTAGTAATTTCATCAGTGGTAGATTTAGTCACGAAATACTGTGGATAAAAAGCACCAGCGAAAACAACCTTAAGGATGAAAGATTTTTCTTTTTCTTCATAAACAATTTTATTAGAACCAACAGTTTCATTAATCCCTAATAAATTAAGCCGTCCATTAGTTTCTTGTATTAATGCTTCAATTTCTCGAAGAACTCGAATTTGTAAGCATTTCATACGTGCCCAATTTTTCTCTTGAGCATCATTTTTAATACGTGAACTACTTTTTTCACGCTTCCAAACATTGTAAGCATGTAAAAATGCTAAACCATCACTGAAATTATTTTGAGCCCATAACAATTTAGTATTATATGCATCGAGTTTATGTTTGAAAGGAGTACTGAACATATTTTTTACAGCCATACTCGCCCCAATAATAACTGATTCTGTCAGTACGCTGAACACGTGTCCTAAAACAATCATTTTAGATATATGAATGTCCATAGGAAGTGCAGCCATTACTCGACCAAGATCTGTGATTTCTCCATCAAAACGATCCTCTGAGTTATGTAATAATCCTCCAGCTTCTTTAAGTGTTAAAATTGTACGTTCGAGATTACTTAAATCAGGTGGATCAAGTGCTAATGCAAGTAAAGCTTGAGGTGAACCCATATCTAAAAGCTTCGTACGTAGTACAACATTTGCTAATGGTGCTTTAACTATTTCTGGAGGATTCTCTTCTGGTAAATCTCTATACATACTTTTAGGTATTAATCGGTAAACTCTTCCATCCATTACTCGACCTGTACGTCCTGCTCTTTGTTGACAATTAGCTTTACTCGCCCAAGTAAGTTCTAAGGTTTGGTAATTTGTTACAGGATCATAGGTAAGTAGTTTCGTTAGACAAAAATCAATAACGTACTTGACATCAGGAACTGTTAAACTACTTTCTGCTATATTTGTTGAAAGAATAATTCGTCGATATCCTTCAGGAGTTGGACGAAAAATTTGCTGTTGTTCGTCATTTGTTATCGATGAATGTAGAACTACAATATCCCACTTCAATGGTTCATTCTTTTGATCAGAAAGAGCATTGTGCATCTCTTCGATTTCATGTATTCCGGGTAAAAAAACTAAAATCGATGGACGAGCATCATTTTGTTCAGAATCATCTGCTGACATATCTATATTATCCATTACAACAATTAATCGACGAGCAAAATCAATCATTTCTGACGAAATATTTGGTTCTTTGGGTTCTACAGATGGTAATTTACCAAGAGTTAACAGCTCACAGAGATAATATTCGTTTACATTGTAAAAATTTCTTTTAGTAACATCAATAACTCGAGCTGGTGTTAAAGATTGTCCTACATACGAAGCAAAATATTTAGCAAATTTATCGACTTGAAACGTTGCTGACATCAATATTATTTTTACATTATGTGAGTTCAGGTAGAGTAATTTTCTTAACACGAGAAGCAAAAAATCCATATCTTGATCACGTTCATGAATTTCATCAATTATGATATGAGAAAATTCATTTAAATTTTTTGCTAATATCAATTTTTGTAACAATACACCTGTTGTACAATAAGTAATTCGTGTATCGGAAGAGGTGCGAGATGAAAGTCCTACTTTGTATCCTACAAGTGAACCGAGTGGACATTTTAGTTCAGTAGCAACTCGACCAGCAATACTAATAGCTGCAATTCTTCTTGGTTGGGTAACTGTTACGAAATGATTGAAAGAAAATTATTTAAAAATATAAATATTATAAAGGATAAAATAATTTTTTTAAATAGCCAAACGTACCTATTATATTGCAGAAAAGTTTTTTCTTGTGATAGTAATCCCAAATAATTTGTGGAACTTGAGTTGTTTTTCCACATCCTGTTGGTCCTTGAATAATTGTAACTGGTTCTGTTGTAATGCTGTCAATGATATCAGAATGAACTGTTTTAATAGTCAAATTTGAATTTGGTTGATACACTTTGTTGTAAGTTCTATAAATTTTTTCCTGTTCTTCTTCCATGAATGATTGAGGTGCTTGAGCATCAGTAGCCAAAGATACATTATCAAGTTTATGATTGGTACCTCTTAAATATTTAGATGCCTAAAAAATAATGAAATTTTAAGTGAGATAAAAAAAAGTTCGAACTCTATATTTGATAAAAAAATATATACATATACTTACTTCAAAAAGTTCTCGATCAGCTTTTTTAATATATTCTTCTGCATAATCGGTTCCTGTTGCATATGTATCAGCTAAGGAAGCTATACTTATTGAACGACTCAAGCTATCAACAGATAATTCCTTCCTTGCACCACGATATAAATTAATTTTTCCCATTTTCTTAGTGGGATTAAAAAGGTCTAAGGGATCCATTTTCTTTACTAAAAAATTTCGATTTGTTTTTTAAACCTAAAATAATAAATGAAGCAAAAATACAATTATTTTATAATTAAATTTAACAGGAAAATCGCCTTTTAATTTATTAAACAAAAGTACGGACTTAATTGAATATGCAATTTCGAAAGAAGCACATGTCTGATAAGATATCTATTGAGATGTGTCCTTTTCGACATTGCATATCTAATTCTTAATGTAAATAATTAGAGATTAATTAATGAACTTCAAAACAATTTTTCTTGAATAGATTTAATTAAAAACTGATTTCAATTACCAAAGATCACTACAAATATTTTAACCCTTAGTTGAATCTTGAGTCACTTCACTGTACCTCATCAGTTTTCTGTTTACTTTTCGATCGAACAAAGAACTTCTAAGAATATCCGGTAATCGTACCGGCGACCGTTTTTATTATTGTGTGACGTATTTATTTATCGAAGAACATGTGTAACAAAATACGCAATAAATCGAAACTGAATTAAAATTAATGTCGCAGTTTCTTTACAAAATTTTTCTGAGATGAAATAATTGTAGTAATAATTTTTTTGATATTTAATTTTTTTTTAAATATGTGTAAATTAATTAATCAGTAGCTAAATTATTCAAAAAATAGATTTCAATAGAAGATTAATTTTGATTATGGTGCCACATAGAGTAGTTGAAATTTGTTCCGTTAACAGCGCTACATGTTCAAGAAAAACAACGTGTGTTTTTAAAGTTGAGGTTATAATTTTAAAAAAATGTAAAAAAATATTTAGTTTACCGTGTAAAGTAAAATATATTAATTAATAATTTTTAACAATTAAAAAAATGGCACAAAAGCTAATTTCAACTTTACCCTTACAACAAGACGCTCAGTTTATGGTAATTGATGAAGGTAACGTATCAATTAGTCTAATTAAGTTATCATTCATTTGTTTTTTATTCTTTGTTAAATAATGTAGAATTATTAGTTAACAATTAAGGATAAAAATAATAATTAATTTTCAGATGAAGAAGCACTGAATGCCGAAAATTTATTAAATGGATGGATGCAAATATGGAGTTCTACAAATACTTCACAGGAAATCAATTATTTATCATTTTTTCATCCAAAATCATACTATGATGATTTATTAACAATGTTTCCTGCAAATAATTTGAAAATACATGATTATTGTTCAGTAGATATTAATAAAATATCTGATAAAAAAGAGATCAATTTAGAATCTATAATGAAAAGCATTGCGACAAATAACAAATCGATTGTAATTATTAATTGTTTGAGTTCTTTAATAGTAGATGTAGGTTTAGGTAAAGCTATAAAATTTGTAGAAAAATTATCTCAACATGTTTATAAATTAATTTGTATATACAGATATGATTTTGGAAGAGAAAAAGTACCAAGTATTGAAACTCTTGGTACCACTTATGTTCAATTAGGCAAATGTAAAGATACAGTATTAATTGGTGAAGTTTCTTATGAAGTATCAGTAGTTCATCGCAAACAAGGAGGTGGAATTTTGAAAAAAGAAATAACAATAAACCAAGATCTCATTACAAATGAAATTAAATCTGAAAAAATTATTGAAAAATCTGCTACCACAATGGCTACATCATCTGAACCAACAATAAAACCACAAGCTTCTTTCAGAACAGATATGAATTCCAGAGAATTAGAACAAAGGAATCAAACACCTTTGCCTTACTTAATAAAACCCGATGATCCTGTAAAGGAATCTCAAATTTATTATGTACCAGATTTTAATGATGATATTGATGAAGAAGATCCGGATGACGATTTGCCATTTTAATTGTTATTATTTACAAAAAAGAATTTCGAATATTCAAGTAACAAAATATTGATACAATTTATTCTATTTTAAATATTAATAAAACAATCCTTTATTTTTATTAATAAATTTAAATCACAATTATTTGTTACTGTCGTGTATTTATTATAATTTTTTTTAAAAAAACCTAGTTTTTTTTTACATTATACAACGATGATAAGATTACAATGTTAACACAAAATTAAGATTGTCAATTGAAGTTTAGTACAGAGATAAATTATTTCAAGTATACTATCTTCATTCTATTTTATTCATCCATCGCTTTATAAAGAAATTTCATATTGATTTGATTCTAGAAGAATATTTATTTATATTGGCCGTGGTTACATATATGAAGTTCAAAACTTTCAATACATATACATAATTTATTAATGTTTCTAGTATATTTAAAAAATAGCTTTTACTATTAAAATAATTTTACTTTTACTTAAGCCATTTTTCTTTTTACTTATTAGAAATTTTAAGAAACCTCAATTATTCTTAAATATAAAAGAGAACAATGAAAACAAAACTTTGGTACTTACAAAAACAAAACATAATACAGACTAAGTATCAAACGCTCAACAAGGCAATCACTCGACCAAGTATTGTCTTTGTAAACAGTACTTGACTTGAGCCACAGCAGCATACTATCAAAAATTACGCTTATTAATATTTATAGTTTATAGAACAGAGGGTTTCAATTATACGATTGTGCACAATAAATTGTTTATATTATTCAATATTAAAGATGGATGATGATCACGATTGTTTAATCTGTAAAACTAAATTATTTATCCGTCCCGCGGATAAAAATAATTATTCATAAATATAAAAAAATAAATAAATTAGTGAAGTAAACTATTGTTTTATCATTTTTCCTATTATTTTGGCTTTTTTTTTGTAGAATAGACTATTAATTACTTTAACAACCATAACAATTAATTTGGACCATGGCTCACTAAATCGAATAATATTAAATTAATTAATAATCATTAATACTCAGATGGTACAGACGAAATTAAATAATCCAAATTATTTAGCTTTTGAAGGCATATAAAATATTATTATCATGAAAATGATGAGTACCATCTACATGATGTAATACCCTACTTTCAAGAAGACGTCGTCCATATTGTACTGCATCTTCCCGGTTTTCAGCTATTCCAGCTTGTAATAGATAATCAACCAAGTCAGTACCGGAAAATGCTCCTTCATAAACTTTCAATAAACGCCTACGACACATAGATATCCTTTGACGGCATTCGTGGAGGTGACATCGTTTAAATTGTTCACGAATCGATAAAGTTTCTGCGCTTAAAGATTCTTCATCTGGTAGTTGTAATTTCTGACGAGCTTTCCAATCCCGACAAATTTTTTTAAGCCAAGCTCCAAGTCGTCCAAGGCTTGGATCCAGTCCAAATATAATAAACGCTATTAATGATTGTCCAAAATTAAATGCCACATCAAGAAAAGCCAACTCAGCGTATACTCCTGTCATTTGTTCCATTATCATCGTTCCAACTGATAAAGCTATACCCTATAATTTGATCCATTAAATTTATTTCATTAATCGATAGGTTTTTGATGTAAAAATATATTAAAATACTTACGACAAACATGGAACATAAAAGAAATATTAAAAGAACTAAATGTCTTAGAAATTGCGGATCATCAGGATCTACTCTTCTTTGATCAGTCTGATAATCCATGTCCTGTTCATCTGTTAAAGAGCTAGGAGCACAAAAGTTATTCTGGAAGTCACAAGTATTGTTATGCTCCAAAATACAGCTACCTCTGTAAAAATGTATCATAAAAATTTAATCATCTAAATCACTACTAGTTTGAAATGTTTGTGTTCTATTGAAAATATTCATAATACCTTGATAAAGCAGCTCCAGAAGGTATTAAGTCTTCAACATCAACCACATTTCTATTTTCTACGATTGAAGATTCAATATTTTCGGACGTTTGTAATAGACTAGCATAAATTTCAGCATTATGACGCCTTTGATATCTTTGTTGCAATATTAAACAACCAGCCGTTACTACAAAAAGAAATAGTAATTGACATAAATTAATGGCAATTTTTAACTAAAATTATTCTCACGATTATTAATGGTTTAGTATTTTACCTATGAAAGAAAATAATAATAAGAAAATCGAGACTGCTGCTTGAACTCTTCCGAATTGAAAGTTAGGGTTTCTGAGATCAAAGCTCACAAAATTATTTGGTGAGATTACCAAGCACATCAAACCCACAATCAATAATGGTACAATTAAACCAATTGGTAAAATCCATCTTTGCAAATCTTTGACAAAGTTTTGTGTTCTTGAGCTTAAGAAAAGTAGAGTTGCCGCTAATGACGCTGTCCAAAGTCGACTTGCGTAAACACCTACACTAATGAGAACGAATTGAATATACCAGTAGATAGATCCAACCATGTTTGTATTGAGTTTTGTCCACATGAGAAGTCCAATTGCTACAGCGAGTTGTGCAGCTATAATGTGCAACGTACACCGATGTGTTAGGCGTTTATATTTTTTTCCTTCTAGCACGAAGAAACATATAAAAAGCCATAAACAAGCTGCAATCGATGCTACGCTTACATCCAAAGAAAATGAATTTAGTTGTCGTGCATAACTTGCTGGCGATACTCCGTCATTAATTGCACTGATGAGTTTCGCAGAAACGAACATTAATGGAGCTGATAAGAACGTACAAGCAACCATTGCTGACGCAATTAAATCAATATCCACATTATAACGAAGAGTAAAAATGAATAATGCCGGTGCTGTAGGTATTGTACCATACAGAAATCCATATGTGCTCAGGTTCCTTGTATCCATTTCATTTATTCCAGCGTCTAGGAGTGTCACTGATTCTCTTATTACTAAAGGAAGCGCTAATAGTTTGACTGATATCAATATTCCAGGTATGACTAGTGCTGCGCCTTTCAAAGTATGAATTTTTCCGACCATCATAAATCCGAGTAAAAATAATGCACTGGCTGAAAATGCATTTCCAAATACTTCAAGTATTACTGACAGCATTTTAGGGATTTGATGACTACAAATAAAATTTCCAATTATCCCTAATACTGTCATGGCAAGAATAGGATTAAGAGCTATTCCTTTGACAATAGATCCAACCAGTTTCCATCCTGATTGTTCAGCCCCTGTTCTTCTTTTACCAATTTCTAGAAGAACGAAACCTATTGGGTTTAAAATGGCCAAAGATATTGGAGCCATTAAGTATAGATATGCTGCATATTCTGGATGAGTATCACCATACAATGCATCAACTGCAAAAATTATTTATAGATTTAACACTAAATAGTTTTTTAGAAAATTTTTTTTTATTAATTAAGCCATACTTACTCATGGGATAGCCAATTGCAAAGTCATTACTCTGAGTAGCAAAAATAGCAAACAATGCAGCTCTTCCCGGATGTACAGGTCTTGTGACCATTAAAGAAACCCCAAGAACCACAATAAAAACACATGCCTTGGCAAGAAAAACAGCTAACAAAAACTTCCAGTTGACTAGAGAAAAGTCGAGTTTAGCTAATGATAAAAAGATCAATGACGGGAGAGCGAAAGTTCCTACGAATGTATTCAATCCATTGGCTTCGGTTTTTGTAATAATTTCTAATCTCCCAGCAATGTATCTATAATAAGAAATATTTAGTAACTATCTTTTTTATAAACATTTATTTACCAATATTAAATTAACTTACCCGCAAAGTATAATTGCAAAACATTGAATTAAAGCAAGATATAAATTGTCAGTTGGTGTATCGGATAAACTGAGCTCCATGATTAAAAAATTTACCAATGACAGTTAACAATCAATGAATAACATTGATCATGTCAATTACCTGAAAAAGTCAAGTTCAAAAGAAGCATTAAGTACTAAGCAAATAATTTAAATTTATTCGAACATATGTTTATATTTACATGGCTGCACTCAATGGATTTAAAAGATTATTGAATGTTTAGAGCAAAAATTAAAAAAATTTCTTAATTATCATTTATCTTATTACTTACCAGTTAAGATGATATGTCATTGTTAATTATCCCATTTAATTTGATTACTCTTCAGCTGTCATGTGTATAACATCGGAGCTTATGCACTAAAATAAAAATAAATACGAACTTACAGAAATCAATATGTCCATGAACGTGAACTATAAATGTTAATTCATCAAAAATAATGTCTGTTACTTACATTGAAGATATTAAACATCATTATGAATCATTTCAAGCCGAATGATGCATGATTATATCTATCTTCTGTACACCACAATTGCCACTGCAAAAGTCACGTAGGCTCCTTTACATGTGGTAGTCCAACATGGTGTGTAAGTTATATACTACTACAGGTTAACATCCATTACTCTCTCCAACCAGCATTATGTACAAGTCGGAGAAAGATAGATTTATAACTCCGGATTTTTGGTCCCTTCACTTATACTCGTTCACATTCTAATGGACCAATAATGCTAAGAATCTCCGGCGCGTTTCTTAAATTATTAAAGTAGTTTTGTATGTATGATCATACCTGTATATATTTATGTTGTTAGTCCACATTATGCAACTAGTCTTATGACGAATTGAACTATTACTTTGCTTTAAAAAAATTACAGTTGTGATAAATTATTTTATTATCAATATAATTTATAAATATTTTGTCATCTTGAAAGCTAGAGTTGATAATTTATGAGTAAATGAATCACAAAATAATTTACTATTTTGTAAAATATAATTGATAATAAATAATATCAATAATTAAAATTAAATGTTTTGTTTTGATTAATCATGAAAAATAACAAAGTAATAATATTTATAAATGGATGAATTATTTTTTATATGTTGTATATTTATTGATAAAAAAAAAGAAATTTAAATTCTCTTTTATGTGTTGATTTTAATTTTTTTTTTAAGTTAAAAATTATTTTTAAAAAAAATATCAGATTCGGGGAAATTCGGGTTACTCCGTTCGTCTTCGTGTATTCGTAACTGTTGGTCCCCATGCGTAAAAGCCGTGAGACTGTGGAGTTAAACATTATGAATTAGGTTAAGTTGAAAAATGTAAATTTAAATTGAATTGAAAAATACCACAAACAAAATGTCATTAATTATTAAAAATCTTACGACTAAATTTCAACGATATTCATGTCAGATATCGAAACTCTGTACTGTAGTTGAAAGCCAAGTCCAAAGTGAAACGACAAATAATAATACCTTGATACCAACAAATGATCCTCCAATAATATCAAATGTAAAATATTATGATGAAGAATCTTTGTATATTAAAAAAAGGCAAGTTTGGATAGATAACATAGATACCATTCAAACAAAAAAACTAGGAATAATGACCTTACATCCAGAAATATTTGCGGCAAGACCTAGAGTTGATCTTTTATGGAGTAATGTTAGATGGCAACGAATGTATAAATTTGTTGTAAGTAATTTTATCCTAAATCTTTAGCAAAGTATTCTATTATTACATTTATAAAGTTGATTCATTAAAAAAAAAAATTGTAATTGAAACTTGAAATTGAAATTCTACAGCAAACATAATTGTTTTTATAGAACTATGCCCATGTAAAAAATAGGGCTGAATTAAAAGGAGGTGGAAGAAAACCATGGCCACAAAAAGGATTAGGTCGTGCTCGCCATGGAAGTATTAATTCTCCTTTATTCAAATATGGTGGTAAGGCTCATGGTCCAAGATCTCCAGCAACTCATTTCTACATGCCTCCATTCTATGATCGAGTATTGGGCTTGACTTCAGCATTATCTGTAAAATTAGCACAAGATGATCTTTATATTGTCAAAGATCTGGAAATTCCCACTAATAATCCAGAATATATTGAGTCCTTGTTAGAAGAAAGATATTGGGGACCAAGTGTTTTGTTTGTGGATACTGAAGACATAATGCCAGAAAATATTACAATTGCAACTGACACAATCTTTCACATAAATTTGATGCCAGTTTATGGTAATAGTAGCTAACTAATTTTATGATAATCTCTTCATTTTTCTTTCAACCATTTTTCCTTTCTTCTAGGATTAAATGTTTACAGCATGCTGAAGCACAATACACTTGTTTTAACACAACGTGCAGCTCGTCAGATTGAAGACAAGCTTTTACATCATTTGCATAGACCTGATAATAAACAGTTAATATCTAAATTTACTTTGAGTAAAAAATAAATTAATGAAATAAACTATTTATTAGTTGTATGGATCTTTCGAATAAACTTTACAAATTACGTTTATTTCGTATATTCAATATAACAAGTATTCGTATCCAACAGTTGTCTGTTGATTTATTCTTGCAATTTATTTTCTTATTAACAACTTTCTTTATTCATGAATATTCAATGATAATTTATCATACCGTCATCTTCTTTTTACATTCATAGTACTGAAATATTGCTTTAAGATCGGCTGCAAAAGAATGAAATATTAATATCAATTTATTTAAATTGTTTTCTATATTCGAATGAATATTATTTCAAAATTACCCTTGGCATGGGATAAGCTACCAGCATGTTTTCTCGAATTTCCCCTCTGAGTCGAGTGTGTAAATTCTTACTGGTAAGTGGAAATTTTTGACAATTCTCGGAAGGATCCTTTACAAATTTTAATCCAAGGGTTCCGGAGGATTAAAAAGAAAGAAGCCTGTCCAAATATGATTTAAATAAATCTCTAAAGATATTTTCATCAAGTTGACCATATTTTTCTCAATGGTTTCACAGGTCATTCTTTAATTAACTTTTCACAATACGAATCTTTTAATAAAGTTAGCTATTTAAGAAGAGAGCAAATTTTACTTTTCAAAGCCATCTTTTGAAAGAAAATCAACATCAACTTCTTGGAAATAAATTGGATTTTCCATACATTTAGTAACCACAAATACTTGTAATAGTTTTGATTTTTAAATTTAGTGCACAAAAGCCCACGTGATCAATTTCCAGTATTACCAACAGTCCTTGAAAAAAGTCCATAAATTTTCCACCATGTTAACAAATAAAACATGAATTTTCCCTAGTATAAATAAATAGTATCTGTTTAGCTCCTAAACTAAATTGTCTTGACATTACTTCAGAATGTATTTCTGTCAGCTAAACTTACCTTTAATCTAATCAGTAGGCGGTGTGATTAATTCGAATTGTAATTTATCTCTTTTATACGACAACTAATTTTAGTTGAACATGTCGTTCAAATATTACTCCAAAAACTATAAAAAAACAAAACCTTCAATGAAAAGTAATATTTAAACAATTAGAACATGATCAATGGGGTAAGTTTAAGTTCAAATCACGATGTTTTGATATTTGTTAGACTTTTTCTATCAATAATTACTTTTAGCGTATCATTCTGCAAACTAATGATGTTGAATCATTGCTACTTTTTCCGATTAATTGTGACCTTCTAGCTTTACTCATCTTTCCAGGTGTGTCATCGTAATTATTAGTTTCAGTCAACACCTCTGGTAGAACCTTACAAAATTTATTTGCAAATTGAACATTGTTTTAATACATAAATATTCGATATTTTTAATTTATTGTTTACAGAACTCTATTGGTGCCTCTATTGGATAAATAATAATTGAAACGATGTTTTAAACGTTTCCATAAAATTAATATTGGAAATGGAAATGAAGCCAGATTCAGAAAATTATGATCAGAGTTCTGGATCGCTGGATAACAATGGAAGTATGATTTCGAATGTGGTATCAAGTGGTGAAAACGGAATTTCGGAAAGTGCTCAAGAATCATCTGAATCATCAGGATCATCAACAAACTGTTTAATAAATAATCAAAATTCAGAAGAAGGACAAAGGAAAGATCAAAGTACACCAGTTTCTCCTAAATGTTTTTCTAATGCATGTGATGAAGTTACTAGTTTAGTTATTAAAAATAAAATTCATCAAAATGGAAATTCGGAGAATGAAGATTTATCAAATTCAGTTTCTGATGGAGAAAATTGCAATGGTGTTTCAGAAAATGTCAACAGTACAGAGAATAGTGATGCAAATGTGCAACCTACTTACTTGCAGAATATGTTAAAGAAAAAGCAATTTATGGGAAGTGTATTTGAAAATTCAAAACCATTACATAATTCTGAGACGTCCAATTGTGCCAACGAGCCTGTAAAAAAAAATATGATCAGAAAGAAAGAATTTTTAAAAAACAATCGTCGTGCTGGCAGTGAAGATTCATCTTTAAATAAATCAACTACAAATCAAAATGATATAAGACAATATTCACTCGATGATCATAATATTTCTACTGGTATATTAGAACTTGATGAAGCTTGTAGTAGTAGTAGTTCATTACAACACAAAAGTACAAATGTTTCTGTAGACGAAGCTGTATCATTGCCATTAGATTTTCTTGAATCAAATTCTGAGGATGCTGCAACTATTTTACACAAACCATTTAAACTTCCAAGCCTCGTAAATTTATATGAAGCAGTAGAAGCACAACGAATCGAGCTTGAAGAAAATGCAGCAGCAGCAGCAGCGGCTTCAATAGATTGCGCTTCGGGAATAAGCAGCCACGAAGATAATGCTCAAGCACTTGCTTTAGAGCCTAGATCGTCTTATAGTAGTGAAGGAAGTAATTCTGATACTGAATCTCAGCGAGTAACTGATATTCTGAAGAATGAGTCAGCCAAGAAAAGAGTACGAAGCATCAATGGAGCAGGATTACCAGATCGAGTAGAATATTATCAATTGTGGCGAAGCACTGGTGGTCCATCATCAATTCAAGATTCTATGCATGATAATATGTATCCAAATCCTCCACCATTACCACCGCGAGCTACGCATAGGCCTTTACATCGTACTAATGCTCTACCAACTGCTTTACCTACGTTATCTCATAAACATCTTCATAAACATACTGTTCCTTGTCGTCCTGAAGATTGTTTTGGATTTGAAATTGTTGATGTCGATGAAGCTATGGCTCTAAAGACTCGAACGGCTGTAACTAAAACCATTGCTTTGTTAAGTTCTCCAAGACCTCACAAGCCATTAATTAGATCAGAAACTGGAGCAACAAGTCAACCAGAATGTCCTCCAACTCCAACACATCGTCCAAAGCCTTTAAGACCTTCACAAATTTGTTCTTCTGATTCATCTGTATCATCTGATGAGTCACTACCTCCATCTTGGGAAGCAAGAATTGATAGTCATGGAAGGGTTTTCTATATTGATCATGTAAATCGGACAACGACTTGGCAAAGACCTGGACAAACATCTCGAAATGGTTGTGACATGCGTCGACAGCAACTTGATCGAAGGTATCAAAGTGTACGAAGAACGATATCACGACCAGACAATATTGATCGTGAAGCTGGATCTTCTGTGTCAAGTACTAGTCAAGACACTGAAGACAGACAAGATTTTAATCGGGTAGAAAGAAGTGAAACAGAGCCGTTCGATATAACAACAATACCTCCTGTTTTATTTCTTTCACGACCTGATTTTTTTACTGTACTTCATACCAATATGAATGCTATGGAGCTTTATAATCGCAATCCAAGCCTTAAACACATGATTAGCAGAATTAGAAGAGATCCATTAGTTTTTCCACGATATGAACATAATCGTGATTTAGTAGCTTTGATTAATTTCTTTGCTGACCCATCGAAAGATTTACCACGAGGCTATGAATCAAAATTAGATAGGACTGGTAAAAGGTTCTTTATCAGTCACGCAAGAAAGGCTACGTCATTTATTGACCCAAGGCTTCCAACTGAAGCTGCTCATCCACGAACTGTTCTTGATGAAGCGCCTATTCCACCTCCTCGGCCTCAACAGTCTGGTATTTCAGCTGTTCCAGAAATTCCAGTGGCTTATAGTGATAAAGTAGTTGCTTTTCTACGACAGCCAAATATTATAGATATTCTAAAGGAACGTCAGTCGTCTGTGGCACAAGATATTCCTCTAAGGGAAAAAATAAATGCCATCAGAGTAGAAGGAACAACAGCTTTAAAAAGATTAGGCCATGATGTGACTTTGGCTGTGTTATTAAGTTTATTTGAGCAAGAAATCATGTCTTATGTTCCTGGAAATATTGGTCGATCTCCAATAAATAGTCCTCATGCATCACCTGGCTTTACTAGAGCATCTGCACGAGCTCCTGCACCTTACAGACGAGATTTTGAAGCTAAACTAAGAACTTTTTATCGCAAACTTGAAAGTAAAGGATTTGGCCAAGGACCTGGTAAATTGAAACTGCATATAAGAAGAGAACATCTTTTAGAAGACGCTTTTACAAGAATTATGGCGGCATCAAAGAAAGATTTACAAAAAGGAAAGTTAGTAGTGATTTTTGATCATGAAGAAGGACTTGATTATGGTGGACCATCTCGTGAATTTTTTTTCCATTTGTCTCGAGAATTATTCAATCCTTATTATGGACTTTTCGAATACTCTGCTAACGATACGTATACAGTTCAAGTTTCTCCAATGTCTGCATTTGTTGATAATTACCATGATTGGTTTAGATTCTCTGGAAGAGTTCTAGGTTTAGCACTCGTTCATCAATATTTACTTGATGCTTTCTTCACTAGACCTTTTTACAAAGCATTACTACGTGTTCCAGCAAGCTTAAGTGATTTGGAAAGTCTTGATCAAGAGTTTCACCAGAGTTTAATGTGGATTAAAGAAAGAGATATCAGTATTGAACCTCTTGAGCTCACATTCTCAGTAACTGAAGAGCTTTTAGGACGTGTTGCTGAACGAGAATTAAAACCTGGGGGTCGTAACATCGTAGTAACTGAGAAAAATAAAAAAGAATATTTAGAAAGAGTTGTTAAATGGAGATTGGAACGAGGAGTAGCCGAACAAACAGAATCACTCGTTCGTGGATTTTATGAGGTCGTTGATCCACGATTGGTTTCAGTATTTGATGCAAGAGAATTAGAATTAGTGATTGCTGGTGCTGCGGAGATCGATTTAAATGATTGGAGAGCACATACGGAGTATAGAAGTGGTTATCATGATGGTCATCCTGTCGTTGAGTGGTTTTGGAGTAGTATTAGCAGATTTACCAATGAACAACGATTGAGACTTCTTCAATTTGTCACTGGTACTTCTAGTATTCCATATGAAGGATTTGCTGCTTTGCGGGGTTCGACGGGACCAAGGAAGTTTTGCATTGAAAAATGGGGTCGACCAAACAGTTTGCCCAGGTAAGTTTTATATTCAAAAACTTTTTATTAAATTGGACATTTTTTTCGATGCATTACTTACTACCTAAAAAAACGGATAAAAACTACTTTCTGTAAAGTAAAAATAATAACTGTTCAATTTAAATTTTATTGTAAGCGTTCTCAATTAATATTTTAATTAAATGGATATATATTTTTTCAGAGCACACACTTGTTTTAATAGATTGGATTTACCTCCATACCCAACTCCGGAAATTTTATATGAAAAATTACTCTTGGCAGTCGAAGAGACCAACACATTTGGCATTGAGTAAATTATATTTAAAATTAAAATAAATGATTCAATTTTACAAAAATTTTTAAACGTCGATATTGATGTATTTATACAAAATTTATGTCAGGTTAATTAATTTATAACAGATGATCAAAAAGCTTAGTAATTATTTATTATATTGTAAATATAAAATCAAATGATAATAACTATTATTGTCATAATTATAATCGTGAAGAAATGAAAATTTGGTTTTCATTCTATAGAGTAAAAGCAGAGAAAATAGACCTGCATAGAAGTTCAATGCTGTATTGTGTTTAAGGATCACCCCAGGCCATCCCAACTGTGTTAAACTCCTACTTGGCTCCAAAGAACCCATACTAAATTTTTGGAACACATCGGCCCATTTCAAATAAACTTCTATTCACGTCTCTCTTCTCTGGTAAAAGCAAATTTTAAAAATGATTTATTGATAATGTATGAATTTAGGTAAAAATGTGATTTAAATGACTTCAAATATTTTTATTATATTGTTTTAAATTATTTTAAAATATTAGTAGAAAGTTTTATTAAAAGATTCAAAATCTTTACTAAAAATATTTAATTCATACATTTCATATCTTAGAAAATATTATTGAACAGCTTTGACAGTTATGAAACGTAAAGCCTTAATTTACGCACAGCAATTACAAATCATACGAATTTAAGTAAAAATAATGTTTGTTGAATGTCTATGAAATATTTTGAAACGCTTTAAAATTCGGTTATCTAGATATAAATCTAGATATGATGATTTTTCTTACTTTTTTATGCATAAAAAAGTAATAATAAAAATAACGAAATAATCACGAATATAATATGTAGATGTTACGAAGTGTTTTACACGAAATTTCAAATGTATATCTAATCTCATTAATTGCTCATAATATACATCGATATTCATTGGTTTGGCCGAAATTAAAAAGAAAAATGAACAACAAAATGAAACCACCAATAATTCGATCATCGATTCTAAATCACTTTCTATGATATAACTATAAAAGGAATAAATTAAAACAATAAAAAAATTAGATAGGCATAACTTGACAATTATGATCACTAGATACATCCTAGAACTCATGACAAATATAAAATTTTATTTTAAAAGATATTAGCGTAGATATTAAGTTGTAATTGATAAAGGCTTAATTAAAATGGAGTGAATGAAAAAGTCTGAAACTGCGATTTATTCTAAAGTTTTTCTAAAAACAGAATTAATCCATAATAATGTTATTTAGAAAAAGAGACTTAACGATAAGTCTATAAATTGCATAATTTAAGTAAATCATCAAAATAAAAAATTATTGCAACGATAGAATGATGATTCTTTAGACGTGCTTAGCTTTTTTAATTTATTTATTATGCATTAATTATGCTGAATAATGAACTTATGGTTTAATAATTAATCAACTCAGATATATCATCGGAGTTTTTAAATATTTATTAGTTTTATACAGAGCTTGATAGTTGTACACCGTCAGCGCTTTACTATTTTTATTATGTATTACAAAAAAGCGATGAATGGCATAATAACTTTGCAAACGTTTTGTCAAAGTATCAAGTAATTATATATTCATTTTAAAATACACATAAAATAATTATTTGTGCAATGTATTTTCAGGAAAATTATGTTTACTTTATTAAGTAGGTTTTATTTATTTTCGAACAAATTTTTTTGAAAGCAAAAAGATATGTGTCAAAGCATTTATACTTCGCATTTGTTCTTGATTCTAGTCATTATTATTGATAATTATAATAATCACGGAAAATATTTATTATAGTTAGACAGTTAAATCTGTTAAAATATTGTACAATTAAAGTTTTAAAAAACTCAGTGTTGTCTTTGAAAATAAAAAACCCTTTTTTCTTAATGTTAAATGAGACAAAACTTGTGATATGTAGGAAGACTTTTAATTTTTACTTGTCATCTAACAGCTTGATTATTTTCTTCTCATAAAACAGTTCTATTTTGAAAAGGAATATTTAGAATGCTCTTCTGATGACATCGTTCACATTCACAGTTTGTGTTTTTGTTTTTATGAATAAAAAGAAGATAATTCTTCAAAAGAGATAATGTAGTTTATCAATTAAACCTTAATAAAATTAAATAACAGTACTTTCAAATTAAATCATTCTATTTTGTATGCAAAAGCTTTTAAATATCATTATAATTAAAGGGAAATTAAAATGTATTCTAAAGAATTGGAGCATATAAAAACAAGGGATTATCTGAATACCGAATCTATTTTCAAAATTGACGTATACAAAATGAGAAAAAAAAATTATAAAGTAAAAGTAATAAAGAATAGATTCATCAAGCGGAACGAGTGAATGAACATTTTAGAAAACCAGTACTTTTTATCTATGAACATTCTACAGTTAAAGTTTTTAATAGGTTGATGACTAAAGAATGAGGTAATCTTTTATCTGCTTACATCAAAGAAAAGTTGAAAATAAATTTTTAAAGAAATTAAATTCTAAAACACGTGTAGAAATGGGAATTTAGTACATAAATCCTACTCGTGTAATAAACCGGATGAGTGTAGGTTTTAAATCTCAGAAAATAAAGTCAATTACACCTACATGTGACAATCAATATCCCTTGTACAATAAAAACAATTGATACTAAAAAGATTATGATGCATCTTAAAAGACTGATTTATCGCAAATGAAAGAAAAGATTCTAAAAATCAATAATTTTGCTAACTCGTGAAGGTCATATTACCTGGTGGGGGTGTAAAAGCATCAGAGCATTGGAGTATACACAACCGGCACCAACATCAAGTGTTAGGAGCTGAGCCTAAGGAGGGTATAGGAAGGTGTGTTGCGCATGGCTGCCTAATCGTTGGCGTGGACTTTTTCGTTTCCGTTATCTAGACAATTTATAGCCCTCGAACGTTTTACTTTCATAACTAAAAGTCAGTAAAGTTTTTTAAAAGACAATTCCTAAAGTGAATAAAAAAAATGTGCTGTTGTCATCAGTGAAAAATTAAAAAATCCCAATTTTAAAGTAGTAAGCTTGCCACGATACTCGTGTACATATTCATGTTGGCTTATTCACTCACAGCGCAAGTACCGGTGCATGCTGGTGTGCTTACTAACTGAGGGAAGAAGAGGGGGAAAGAGTCTGTTCTGTGCTCAGTGGGAAGAATCAACGTCAGCCATCTTAGTGTTGAGAACAGTCGTAGTCTGACAGTACAGTTCTTCTATATTCATGCCGTCGATTACATCTTCAATCGATCGCCTATGCTAGTGAAAAACGGAATAAATATTCACGAGGTTGAGGGTTTTGTTGGTTCGTAGTGATTGCATCTGCGAGTGAATTTTTTGATAAAAACAAACCAAAATGGATACTCCGAGAGAACGAGAGATTGCCGCTGAGGATAGCATCAAAGTTGTCTGCAGATTTCGACCTCTCAATGATTCTGAGGAGAAAGCTGGCTCCAAATTTATTGTTAAATTCCCTTCTGGCGGAGATGACAATTGTATTTCTATCGGAGTAAGTTTATTTTGTTAAATTTGTTTTTAATTAAAAAAATTTTTTTAATGCATCAGTTTATTACGAATGAATATGCGACGGCGCACAGCTGACAATTGCAAAAAAAAAAAACGTTTCTATCCGTTTCACAAAGTTTATTTTAATTGTTTGCTATGCTTCAAGTACTTTAACCATAAAACACCTGATTAAATTTACTACTATAACACACAAATAAATCGAATGAATTTTTTATGACGTTTCGATTGAGTGTATAAATTTCCTGGTATTTTCTATATACAGCTTTACGAAAATGATTAAACTATGTAACGGAGATGAGTCATAGAACAATCAAAGCATGAAATTTGTATTTAGAGTGATCCGAGAAAACTTTTTTCATTTTCATGTTTTCCAAGCTCAATTTAGGTTATGTACTCATTTGGATGATCTACTGTAATTAACCTATATTTTAAATTAATCAGTCATCTTCAAACATCTTCATATTATTATGAAACATAGGCTATGACTCTCTTTCGTATTTTAAAGATTTGAAACTAAATTCTCAAGGAACAAATTTTATTACCATAATTCTTTGTCCTTTTAGGGGAAAGTTTACCTGTTCGACAAAGTCTTCAAACCAAATGCGACCCAAGACAAGGTCTACAATGAAGCTGCTAAGTCAATTGTCACGGATGTACTTGCCGGATATAATGGTACAATTTTCGCTTATGGACAAACTTCATCAGGTAATTTAAACGTATTTTTGTTTACACTCATTCACTTCTTTCACCATTTTATGTAATATTACTAATGCACTCAACAACAGTTTGATGCGACTTCATCAATTCACTGTAGCTTATAGTTGATGCTCTTTTATTTATGACGAATATTTTTAAAAAAACAATTGAATTTTGAATGGCAGGTAAAACTCACACAATGGAAGGTGTCATTGGAGATGCTAATAAACAAGGAATCATTCCAAGGATCGTTAACGACATTTTCAATCATATCTATGGAATGGAAGAGAATTTGGAATTCCATATTAAAGTATCATACTTTGAAATTTATATGGATAAAATTAGAGATTTACTTGATGGTAATCTATTTTTAATATCAACCTCTTTTTATTCAAATTCATGTTACTTGATAGTAAAAACAAAAGAAATTTTATTGACACATGGCAGAAAATTTTTTCATTTACACTTTAGAGGAAATTACACATTGCATCACAAATGTAGAAGAAATCAATATTTTTTTTTTATTTTTACTTGAAAACATTGATCTTGAATATCATATGATATCAATACTAAGTAAATATATTATCAGATAACTTAATACTTTTTAAATATTTTCAGTTTCCAAGGTAAATTTAAGTGTTCATGAAGATAAAAATCGTGTTCCTTTCGTTAAAGGAGCTACTGAAAGATTTGTGTCTAGTCCAGATGAAGTATTTGAAGTAATTGAAGAAGGAAAATCTAATAGACATATAGCTGTAACTAACATGAATGAACACAGTTCTCGTTCACATTCTGTATTTTTAATTAATGTCAAGCAAGAAAATTTAGAAAACCAAAAGAAATTATCTGGAAAGTTATATTTAGTAGATTTAGCAGGTTCTGAGAAAGTTTCAAAGACTGGAGCTGAAGGAACAGTTCTTGATGAGGCTAAAAATATTAATAAATCATTATCTGCTCTTGGAAATGTCATATCTGCATTAGCTGATGGCAATAAAACTCATATTCCTTATCGAGATTCAAAGTTAACACGTATTTTACAAGAATCTCTTGGGGGTAATGCTAGGACAACTATCATTATATGCTGTTCTCCTGCAAGCTTTAATGAATCTGAAACTAAGTCTACTCTCGATTTTGGTAAACGTGCAAAGACAATTAAGAATGTTGTATGTGTTAATGAAGAATTGACAGCAGAAGAATGGAAACGTCGCTATGAACGTGAGAAAGAAAAGGCTGCAAGATTAAAGGGAAAAGTAGAGAAATTGGAGTCAGAATTGTCTCGTTGGAGACAAGGCGAAACTGTAAAGCCAGAAGAACAAGTGAATCTGTTAGAAGCATCTGATTTAGTAGTATCTACAGTTGTAGTTGAAGGAAAAGATGATGGACCTATGCCTGCTATTCCTGGTGGTGGCTTAATGGCAGGATCTCTGTCTAACGAAGAACGACAGAAACTCGAAGAAGAACGCGAAAACTTGTATCAACAATTAGATGAAAAGGATGAAGAAATAAATCAACAGTCGCAGTATGTCGAAAAATTGAAGGAACAGTTAGAAGAACAAGAAGAATTGATTGCAAGTGCTCGAAGGGATTATGAACAATTACAACAAGAGATGAGCACAATTAATCAAGAGACGGAAAGTGCCAAAGAAGAAGTGAAAGAAGTGCTTCAGGCTCTTGAGGAACTTGCTGTCAACTACGACCAGAAATCACAAGAGGTCGACATTAAAAACAAAGAAAATGAAGCTTTAACAGAAGAGCTTCTTGCTAAACAAACTGCCCTCAATTCTACGACATCTGAGTTACAACAATTACGCGATATGTCAACTCATCAGCGTAAACGAACTGCAGAAATGTTGACAAACTTATTAAAAGATCTTGGAGAAATTGGTGCTGCTATTGGTGGTGATGAAAATTTGAAGGTATTTATTGTTATGAATTTTTTATCAAACTATTTCTTTGTTCCGGCTGATATTCATTATATATTATTTTAGTGCCAGATAACACCTGATATTAATGGTAAAGTAGAAGAAGAGTTCACTGTCGCTAGATTGTACATTAGTAAAATGAAATCTGAAGTGAAGAACTTGGTGCAACGTTGTCAGGGGTTGGAAACATTCCAAGCTGATTGTAATAAGAAGGTATGCATTATGATCTAGATATTCTTATTTTACCTTTGATGAATATTTTTTTTATTTACTTACCGTGGTAATTATTTTTAACTAATGTCTTTGATGTCTTTTTGTCATTTAGATCTGCGAGTATGAAAAAGAACTTGCCGACTGTAGACTATTGATTTCTCAACATGAAGCACGTATGCTGACATTAACGGAATCTATGAAAGAGGCCGAAGCACGCAAACGTGCTCTAGAGGAAGATGTTGATTCTCTCCGAGAGGAGTGTGCGAAACTCAAAGCAGCAGAACAAGTTCAAGCTGTGAATAATAAGGAAAAGGCTGAAGAGGAAGAGGCTGCAACGAAGATGCGCATCACCCTCGAAAAACAGATGGATCAGTTGCGAGACATTCACCAGAAACAAGTAGCAACATTGAGGGATGAAATCTCTGAAAAACAAGAAATGATCAATGAACTCAAAGATCAGAATCAGAAATTCATATTGGCACATAACCAAATTCAAGCTGACTATGAACGGCTGAAACAAGAAGAGGCTGAGAAATCACTTAAGTTACAGGAGATGATTTTGGTGAATGAACGTCGCGAACAAGCCAGGAAGGATCTCAAAGGATTGGAAGAAACTGTTGGCAAAGAGCTCCAAACTCTTCACAATCTTCGTAAACTTTTCGTTCAAGATTTGCAACTTAGAATCAAGAAGAATGTAAATGCTGAAGATAACGAAGATGATGGTGGCTCATTGGCACAAAAACAGAAGATTTCATTCTTAGAAAACAATCTTGATCAGCTTACAAAGGTTTGTTTATTCATTATTCATTTTATTTTACGATACATAGCGTTATATAAACTTGATCTCTTGAATATTAAATAATTTCTTGGTCTAAAAATTTAATTTATCTATGTTCAGGTTCATAAACAACTAGTTAGAGATAATGCTGACTTACGATGTGAGCTACCGAAATTAGAAAAGAGGTTACGAGCCACAATGGAACGTGTGAAAGCCTTAGAGACTGCATTGCGTGATGCCAAAGAAGGTGCAATGCGAGATCGAAAACGTTACCAATACGAAGTCGATAGAATTAAAGAAGCAGTTAGGCAAAAGAACTTGGCACGACGTGGACCTAGCGCACAAATTGCCAAACCTATTCGCGCTGGCCAACACCATGTGAGTGGTGTCAATGCTATTCGAACTGGAAATAGAGGTAAGGAATTTGAATAAATCATAAACGTTGTTTTATTTTTAAATGTATCGATGAGTTAATTTTTTTTCTAATTTTTAATTTATACAATATTATTTATTTTATGTATTATTTATTTTTTTTTATTAAAAATATTTTTTAATTATATTTATTTTATGATTTATTTATTCATTTTAATTTTTGTGTGTTTGAAATAGATATGGATAGTCACGTTCCGCGGTCGTGAACGTAACCCGAAATTCTTCACTTTTACAGAAAACGATCGCAAGAATGCATTTGCTGATGAAAAGAAACGAATTCCAGATATGGAATTAATTTACAATTCTTACACATAAACGATATGGTACACGAAATATGGATACTAGAAGTACTATATTTGCAACGAGCACCATCCGTTTAATTTAACTAAAAAAAAATAAAAATATTAAAAAAATGAGCATGTGCTTAGATAATTGCTAAGATAAATTTTAAGTTATTGTGTAATACTGCATGTCTCATCGATTTGTAAATAGTTAATTTTCATAAATTATTTTATTTAAATATCAAGGCGTGCTACAAAATATATTTTGTGATCGACAAGAAATTTCTTTCGATCTTACTGCGTCAAAGTATTACGTTTCAAGCGCTTTCTACACGCACGAATTATATATAAACGTTCATATGCAATCTTTTAAGGTTCACAATTAAATAATATAGTTAGAAAAATGAATAAATATTTCTTTGTAATATTTAACGGGTAAAATTGTGAAACAATATGACAGATACCCGACGAGCCAAGTTTTGAGCGATTATGTATACCTAAACATCAACTAAACGTATAATTCTTAATATCTAATAAAAAATCATGTTTGTACGAATATTTGAATTTTACCAGCACCATATAGTTAATAAAAAGAACAATTATTCAATAAATAATACAAGTAATGAAGTCCGCTTGTAATGAAGTCCGATTTGACATGCAGTTACAAAAAGATTGTACGAATGACTGTGGCTTATTGTGTAATTTATAATCGCAGAATAAGTGATTTTTTTTGTATGGCAACTATCTGAATGATTGTACTCTTTAAAAATAGGTTTGATAAACTGAATCAATTTAGAGGGCTCACTTAATTTTCATTAAGTGTTTTAAGCCTCTCTTTTGTGATTAAGATTCAGTAATTGGAACTGTTTTGATTAGAGTAAATATTTCTATGTAGTTTAAAAGTATCTATTTTTTATTTCATTTATTTCATCGATTTCGCTATATCCTATATCGCGATTATTTATATTAATTCATTATGTATTCTTATTAAATTCTAAAGACTTTTTATAGTCAATTTGATTATTACTCATTTGTTCTCATAATAAGTTTTTAACTATCATTCATTAATTTATATTTTTTTCAACTTTTCGTATCTCGAATTTAAAGTAATCTAATACATTGCTTTATTAGAATTTTCTAATTATTCGAATGTGTGATATACACATATTTATTTATAATTTATTTTATAATGATTATTATAAAAAATAACAAAAAAATTATGTGAATTTTTAATACTAAAGATTTTTTTTTGTCTTTGGTGCAATAGTTGGTAAAAATGTTAATGAACATCATTTCGTAAAATACAAATATAAACTATTGCTATCAAGCTATGAGCTTAATAAGATGATAAAATGTGCTTTACGTATTTGGTCGCTGTAATTTATAATTTTTAACTTGCGAGCCACATGTACTTGACCATTTTATGTTAAAATGATGCGGTATCGTTTGTTATTAATTTAAGAATAAATATAAATTCGCAGGCTGTAAAATTATTTTTAAAAATATGTTTATACGAGTTTAACATACTTGTATACATTCTTTGCAATGTTAGGTAGAAACAAATTTATATTGTATTAATTTCACAGGCATTGTAAAGTCTGTAATCATGAATAATTTAGAATTTTGCACAGTTATTCAAAAACATTTTTTTAATATACATCTTCCATTGATTCATTTTATTTTCTTTTTAGACATTTAGTTCGACTATTTGAGGAAAAAATTCATTTAATGTAAAGAAAATAATCTTTATCTGTATATAATAATAATTATAATAATAACAACAATAATTCCATCACTCTAGAATTTGAATATAACGTTATGTGCTAATGATGTTTACGCACCTCTGTGTCACGTACATCCTATTGCTGATCTAAATTTAAAGGAATGAACAATTATTTGAAGTGAGATTTTTAAATAATGAAAAAACAAATTCGCATTTATTCGTTTTATCTTTAATCTCAAAAACAATTATTTTTTTATCGAAAAGAAAATAACTATGTGAATGAATGTCAAGTATCGCACCTTTGCCTACCAAAGTCAAAGGTCTAATGAAATACAATGCGACTACTTGATCGTATTGTCCTTGTCGATATGTTACATAATTTTTATTGTTCTATGATATAATACCAGAAAGGCATTGTCACTCTTTTTTATAGATGAATCAATTTAATTAAATATGTGTTTATTAATTAAACGATAATTTAAATCCATAATTACTATCGCCTTTTGATATTACTCAGACTTGATGGATATAAGCCACATGGTCGAGTTTTAACTGATTTTCATCAAATTTAATGCATTTAAATTTAGAAGAATAAATTATTTCTAAAAGACATTATTTTTCAGAACACCATAATTGTTTTATCACAATAAAATTATATCTGAAGTTTATCAGAGAACTTTGAAACTGTTTTAACGATTTTTTATTAAAAAACAAACCTTTCTTATTTTAGAAATAATTTTTTCTACTAAAAAAAATTTGTTAATGTTATGTTACAGTGTCATTTGATAAAGAGTTGTCTCTTTTGATTCCTAAACCTCAGCATAAATTATAGTTAGCAGATGTCAATATTAATAAAATTAAATAAAAAGAATATGTCATAATTCTTTCTTAAAGGCTCTAATCCTTCTGTTTTGCGGTGCTCGTCGGAGATTGAGAGAATTGGGTGAAAAAATCTCGTATTTATTAATAATAAAGAGAGTTTAGATTATTTTTCATCGCTTAGAGATAATACTGAAATGATATTGCAAGAAATGAAATCTAATTCAAATGACGAAAAAATAAAAAAAATACTACAGATACCATAAAAATTTTTTGTGCACCAAGTGTAAAACATTGTTGACAATGAAGAGGTGGATCTTTTATCCAATAAGTTTGAATATACAATCCGTGCCTTTTTTAAGTAATTTTTTTAGCTAGGGATTATTTTTTTTTTGTAATTTATTTATAAATATTATTATTTATAACATCATGTGTGCATTCAATTTATAATATTATTGAATAAAATTGAGACATATTGTAATACTTAGATCCACCTCATTTGAAAAATAATAAACAGAGAAAAACGATACCGAGTATTTATGCTAAAATTTATTTAGGATAGATATCTTAGATTGTATATGCAGGGTGTAGAAAAGCTCTAGTTGTGGAGTCATAATTATAATTAATTAATTGTAATACTTATTACTATTGAATTAAAATTCATTTGCGATTATTATGTTGATTACATTACTGCTAAACCTGCATAAATGATTCATGTTTTCATTAAAGAAAGATCAGTAAATAATTACATTTCAGTTTATTTTATATATAAGCACTGTTCTATTTCTTTTAATAAGTACATTAAACAATCACTTTGATTCTATTCCCATGACAACAACCATGTATATTATTTTTTTGTCAATTTTGTAAATACTTTTTTTTTTAGAAAGCAAGTTATTTATTTTTTAATTTTTTTTTAGTAATTTTTTATGTATTTATTATGAGAAAAAATTTCAATTCCATTCTATTTGATCCTGGAGGATCGAATGTTTCAATGACATATCAAGGAACTAAATTAAAAAGAAAAGCTTTTGGTTATAATAAAAGATGTATTGAACCAGGAATACAAATAACTGAACCTAAATATAATCCTAGAGTTCTTGTAGGAAACTGGTTTGAAGAACAAATTAATTATGATCCTATGAATGAAAATATTGAATATAATAATTTAAATAATGACAAGCCTCAGAAGAAAATTACAGCAGGGGAATTCGCTCGAATAGTTAAAACTAAGAACAAAGTAAGTTGCATTTTATTTACATCTCAAAAGCACTGTAAGTATATTCAATAATTCATACTTGATTTTATCAATTTCTTATAATGATACAACATCCTTTTATAACTTATTGATTTTATAATAACTCAGGGATTAGGAAAAAGTTTAATTATTCAACCTAATGATAATAAATATCTCGATAATTATTCAACCACCTATGATTTAATGTACCGAGTCTTACCCCAACGTTTAGATGGTCCAAGATTACGAACTTATAATGGAAGGTACATCTTTAATTGAAATCAGTTTGGAATTAACTGTCAAACATTTTAAAATATTTTTAAATGAGTTTATTTATTAGAATAAATAAATGGGTTCCTCAGCAAGATATTACTGAAAGTTTTGGAAACATTACAGGATATGGAATGAAAGAATATGTAAGAGCATTACAAGAGGAAGCAATTTATGAAGCATATGACAAACCAAGAACTCTTTATCAGTGTGATTATGTTAAGAAAGAAATTCCTACTGATATAAAACGGTGATTATTCTATATATACTTATATTTATTTGTTGGATATTAATGATAATTAATTGTAATTAAGATTCCATAAGAAGCGAGTTGATCTTTATAAACCAAACTGGTATGATCTAGAAGTAGATTCAAGTATGAATTCATCTTGGAATCAAACTTTTGTTTCAAAACATATGAATTTGTGTAGAAGGGTTGCTTGTGGTAGATATTGAATGTCAATAAAAATGATAATATATTTTAATTATTCAAGATATTTTATTATCGAAATGATTGAAATATAGCATAAAAAATGCCATAAATGTACAAATGTACATACAAAAAAAAATGATACATTTGATAGTACACTTTAATTTCATTGGTGAAACGGTATTATTATGACTCTAGATGAGTTTAATTAATAAATAAATACAAAGTAACCACTTATTTTATACACATCAATTGAATACATATTATAACAATATGAAAAAGAGATACAACTTCAAAATATTTCTATTAACACTAGTAAAAATATTTCCCGGCAGTGTTTAATTTTCAATAACGTTTAACGGAAGCACTGTTGTAAATTTTTTTCAATTTACAAAAAAAACCGGAGAGTATGTATCCTTGGTTTTTTTAACACCATTATTTCTTATGAAAAGTATTTCAATTTATTGTAGTAACACAAAATTCTATGTAATCTCTTATGTGATAGAAAAAAATAAATAAACATAATTGTTAAATCCTTCAAAGTGGTAATTTGATTTAAAAAAGTTTTCCTTCGATCAAAAATGCAATAAAAAAAAAGAAATTATTATTATCATAATAGATAAAAATTAAACAAGAATATTTGTGTCCAATATTTTTTACTTATTTGTCGAAGTATATACGTACGTATCCTAGTGAACACACAAAGAATATTTGTTTATCACAAGTTTCAAAGTATGAAGCGTCGAACGCGATTGTTTTTATTTACTGTTTATCTTATTAAATAAATTATTATCTATTTGAAAAAAGACATGAAATAATTGAGTTTGTATTAAGTTTTACTAATGGAAACATTCTATAAAATTATAAATAAATAAAGACTATCAAAATGTGATAGTACTAGTTTGATAAGTTATAAACCTAAACCAAATTTTACTTGCAACTTTAAAAAAAAAAATGAAAACTTATACTCATTCCAATATAATTTATTAAAAATCAAAAGTTTTAGCAACCTTATTGAAAGATAAAGATTTATAAAAACTATGTTCTTTATTGTATATACACATTTTCATTTCATGTCTTTTTAAGTGTGGTTTATCTTTCTTAATTTAAATGTGGAATATCTTTCATTTTTTTTTTTAAAAGTTTAAAAATTTCAATATAAATAATGCGTTTGTATGTATGAAAAAATGTTGGCAGTAAGAAAGTAGAATAATTTTTACAGATTTACAAAATAAAAAAAAAAAGTCTTTTAAAGATCAGCGTAACAAAATTGTGCAAAAGACAATCATATTGAAAACAATAGAGCCACATAACAATGCTGGAAGCCAATTTGGGCTCGTTAAAATACTAGGAGAATGAGAAATGCACGTTGATAAATCTGCATTTCTTGGAATAATGTTCATAGTATGATTTTGAACATACTGATCACTAATGTGATAGTTATGGCAGAAAGAAGCTTGATGTGATGGATGACAAGAAGTTATCATCATGTTTGCTGATGGACTTCTTATACATCCTGTACATTCTGGTAATCGATAGGTAGATCCACGTTGGCAAAATGAACCGATGGGGTTTAAACTGGTATGTCGTTGTAATGGCTGATTATAACAAGGAACTCCATCAGAAACTACAGAACATTTATCAACATCGTTTACAATAGATGGTTCTCGAGATGGTCCAAAGTTAGAACCAGTAGAACCAAAGCCTGAACTCTGGCTTGATGATCTTGATAATGTTGGAGGGTCCATACCCATTTGCCAATAACCACCAGCTACCCAAGATGTTTGAGTAACAGATTTGAGTTTAGGTGGTGCTAAAATACAATCTTTATGCGACGACTTATAACTTTTTTGAAATAAGTCTGGGCTTGATGTACCATACGTTCTGGTCGCAAAAACTTTAACATTTTTAGAAGCTTGTTTCTGATTATTTGTATTCAAAGATAAATTATTCAGAGACTTTAAACTGTCATTCAGAGTATACCTTTCAGTATGCTTTTGAACTGGCGAACGTTTTGTGAATATATCTAACTGAGTTTGCTTGTGTGTGGGTAGGTTGGATGAGAAACTACGTTGGCTATCACATATTCTGTAGAATTAATATTTTCTCTTATTAATAATTCATGATGTTTATAAATTAACATTAAAAAAAAATCTTAATGCTACTTACCTGAAATTAGGTAACATTGGCGTGGGTTTCAGCACTGGTGTCGAATCAAGAGGTGAAGATGTAAGCAAGTGAGTAACATCAACGGGTGAAGGACGGGTAGATTGAACATCAGAATTCCGTTTATTGTTAGTAGGAGTAATTTGTCTTGATATTGTAGGTGTTAAATTTGGACTAGAAATTAGCGTTTCTAATTTTTTAAATGACACATTTGTATTGGTAACTGTAAAATTCGTTGATGGAATGTTCATAAAACCCAAAATTACTGACAAAAAAATAATCTGAAAGTGAATAGTATAAACAATAAGTCAAGTTCTTGTTTTTTAGCTTAAAAATATATATCAGGAATGAAACGTGTAATGTATTCTTACTATTTGATATCCAGTAATGTGTTCTAAAATTATTGATAAAAATTTTAACTTCAATTTTATTAATCGTTCATCACTATGTGGCATAATTACGCCCACTGTAATCCATAATAAAAGTGAAAATAAGTCCATATTTCGTCTAGAAGAAGATGCCTTTATCATAATTATAAGTTGCAATAAAGCTCCGATTGTTGATAATGATTGATAAGTTGGATAGTAAATTAAACTTGAGCTTAACAACGTTAAAAATAATCGACAAAGTTTTTCAAACTTTGATATATTCTGTAATGTAAAGTATTTGTTAATATTAGGAAAATAAAAAACTGATTTGGGAGAATTGTTTGATAATATCAACTATAAACTTACGGTCATGATAATTTTAAGTGGTTTCTGCTTATAAAAAAGCATTTTGTATTGAGTAAGCCATAATGACTGTTTATGTAAAACTTTTCTTACAAATGAGTTGCATTTTTTGCATAAAGGATATTTTTTATCCAAATTCTGTTTAAAACTTTCAATTTCAGTATCTCGCCATCTCTTTGGGTCCACAGAACGTAGTTCAATTAATTTCAATTCCTCATTGTTATTACAATTTTTACAAAGTCCATTTTTTCTTTTCTTCGACAATTCATTTTTATATGGAGATAAATACGGTTTTAATGAATTATTTAATTTTTTGCTTCGTTGCTCTGGTATATCGTATTTATAATCTCCATCTTTTGAAAATCCGTTATACTGTTCACACGATGGGCATAACCACCAATCAATTTCCGATCTGTACACCTTAGTGTAACTGTTGCAAAACCAACAATTAACAGTAATAGGCCATCGTTTCCTGTAATGTATAATTTATTTATTATAAAAACACTTATGATAGCTTGTATAAATGGTATAATCTTTAATTTCTTACTTAATTCCTCGTACAACAATTATTAGAGCAATAACAAGAGCAGAAAATGTTGCAGTAATTGGAATAAAATTAGTCAATAAATTTGCATCGAAATCCATATTTACATACTATTAATATGCACCAAAATAATGAATTAAATATTAATAGTATTAATGAACACTATAAATCAGGTATTATTTTCCAAATAAAATTAAAAAGTAATCACTAATATCTCCCGCCAAGTCTTCCAAGTTCTCCGACCTTAACCTAAATATTCCAGAGTTTATTTTATTGCAATTTAAACATTATTTTACACTTCTATTGCCACTTTTATCACACAAAAATCTTTAAATATAGTTCTAAAATAATGTTTCATTACATAAATTACTATTTTGTTATGTAATATTATTGATATTTATGATAAAATGACTAAATTAAAGCTCACGTGCCGACGAACACCTACGCAAGCCTAGTGAAGCCATTTTGACTTAAACATGATGATCTCCCAACCAATCCAGAACATTGGAGTATGAAGGGGGAAAAGTTACGTAATTACGGTCCTGAAAAATTTGAACATTGAACAGGGTGAAGAGTGAGAGTTGCAGTATTGTAAAAAGAACGACGGTTACACTGGATCGATCTACGCATGCGTTTATAATCTTGAATATGTAACAAACTTTTAAATGATCATAAAAACATGAAAGGAAAAAACTTACAAGTCCACGAGGAGCAACCACGAAACATTTAAAAACTTATTCTTGCGCAAAATCAGTACGCCCTCTATCGATTGTAAGCTGACAGTTGTCAGCTGTTCCAGTAAACAAAGGGTGGCGTTTCGAGATGGACGCTGAAGAGAGTGGTGCTATTTCAAAAGAATTATTAGATAGCTCGAACAAGTCTTTAAATGATGAAGAATCATTATTATCAATGTCTGATGATGAGGAGGGAAATGATAACTGGTATTATATGCCAAATTCAATTTTATTGAGTGTTTTTAAACTCCTTACTCCTAGAGAAGTGGTAACTGCTGGTATGGTGTGTAAACATTGGTGTAGAGTATCCCAAGATGAACTTTTATGGAAGGATTTATTCTACAGAACCTATAAAATTGATCCAAGTGTTGGAATTATGCCAGGTATAGACTGCATATTTTTCTCCTGTTACTCAATCATTGCTAACTTTACATCATCATCATGATAATAGTATTGTTTGAAAATAATTATCTTTAAATACCAGGAAAGTCGTCTTGGTTGGGCGAATTCAAAAGATTGGCATATCATACACCTTTACTTGAAACTGAGGTACTTTCAGAACATTCTCATCAAGTTCTACACGTCAGCTTTTCTCATAATGGCAAAATGTTTGCAACTTGTTCAAAAGATGGTTATATTTTAGTAGGTTATCAACAATGTATCTTCAATATTTTAATATAATAATGATCAACAGAATAAACAAATTATAAAAATAATACTTTCAGGTTTGGGATAGTCAATATCCGGTTACGATCAAGTATCAACATGATATGAAGGCTTTTAGTTGGAAATATACACAATTTTCTCAATTTAACTCTTCGGATACTTTACTTCTTGTTTCTGGAGTTCATTTTGGAACACCTCATAGCACCTCTGGAGAAATTGCCGTTTTTAGACTAGCTCGTAAGTTTCAAATATTCAAAGTTTTTAATCTTAGACATTTTTAATAAGCTACACAATAAATGTCCTATTTTTTTCTAATTATAATGAGCTTTGTATAAAAAAAAAGGAAAGCATCCACTTAATACATAACAAATAAATGCAATAAGTTATGCGTCATTATTGATTACTATTTTTAGCAGAAAGTTCATTACTTGAATTTTAATTGTCAGGCGTGCCAAAAAAATAAAACAAAGACATCTCTAGTATATTTTTTTTTTCAAGGATAGTGCAACAATTAGAGTATTAAATTTTTATTCAAAGGAGTAATTAACAATGATTAATCCTTTTAATTAAAGCTGGCTTTCATCTACAATGCAGAGTAGGAAACAAGCCTTATGACATATTTGGAACTTGGTACAGCGAACGTCACCTATTAAGTGGTGATTTACACTGGCTTGCTCATTTGGTAAGCCAAAGTGTCCTTTGGCTCAATAAGGCAAATCAGGAGTCAGCTAGTGAACATGTACCGATAATGAATCAATTATACAAGTAAGTCACTAAATTGTTTATCAAGGAATGATTAATATTTTTTTTGTCGTTATTAAGGAATGCAAAATTATCAATCAAACATTTATGTTTTTTAGATTTTATAATTTTAATGCTGCTTCTATTCGAGCTGTAATGGTAGCTAATTGTCTATGTCCAGCATCAACCGAAACAGAACAACTTGAAAGCCAGCAATCCACTTCAAGTCAAAAAGAAGAACGAGGAAATCCTCCAAGTCATAGAGAGCTTTCTTCAGCTTCATCTGGAAGTGGTCAAGTGCAGGAAGAACCGGAAATTTTACATCATGCTTCATCTAGACTTCAGTAAGTCCAATAAGAAATTTCAAATTTGTATACTTAACTTTCTAATTATCTAGAAGTGCTTGATGAAGAGTTTTGCTATTTATTTTCAAATTCAATTTTATTGAGAATAAACTTTTAAAGAAATAATTTTTATGAATACACATTTTACATTTTTATATAGATATAGCACGTTAGAAGGTGGTTTTATGAATTGGAAAAGATTAGGAGATGGATTTGAATATGCTAGTCCTATTAGATATAATCAAGAATATCGTCAAGTTGAAATGGAAAAGGAGACAATGGAAAGTGATAGTGAAACTGAAGCTCATCAGTGGGAAGATGAAAGTGAATTATCAGGTTGAGAAGAATTCTGTGAAATATTATTATATAAATTTATAGAAAAAAAATCTAACAAGTTACGTATTATTTCAGAATTATCAGAAACTGCAGATGATTGCGATTCAGATGATTTAGCGGATAATCCTGAAAAATTTTTGATTTTTACTACGGGTTCTAAGACTTATACTCCGCATCAAGTAGGATTTAAGAAAATTAAAGCAGTCAATTTCCCTAGAAGACTCGACCCTGGTCCGTCATTGAAAGAAAGATTAGCTCAACGTGAACGAGAACGGGAAAGACAAAATTCCGGGTCTCGTCCCGAGCCTAATTGGTTGGATTACGATTCTGTTGCTGAGAGATTTGACAAAGTAGATCATCTTATTGATCTTCATGGACACATTATAGGAATGGGCTTATCTCCGGATCATAGGTAATTTATAAGAATACATAAAAATACTATCAAAGTACTTTGATTTTTTGTTTATTTGAAGGCTAAACTGACACACTTCCAAATATCGAGATTTATAATGTAGGAAAATTAAGTTTAATTTGAAAAAGTTAAAATTTGTCCGGGTCTAATTCTAGAATCTTACCAGGAATTTCTGTTAGCAATACCTGATGTTTTAAACTGCCTCTTCGAGTTAACTAACCAAAAATTTCGGAAGTACAGATATAATTTTTTTTATTTTACCCAATACATATTTAAAAACATTAATTTAAACATTGCATAATGCAATAAAAGTAGCAAAAAAAGAGATAAATATTAGGATAATGGTGCTGACTTTTAGGAACATAAAAATTTTTAATTGAAAGTTTATTAATTAATCTAGACCATAAATCATACTTGAAAATAAGGATTTTTCTACTGAAATATTATTAATTAATGCAGAATAGTCACTGAATGAGGGCACAATGATAAAAATTCCAGACAAGTTCAACGTCATACACGGGAAACAAACGTGGCTGAATACAATGCTACATAATAGTTTCTCTATTTGAAAATTATTTTCATAAAAATTAATCTAAATATAAATGATTCTTGTTGACAGATATCTTTACGTAAACACAAGACCATGGCCCCGAGGATATGTTATTACAAATCCTCTTCAACCACCACCGATCGCTCAAGAAATAGATATACATGTAATTGATCTAGTAACTCTAAAACAAGTAGGCACAATGTTAAGAGCGCACAAAGCTTATACGCCCAATAATGAGTGTTTTTTCATATTTCTTGATGTTTGCGATGAATATGTCGCAAGGTAAGTTATAAAAAGAAATATTTTATTTTTTAAAAAAAAAAACCATTGAACTTACTAATTACCAATTTTTTTTAAAGTGGTGCTGAGGATAAGCATGGCTATTTATGGGATCGTCATTATGGAGTATGTTTAGCTAAATTTCCTCATAATGATGTAGTCAATGCTGTCGCATTCAATCCTCGTGACCCTGAAATGCTTGTGACAACTAGTGATGATTATACTGTTAAAGTTTGGAGAAGTCGTGCAATGGTAAAATCTCTTGGTCTTGATGAAGATAATTTTCGCAGAGGTTTAGAGGTACGAAAAAGACGTAGATATCATCGAGGTAGTTGTAACGTTGACTGATTAAAAACCATTCAGTTTCCAATTTAAGAGTCTCCTAATTTACTTGAATTTAAGTTTCCATAAAAAGTACCGAGAAATTTTATTACATTAATGTTGCAGATTTAACAAAAATGTAAGAAAATTTTCAGAAATGGAACTTGCAAAAAAAATGTGATATTTACTTATATAGGAGATTTAAAACAGGAAACTGAATTAATTGTTAAACTAATACTATATATTAAAATTAAACTTCAGTGAAACTAAATTGAATGTAAAAAATGAAAGAGCAACATAATCCATCAGATGATTCGGAGTGGAAGGGATGTTAAGTTTTGATAGGGTAAAAATTTTTAAGTCTTAAATTTATTAGATACTATATACATTTATTATTTTTTTGAAGATCAACAATATGTAAATATTTTAACAAATGAAGCAAGCACAAGGATACATATAGTGAATGTTGCTTATCCATTATACTTTGATGATATACGTATCAAGTTTTTGATCATATAAATTTAATATCATACTGTTATTAAAACTCAGATCTCAACAATTTTAACGTATGTCACACATACACAAATGTTAACAATTTATTTTTTTCCTAGCATATAAGCTATCGTGATAAGTTGACGATATATATTATATCAAATTATTTCATCACAAAAGATATTTTCTTTGATCTTGCATACTAGTAATAAGAAAAAAATTATTCGAGCACAATAAGAGAAAATATTTGTAATAAAAAACAGGATCTATAACAACTGTAGATTTACAAATATTTTGTTTTAAGTAAATACACTTATACGTATTAAACCTGCTTATTATTTGTATTATGTGTCATAAATAATGATAATTTTAAGCACCAATTTTAATTGTAAAAAAATAATTCACATTGTTTGCCAAACACGATTGTCAATTAAATATTTGTACAAAAAGATAATTTTATATATTTATTGAAAATATGATTGGTACGATAAAAATGATTTCAATTTATAATTAACTTGGTCATGTGTAATTTATTGATTATTGTAAAAAATGAGTACTATTTATTGGTGCTTAATTATTATCTGTTTCATTAACGTTGTGATAATTAGAAATGAATTGGTAAATTGTGATTCAAATGATGAGATGTAGTTTCTGTCTGTTTCTCTAATAATATTAAGATTTAATATTATTGTAATTATAATGAGAATTACAGGGCTTAAGAATAGAAATTAAAACTAGGGAATGTACATAATTATTCTAATTCACATTGTAAGCAAAGAGTTGATGACTATGAAAATGATTATTAAATTAAATAGTCAGAACCGGTGGATAGTAAACAATAAATATTATAATTTATAACATTCAAGCGTACAAGTTTAATAAATTAAATATACATAATCGAAAAAATACCTACTATGGCGGTTAGAACTTCAGTGAAGATTTTGCATGGAGTATTTAAACATTATGAATTATTAACAACGAAGTATTGGTGTTTGTGAAGTCTTTCAGGTTGATCCTGTCACTATGGGCTCTGAAATATAAATTTACTAATATAAAAAAAATAAATACTTATGATTTATAAATTACAGGTAAAAAATGCTACAGCAAGAATGTTTAAATTTTGGGCGGAAAAATTATTTGGCATTCCTCGTGTTAAAGGAAAGAGAATTGATTTAAGAAAAAAGAAAAAAAAATAGTAATTAATCAACATACCAGGTTGTGGTGATATGCTATCATGTGATGATACAGCAGGTGGTGGTAACGCTTTTTTGTGAGCTTCTTTATGACCATGACAATGTTCACATTCGTCATCACTATCATCAGAACTACTTTCTCCAAATTGTCTCGGTTTTTCATAGATACAGCAACCTAAATATAGAACAAAAATATGAGTAGAACTCATTATATATATTTATTGATATTGATGCTAATAGTTTAAAATATAATTACATTTAGACTTCTTTTTATTCAAATTTTCATTGTCCACAGTCCCTGAAGTCCACTGGACTTTTTTACTTGATCGTGGTTTTCGAAGACATAGAGTAATGGTTGGAACATCCTGAAAAATAACCAGAGTGTATTTTCAATTTAAATATTAATGCACAAAGCTTTAATAACAAAATTTTAATAAATAATTTACGGCTGCTTTACAAATTAGTAATAAAATAGACAAAGTATTGATTGTAAAAACATTTTTATTAAATCCAATATTACAAAAATATTTATTATATATTTAAAAAAAATTAATAAACTATGAAATGATGTATCTTATACTTATTATATATTATATATATACAAAAAATTAGTTTACTGTATAATTTTATTTTTTATTAAATTCTCTAGTGTTTGATCAGAATAATTTAAAACTTTTTTCAACACTTCTCTTGTATGTTCACCTAATGTAGGTGGTGGAAGCCGAGGCTCATTCGTGCCATAACTAAATTTTACTGCAGGTCCAACAAATTTAACTTTTCCCATTATCGGGTGATTCATTTCTCTCACCATACCAACATGTTTAATATGAGGATCATTAAAAACCTAGAAAAAGATAGATAATGATATCTGGTCTATTTTGTTGATTATAACATAAACATCCAATTGAGTATAAACGTCAAAAATTTTCAAGTATTTTATTACTATTATTTTCATTTATTAGATTGGAAAATGTTAAAAATTTTCTTGAACATTGTAAGTCTTTTTTTCTGAAGAAAAAGTCAAGTAATCTTATAATGTTTGCTGATATTAAAATATAAACCGATTTAACATACTTATTTAATTATTTTAAATAGAAATCAATGTCAATCAATAATGTATAAAAATTTATTCTTTAAAGGAGAAAAATTTTAAAATACTTTGTGGCTATTTTTATCAAGATATCAAAAAATATCTATACATACTTTAGAAATAATATAATTTAATTGAATATTCTATAATATAAAAAGCTTTTAATAATATAAAATGTCTCTTTCGTTCAATATTACTTTAAAATAAAAAATTAAGTTAAATATTATCTACCTCCTTAATTGTATTTATCGGTCCATAGGGAAAAGGAGATCCTTCAAGAATATCTGACCATTCTTTATTGGTTTTTGTTTTAAACTTTTCTCTTAAAATAGTTAGTAATTCTTCTCTATTTTTTACTCTTTCAGTGTTATTCTTAAACTTTTCATTTACTGACAATTCTGGTAAATTTATGATCTTTGTGAGTGCAATAAATTGTGCATCACTGCCAGTTCCTATAGTCATAAATCCATCTTTTGTAGGAAAAGCTTCATAAGGGACAATACTTTCATGCTCTGAACCCCAACGAGAAGCTTCTTTATCAGCATTTAAGTAATTAGAAGCAACATTGATAAGACTTGCAACTTGCGTGGAAAGAAGGTTGCATTCAATCCATTGTCCCCGATTAGTTTTGGTTCTCTGAAGTAAAGCAGCTATAATAGCCCCATGAGCATATAATCCGGTAGCTAAATCTGTCATAGCTACTCCTATTTTACACGGAGCCCCATCTTTAGGTCCAGTAATATGCAAAAGACCACCTATTGATGCTGCTATTACATCATAACCTGGTCTTTTAGCGTATGGACCTTGTGATCCATATCCAGTTAAAGAACAATAAATTAAATGAGGAGCCACTTTTTCCAGATCCTTATAGCCAAGAGCCATTTCATCAAGCTTTCCTGGTACATAGTTTTCTATTAAAACATCTGATGTTTTAGCTAACTCATAAATTATATCCTTTCCTTTTTTTAGATCAATACATACACTTTTTTTATTACGATTAACACTTAAAAAATATGTTGAATCTTTTGTTGTTTTTAGAAATGGTGGACCCCAGTGTCTACTTTCATCACCAGTGCCTGGTTTTTCTATTTTTATTATTTCTGCTCCCAAATCTCCAAGTATCATTGAACAATACGGACCCGCGACAATTCTTGTCAAATCAATCACTCTAATTCCTTCTAAAGGTGATTTATTGTTGAACTTTGATGAAGTAGCGATGCTTTTATATTTACTGATATTTATAATTTTTCTTGATCGCAGTAATTGCTGAGTGATTAATCTTAAAGCACTCATTGTATATCTATATTGTTGGAATCTTCTTGAAAAATATTGAACAATGCACACTTTGACCGATAAGAATTCAAGATACTCAGAAGAGATTTAATTGAAAAAATGATAGTTTCTTACATGCTTTGCGATGATGATTTCAACAACTTCTAAAAAAGTTCTAAGTTATTAAATGCAGAAGTGACTGATAAAATGAAATAATAATAATAATGAGACAATTGATGACATTTGTTAAATAAGATAAATAATTTTAGATGTATGTATATGTTTTGAATATTACGTTGTAAAATTATTATACCTGTCCACTATCAGAGACATCCCCCTCCAAGACAGTTTCAGTTTGTGATTGTGAACTTGAAGGTCCTGCCATCCTTGCCATGCAATCTTGTTAATTTATAATATTCTTTAAAACAAAATAAAATAAATTTTTATCACACCGGCACTGGTTCCGACCTTAGCCTTATTTTTTTATTTTTGTTGTGACGGTTGTCGATATACTTATATTACTCGTTCGGCGCCATTTTTAAAAGACATCTAGCGGCGAAAGTTATTTGTTATCAATTCCAGGGGGAGCAATAGACGTATTCTAACCTATCTGGAGTCAGTGAAGTGTTGAAAGAGAGCCAGAATGCCGTGTTCTTCTTCGAAGAAGATATCAAATTGCGGAGCATCCAAAGATTGAAGAGGGAGAAGTACTTGTGAGTGCGAGGGAGAACATCAGAGAGTAATATGAAGTATGTATAGTGATATGTATGTCAGTTTGCAAGTGTAGTGTGACCGCGGGAGAGCTGTGAATGTACGGGGTGCGATTGAATATTAATTGGAGATTCGCGCGAATGTTTTTACTCGTGTGACGGGAAGGGGTGATGGATGGGTCAGTCAGGCAGTGCATTGAGTATCTTTAAGCGCCGCGATCAGAATGAAATACCACGTCAAAGTTGTGCTAACTCTTACCACTTGTATATAAGCTAAGTATCAATGGACGCGGCCATGTTTTCTGGTAGCAGAAATCTTGAACTTTATTAACAAAATAATACCGGTGAGATTGGACTCGGGCCCGAAATTGACGTGAGCGGAGCCTGTGGACATAATGCCGGGATGCGATGTAAAGACAAGATATCTGCCAGCCACCTTTGCGTGGACTCTTCTTCTAAGCACTACGACCCTATTTTTTTATTACCCGTGAGTACTTATTACTATTTATTATATTTTTTCAACTATTTTACTCGACAAGTTATCATGGTTCTTATCTTTCTGACATCCATCTCTGACTCATTTGCTTTTTTTTAGGTGCCAATACTATCTTTCCAAATACCCATGGGTTCCAGCTCTTCAAGGAGTTATTGTCTTCTTTGTATTAGCCAACTTTACCCTGGCTACTTTTATGGACCCAGGTGTCATTCCAAAAGGTAAAAAAATTTACATCAATAATTACATTTGATTATTCATAATGACTATACACTTTGTGTATTTTAATGAAAAAACAGTTATCAAACACTTGATGTTTTTTTTTTTTTTATTTCAGCACCACCAGATGAAGATAGAGAAGAAGAATTTAGAGCACCATTATTTAAGAATGTAGAAATAAATGGGATTACTATTCGAATGAAGTGGTGTGTTACTTGTAAATTTTACAGACCTCCTAGATGTTCACATTGCAGTGTTTGTGATCATTGCATTGAGGTAAATTGAAATCAATTTATAAATTCAACATGACTAATCTAATTTTTCAATCAATTTAATTTTATTTCTCGTTACTTTCAGACATTTGATCATCATTGTCCATGGGTAAACAACTGTATTGGACGAAGGAATTATAGATTTTTCTTTTTTTTTCTATTATCATTAAGTTTCCATATGCTCAGTATATTTGGACTCTGTTTAAATTTTGTTTTGGAGCATAAACAAAAGTTAGGAGGAGTAGACACGACAGTGGCGTATCCTTTATAAAATGTTTACTTTATATTACATTGAAAGGTCTACTAATTATTCATAGAAATGATAAATATAAATGTCCTTAATCTATCAATAGTATGGTGCTTATGGGCGTGGTAACACTACTATTCATTCCGATTATCGGATTGACAGGTTTCCACGTGGTGCTCGTGTCAAGAGGACGGACGACAAATGAACAAGTTACCGGGAAATTTCAAAATGGTTACAATCCATTTTCGCGTGGTTGTTTCCATAATTGCTGTTACACACATTTTGGACCACAATATCCTAGGTAATTATGTCAAGATATTCCAATCTTAAATGGAATCGATGATGAAATAGTAATAACGTATTGCTTCATCTATTTTGATGTATTATATTTCTAATTGTATAATGTTGATACTAATTGAAATATTATTCTTCATAGTTTAATCAAGCCTGAAAAGTATTCAGGAAAGCGACGAGGAGCTTGCACGTCTGAGATTTCGACAATAGGAAGCGAGAACCAGGTAAAAACCTACATGGATAGCAGCAATGGTGTTAGAAATACCAGTTCAAATGCTTACAATAAGGTAAGAGCTAGAGCAACTCTGCTAGAACTTCAATTCACTCAAACAAACAAATAAAAACGTCCTCTTTAAAGCACACACTCTACACTTTTTCTGGATAACGCTTGTATTGCATGAACTAACAATTACAGAGATCAAATGAATTTGATAAGTACTACAATTTAAGTGAGTTAATTAGAACTTTCTTGTTATTTCGTCATATATCCTAGTTGATTTGGAGTTTTAACGCTATGTTAAAATTATAATTGCACGATTTTTTTTGAATGTATTCGAGTTTATGTTGATTGACTAAAAGCAAATAAACAGGCTGCTGAAATATGCAAAGATAGTCGTAGAAATAGCGGTTGAATAAGCTTAATTCAAACACCGGACCTTTTGTATGCAGATCGCGATGTCAAGTGGTGATAGTTACTCTGTGAGTTACTTATCACCTAGCTTTCCTGATAAATACTACTGACTACTGAGTTCTCTTGCATTCTCCAAATTCCGCATTCCTCTACCAACTGCTAATTCTCCCAAGTAATTCAACTCCAATTTAAGTCAAGTATTATCTGATTCAGTGAAATAATTTTAATTTAAGCTTCGTGTTTTAATAGTTGTCACCTGGCCGAGATGGATCGGACACTGACATGGAGCCAACGGCTTCGCAATCAGCAGACTGTGAACCAACACCTCCACTGCAAAGACATGGATCAAAAAGTAATTTCTTCCTGCCACCTGTGGAGACAAGTGATTCTCCCAGGCATCCACAGCCACAACATCGTCATCCCATGCATTATCCACGTGGAAGTCCACATCCCAGGTCAAGGTCATTGAGATAAATATTCTTTTATAAACTAGAATAAGGAGTGTTTCGATTGTAGTAATTTGATTATTTTACAAACTGTATTTGATTAACAGGGGAATGAATGGTTCGCGTAGCCATACTCCGGACGCACTGTCGCCGGAAGAGACCGGATCACCAGCTAGTGAGACGCAAAGGGGTCGGGGTCGGGGTCGGGCTCAAGGTGGCGCAAGTCCGACCATGCAGCAACGTATCAAAGCTATTGGCGTACCCACGCCTCTTGCTATTTCCAGTCCAATTCGCAGGTACGCACATCGCTTCCTTGACAACACGTTCCCATTTATTATCTATTATATATAAATTATATATAATATATACATACAGCCGATAATACTCAATATATCGATATTTATTCAACCGCAAATTCGCTACTGCGGCTGGTAATGATATTACACATATGAGTACACATACACAAAGAGCTATCCGTGACACACTATTGACTGTCACGTAAGATGAATTGATGGCACGTTGGCAGATACTGAGACGACATGGTAACCTATGATTAATGACTTGATACAACAAAAAATTAGAAGAAAAAAACAAATAATCTGTTCTATTTTGTGGCGTCTCAGATTATGTCCACAGTAATTAAAAAAAAATCAGGGTTACGCTGGTAGTATTTTATTTAAAAAAAATTTTAATTTTCAAGCACGATGCGACACTGAATAAAAAGTTTGTATAAATATTACAAAGCAGCTCTAGCACTTTTTATATAATTTTATTTGACATTTTAAGCTCTGGTTTCACCAGATTCTTTTCTTATTTTTAGCGGATATAAAATAAAATCAGATACAACAGCACGTTGTATTATAGTTTAAAAAGAATAATTTAGAAGATAGTTGCACGTAAATAAATATTTAAAAACCATTCAAATTTTCTTAAAATAAGGTATATGGTATATAGATAAGTTTGTGTCCCACTGCAGGGGGTGGTAACTGCAAGGAGCTGCTCTCTGACAACATGTTGCAACCTACTGCAGGTAAACACGAACTTCATCCTACGAGGAAATATCGTAGTGTTAAAAATAAGGCTTTCTTGCATACGTAAAAATAAAGTTATTATTATTTATTATGATTTAACGTTATTATTACTATTATAGTTATTTTTATTGTTCTATTAATGTTATTGTTTCTATCTTACATTTATTTAAAATTTTATGTTTATATTATCATTGTTATTTTTATTACTATTAATAATAATTATTATTATTGTACGCGTATTGTACAATAGGTTCGCTACGTTTGTTACGTTTCCTTCGATAGATGCTAATGTTTTAACAGGAATGACGCGCTGCTCTCTCCTGTATGTCTCGCCAGAGCCGTATTTGTATGGCTACAATGCTGAAGCACTCGCATATTCATATTACATACATACATATTAATTCACTGTATTCGCGCATTGTCGATTAAGCTACGTTTAATTGTTTATTTCTAATAATAATTCAATTAAATGGTTTGTTTCAGATCAAACCCTGGTACACCAACGCAAATACGTCGTCCAGACTTTATTGGTGTTGCTGATGCACCTACGTATTATGATGTGCAACATCATAACAACAGTAATCCAGTAGGAGTGCCAGGTTACAGTCCTCAACGACGCTTCCTGTCTGAAAGTGAACTTATTCGACAAGACAATGAACATCCTTATTCACGTACGAATAATACTGTTGATAATATTAGAGAGTTAGCGGGTTCACCGCAACGTGGTGTTTATATGTGGAAAGATAATTCACCGAGTGGTTATCCAGGACCACCAGGAACTGTAGGCATTCCTACTCATTCTTCGGGATTATCTCAACGTCCACCACCTCCTTATGATTATTATTGTTCAAATCCAACTAGTCCAACACAACAGCCTTACACAAATGCTCCGAGAGCTGCTTATCATCCAGCTAATAGAGGTGGAGTTCCTGTTTTTCCACCTCACCAGTCGCCTCAAGTTAAAAGAAAAGCAACAACAATGGCAACTCCAACTACACCAACATCCAATGATAATCGAAGACGTCCAATGTCTTTCGTACGGGCTCTTGAGATGACTGATTCGATGGAGATGGTTTCTGCATCAAATGACTCAAGATCTCAAAGACCAACGACTCCAACACCGGATCGTGCCAGCGTTTATGATATGAACTATGAAATATCGGTATAGCCCAGCTTTAAAGTCTCCGCAACCAATAGTTGCTCGGGGATTGTGAATTTAACAGCGGGTATTTTTAATACTGCAAAATATAAAAGCAGTCAAGAAGTGTCAGTTTAAACATCAAAATTAAATGAAAAATGAATGTAGGTCTTAAATGTGAGACAAATGTCAAAGGTGCACGCGAGTGATTTCCGACCAAGTGTTCACAATCATGAACATTATTGCCACTGTCGGCTCGCGTTGATAAAATCTTCCCTTTCCCTCCACTATATACAAATTTTTGTCTCCATAAATTACTAATTTCACTGCATTACAATCGATTATAATGTATGAAAAATGTGATTGAAGTTTATTATTCCGATCTTTATCTATTTAATTAGGAGGGAATTTTGAATATAAGGTAGATTAACGTCAAGTTTTACATAAAAACTGGCTTTTCATATGAATTTACAAGGACAATGTAACATTATTAAATAGCCAGTCTATTTTTTCTCGTTTTAATAATTAATATCAAATTGTGAAATCATATTTTACGTGATAAAAGAGCAGAGTGACACTTATTACTGTTAATAGTGAGAAACGTAAGATCTTTCACACCAGTATAAGGACGATAAATAGAATTATTAATAATTGTAAAATATCATCAGAGCGGATGCATTTCTTTGCTCTATTAGATTGCTCTTTCTCTTATGTTATAAGTGCACTTACTCTTTTATCTATTTATCTATCTATCTATCTATTATCATCATCATCATTATCATCATCATCCTGCATGGCAAAAACTCACTCGTTTTTAGTACTTGTTAAGGTCAGTTTAGATTTTTATACAATGTCACCGTGACTTAATTCCACACGCGGCTTACATCGATTGATTTTTTGTTCTGTTTTTGACATAAATTTTTTGTTTCAATCGGAAATTATTGTGTTGTGAATGAATTGTAAATGTATTATATATTTAAAACAGCTGAATAGGGAGAGAAAAAGAAGATTTTACTCATTAATTAATAATTATGAATAATTAATAAAACAAAAACGGATAATAATGTCGTGTTGATAAAAAAAAAGTTTGTGTCCATTAAATGAGGTTACTTAACTAATTTAAGTCATTATCGAGGCTAGATTAACAAATTTCGTGTAAAATAATTATCAAGTGTGTAGTGAAAAATTTCTAACAATATATTTAACAATATTTATACATAAAAAAACAAAAATAATAATAGAAATTTATAATTTTGAGCATTTGTTAATTTGTTAATGAACGATAATTACGCTGATGTGTCCATTACCACACACTTTTATTTTAAATACATTATTAATATAGATAGATTATATATATACATACTACAATATATATATATTTTTTTCATTTTTTTCTGTGTAGATTGTTTATCAAAAATAACAATCAACAGCAAATGTATGGCAAGATTTGAGTGCAATTGTATGTTGAAGTAAGAAAAAAAGTGTGTGAATGTATGAATGAAAGTGACACAAGTTATTCAATTATATGAAAGTACATGTAAAAAAGCGACAATTAAAATCTCTTTGAAGAATAAGATCAGCTGATCTTAAAGAACAAACAAAAACTGAAAACTTTGTTACAAACAAAATAAGAAATATTGTAATATATACATTGCATAAATTAATTGCTAAATGAATTATTGATTGCTATTATTAAACTGCTGATACTTTACCTTTGAATTTATTATTCAGCTTCGCAATTGTTTATTTAGCGTTTCGAAAGACCAACTGTACAATAAGAAAATACTGTAAGCCGCTAAGTGCTGATGACTACTTGTAAGCACTTTTATTGTGTTCGATTATCATCTGGATAATGAATTAATTGATGATGTTTGTAGAGGCGAAAGGACTGTGCACAAACCATGCGATTAAAAAAATACATATCGCTAAATACACAAGATTGCACGATGAAAAAGTAGCTTGAGATTTTCATAAACGTGATTTCGTCCATCGAGTGATGATTCATTTAATCATTTGTAAAGCATTATTAAAATGAACAATATCATCAACTATAAATGCTTGAATTATTCTTCGGACAATGACTTGTGCCAAAGTAGATCCTCGTGAAAAAATTAAACAGAGTGAGTCACAAAAAAAATTGAACTGTTCAATTTTAAAGTCATTTTAGTGTTACAAATAATAGTTAATCTTTATTAATTCTCTACTATGATAACATTGCTAAACATAAGACTATCAGTGGATATTTATTGTTTATATAATTCAGTGTAATTGTACATAATTATCGTTCTCACACATGTAAATGTACATACACAACATATATTTCAGTACCTTACCGATGACTGACGCTGCCGTCATACACAATAAATATTTCAGTCAGTTCAATCACTGATTTTGCTTCATAATATTGTCTCTTATTTTTTATTATTTTTTTATGTTAAATGCTTAAATTTTATTTTTGCTGACTTATTTGATAAGCTTGTCAATGTCCAATTTATTTTGTATTGAACGAACGAGTGCATTATAGAAGAAATTTATGAATGAAATTATATTTTTTTAATTCACTTACATAATTATTATTATTTTTATTTTTGATTTTAGTGAAATCAAAAACAAAAATAAAAATACTTATTGTTTTGTAATATTTCAGGATCAGAAATTTTTAAAAAGAATTATTAGAATTTATACTAATTTATATGAATTAATTACGTATTAATACTTTTTAATGAATGTTGGTAAACGGAAATCATGAAAGAAATTTGTTGTGAAGGTTCAAGAAGAAATTGCAGAAGATCAAATTAAATATAAGACGTTATTTTATAAAATTTAGTAAAACTATTTATTTTTTAAATAAGTTTCCCAAGACATTGAATAATATTGTGATAAAATTGAAACAATTATTTTGTCTTATCAGTAATATATGCTGTAAAATATGAGTATTATAGAAGAATTAACTTAACTTTAAAAAAATTGTTATTGACGTCACGGATTTTATCCTTGAAATACCTTACTTAACAATGTATTTTTTGTTATCTAAAAAAAGAATTCAAGATCATTATGATTAATATGATCGAGAGTTTTCTGATCGTTATTTAGAATAATTTTATTGATTTACAAACATTAATATGTAATAAAATTTATTACAAATTGTTTCAAACAATAAGCGAAACATTTCAAAATATTTGTTTTTTTCATTATTTGGATAATTTGATTTAACTGGTTTGCTTATTCCTCCCCCCACAATTTTAGGTTCAAGCAGAGAGAGAGAGAGGGAGAAGCCGACACGTGAACAGTTGTATTCTAACCTTTTTTGGTTAACGTAATCTATAAAATAATTTATTCTCACATAAATAGTATTTAAATACTACAAAAAAAATATAGATTTTTAAAAGAGACAAACAACTATGGATTCTGATATAAAAAATGATACAAAATGTGAAATGTTTATTTATCTTAAAGACATCGGTTGCTGTTTAAAATGCTGTTTACGTTTATCCGGAATAAAAACAATAGAACTTCTTAATGAATACATCAAAGATTATAAAGTAATGAATTAAAAAATAAATTATTTATAATAACTGATTTTTACAAAATTATATGGTTTTAACACTAATATATGAAATAATACAGTCAAATATATTATACATATTAAAAATAAATGTATAAATTTCAGGTAAAATGTGTTCCAGATAATATTGGAGTATTTGATGAAAAGAACTCATGTATAGCCTGCTTAGGAATAATGTATGATGAAATTCAAGACAGTGTAGTAGATCAAGTAACTACTTCAATTATAAATTTATCATAATTGCTCTTCTACAGTATGAAATTATTCCAAGGATTTCTTGTAACCTATGGAACTGAATCATTGAACTGAAATTAAATGATTACATTGTTACAGATAGCTAAAGAAGTGATCTCTAATGGATATGATGCTTCTATATTTAGCGGTAATCTCACAGTCCCCATGTCTCTAATGTTGAGAGAAAAATCTATTGATGAAGCATTAACCCAGAAATTTTCATTGACTGAGTCTCAATGGAATAGTTTTAAATATAAGACACATTATATTAAAGATGCCTGGAAAACGGACATTTTACCACGTGTTGAAAAGAAAATTTCAAAAAAATCTACGCCGTTATCGAATGTACCTTACCTTATGATTATGATTTCATTTTCTTATTCTCATGATGATGATGACTGCAAAAAATTGTAAGAGTTTAAATATTTAATTACATTTATGTTATAATAAACTTTTTCAAAACAATTATTTATAATATTTTTTTATTGAAGGTTAAAAGGTAAAATAAGCGATTTCAGTCGAAACAAAATTGAACAGATATTGTCTGATAATGAATTAAAGGAATGTCTGCTAATACCACCTCCAAAGCCATCAACAAGTGTACTAATCGATAAAATATATTGCTCACATGGAAGTATTTTTATTGGAGGTCTGTATTATTATATTTTCACTTCAATAATATTTAAGAAATTCTGACAACATTAATTAAGGAATATGTTCTTTTTATAGGACGATATTCTAAACTATCAAGACAGCTGAGTCAAACTCCGTGGTTCATTAATGGAGAAAAAAAAATGGAAACATCTGTTCAAGATTTATTATCGGATATAATTGTAAATTATACTAAAGCTGATGGTAGGTATTTATTAGGAAAAAAATGTATGCCATCGTATGGTATCATCTTTGACTGAACAAGAATATATTTATTTATTCTCATTTTCTAGCTATAAAATTTTTGTCTTCTGGAAGAGAAGACGTTGATGTGAGAACAATTAATTTAGGAAGACCGTTTGCTATTGAACTTATAAATCCTAAAATCACGAAAGCATTATCTGGAAAGCTGAAGGAAATGGTAGATGAAATAAATGCCTCCACCAAACTCATTCGAATTACCTCAGAAATGAAAATTCTCTCTCCGTATGTACCTACAATTGTTGATAAAATATTTTCTGTTATATATTTCAAGTTACTTTCATACATTAATTTTATAGATTGGATTTGAAGAAGTTAAAAGAAGGTGAAAACGAAAAAACAAAATTTTATCGAGCTTTGTGTATAGTGAAAGATGAATCATGTAATTCATTAGATCTCGATAGTTTACAGAATATAAAAAATTTAGAAATAGTACAAAAAACTCCTCTCAGAGTATTACACAGAAGACCATTCACACCACGTATTCGAGTAATTCATGCTATGCGTGGACGTTGGTTAACAAGTGACGAAAAACTGAAAGTAAAGAAACGATATACTAATACAAATGTTGATCAATGTTTATTAGATAAATTATTTATTATTGATGTAAAAACTCAAGCAGGAACTTATGTTAAAGAGTTTGTTCATGGTGATTTTAATAGAACAAAACCAAGTCTTTGTGATGTTCTTGGGGTAGAAGTTGACATTGTTGCTTTGGATGTTACTGGCATCAATATACATTGGCCATGAGTTGAACTCGTGTCAGATATAAAGACTATATTTTTATGTACAATTAAACACAATAAAACAATTAAAATTTATTTGTAAAATGTAAAAATATTGACATAAATAATATTGATTTTTTTAATGAATAAAAATTTTTGTATCACAGTAAAATTCTTATTCATTCAGAACACTGTTATAGGATAAAGTCATTGTATACTTTAATGAATAATTATAATATTTTTATACAAATTTTCATAGATTTATAATAATAAATTTATTATTTTTTATTCAAAAATTATGAAATAACTAAAAATAATTTATATAAAATCATTTGTTATAAGCATTTATTTTATAATTATATAAAAATATAATTAAAGTGTTTTCTTGAAATCTTGTAAACAATCTAAAATACTAATGAAACAAATTTTTATATTATGAATTAAATGCTAAATAAGGCGAAATAACTGAACCGTCTGTTTACTAAGCCGGATTATAACAGGATCTACAAGTACGTACCTATATGTCTGTACAAGGATCTTACCGCGAGAGGCCCACAAGTGTCATACTACTTGGTGGTATTATATGTCCAATTAGAAAAATTCCAATCGGGCCCCAAGGCTACACATCATCCGGTCTCATCAGTTCTCGGCATATATACTTTATTATTTAACTATTGCTAAATCGGTTTATTCACCAGTTATGTGAGAGTGCTGTTATTTATTATAATCATTCTTATTATTATTTATTTATTATTAACTCACACGTGTAGTAATGTATGCGGTTGAATATTGAATTATAGTTTCTGCAGCATCACTACAGTCTCGTTCAACACAATTTAAGTCCCACAATAAAACAAATTTGAGCCCCATTGCAAAACTATAGTTTTAGCACCCTAAGAATACGTATTCTTCCGACAAAAATCCTTTTTCTTACAAGAGGAATACGCGTCAGAATAAAACATTCCTAGAATAGTCTTTTTTGGCAGTAATTAAACTTTGTTTTCAGTGAAGAAATCAATAAGTCGATCAATACTTTTATCTGATAATTTGTGAGTATAATTATTAATTATAAATTATGATGATATTGATAATAATAATATTATATTGTTAATGAGCTTTTGAATTACAGAAAAATGTCAGAAAATTGGAAAACAGTATTTGTAACTGGTGGTGCTGGGTATATAGCTAGTCACACAATTGTTGAACTTTTGGAACATGATTATGAAGTAGTAGCAATTGATAATTTCACCAATAGTGTTTCTGCTGTCAATGGAGAATCAATAGCTCTTCAGAGAGTTGAAGAAATTACGAAAAAGAAAATCCATTTTTATCAATGTGATCTAACTGATCTTGAGAAGCTTAGAGAAGTTTTCAATAAGGTACCTCTAATTTGTAAATTAACATTTAATTTTTACAAATCGACAATTAATTTATTCTTTTTTTTTTTAATTATTTGTGCAGCATAAAGTAGATTGTGTGATTCACTTTGCGGCAATTAAAGCAGTTGGAGAGTCAATGCAAGTTCCATTGCATTACTATCGAAATAATGTAATTGGAGCTATTAATTTACTTGAGGTATGTACACTGAAAAAAAAGTTTAATTATTGCAGAAAAAAAATGTTTTATTATGACGCGTATTCCTCTCGTAAGAATACGTATTTTTAGGGGGCTAAAACTATAGTTTTGCCGTGGGGTTCACATCAAATACATCATTTTCGTTGAAAAAAAAATCAGATTTAATCACATTAATACAAATAGATGATTTAAAAATAGCATCTTAAGTTTTTTGGGTTAGCGTACTGGTGAATATGCAAGTCTACGGTTACGAGGGTTCCATGATCGAGTCTACCTAAGTTTTTCATTATTTTTCCTCAAAAATTATTTTCAGTACAGAAACTGAATTATAATCATGACATTAAAATATTTATTCAGTAATAAGATTTGAATCCGATAAAATTTTTATTTTAATTAACATTGTCTTCTAAATTTATCTCTGAGCAGATCTGAAATGAAGTAATCAGAAAAATGAATTCAGAGTTCAGGTCTGATCAGATCAGTATTATGAGACTGTTCATATCTGAAAATTTAAAAAAAGAAATTCAGATCTGAACTCATTTTTCACTGGATGATTCTATGTTAATCTTTAAATTTTATCATCATATTGAAATGTATTCATATTCTTGTTCATAGGTAATGAAAGCTGCAAAATGCTATCAATTAATCTTCTCCAGCTCCTGTACTGTTTATGGAGAACCTGATTATTTACCAATTACTGAAGATCATCCAATTGGGAATATTACAAATGTTTATGGACGTACAAAATACTTTATTGAAGAAATGCTCAAAGATATTTCCAGAGCTGAAAAGGTAAATTATTGTACAATAAATGCTCATTAATTTTTTTTAATGATCCAATATCATTGCTTTTAATAATTTATTACAGATTTGGAATATCATATCATTACGATACTTTAATCCAGTTGGAGCTCATCCTAGTGGTATGATAGGTGAGGATCCAACTAAACCTTATACAAATTTGATGCCTTTTATTGCTCAAGTTGCACTTCGACGTAAACCAGAATTAGTAATATTTGGTGGTGATTATCCAACAAAAGATGGCACAGGTTAATATCGAAATTAATTATCCTTTTATTACAACATTACAGTTATTATACTTAAATTTAATTTAATTTTAGGAATTCGTGATTATGTTCATGTAATGGATCTAGCTAGTGGACATGTTGCTGCTTTAAGAGCTTTACAAAAAAGTCATCTGAGACTCAAAGTTTACAATTTAGGAACGGGCAAAGGTGTTTCTGTTCTAGAATTAGTTAAAACATTTGAGAAAGTTACGAATACAAAAATTCCTTATGTCATTAAAGAACGTAGAGAAGGAGATATAGTTTCTATGTATGCAAATGCGGATTTAGCTAAAAATGAACTTGGTTGGATAACGAAATTTAGTGTTGAGCAAATGTGTGAAGATTTTTGGAGGTGGCAAATTATGAATCCTAATGGCTATCGTCATGTACGTAATGGCAACTCTAAACATGATTAATGAAAACTGTCCATTAAGCCTTTAGAAAAATGATTTAATTATGCTAAATTTATTATATTACAAATAAGTCTTATACTTAAATAATGATAGAAAAAATAATTATACTATTCGCTAATGATTCCTTGGACTAGAATTCGTAAAAGATCTTTTTGATCAGCATCAATAAACTGCCATAGTTCACTTTCTAAATTTAATATAGCTTGTTCATCTCGTGATTGACAAACTAATACAAGAGACTGTAATAGAAGATATTCATTTTCATTAAGATATGTATCTGAAAAAAAAACAATTATTTTTTAATACTATTAATTTTACAAAAAATTATCTTTTATATCTTTAAATAGTTAAACTTTTTTTAACGTAATTTTGGCCAGTATATTCACAATAAATAATGGTTTAAATGTACTTGAATATACTACCTCACTGTGAGTTTGTTAAAATATTGTGTCTGCACATAAGAATAAAGTATGATTATTCATAATAAAATCACAATTCATACTTACTGGTACCCGAATTATCATCTATTGATTTATATTTTGATATCATTTCAAAGTAATTTGATGGAAGGCGATGAATTGTAGGTTGTAAAGTTAATAACAATAATACTTTATTGATTTCTGCTTTTCGAAGTAAATTACGATAATAGTCTGTTGAAACACAAATTGTCTCAATTAATTCCATTAATTCAATAACCGTATTTAATGCCGTTATATAATCTCCTGAAAATAGACATTCATAGAAATTATTGTAATTTTTTTAATTGTTAATCAATTAGTTCATATTAAATATTTATTAATAATACCTTGTTTGATATAAAAAGAAATAAGTGTATCAATTGCTCGTACAGTTGAAAAAATATTAATTGATTTTTTCAATAAATAACAACCAGCAGAAGTAGAACCTAAGGATATTGCCAAATGAAATATAGATCCAGCAACGTTGACATCAAACTTTTGTTCATCTTGAAGCTGTTTAGAAACAGATATCAAACTATTACATGCTGCTTCGATATTTTCGGAGCCAATTGATGGACAACCAAATTTATTATTTTGTTTATGAGCACGAAGAAAAAATTTTCCGGCTCGAAGTGAATAAATTATTGCTGTTCCAGTGTTTCCTAGCTGATGATAACATCGTGATATTGCTAAGTAACATAGAGCTGCATATTGCCAGGCTTTTTTTTGTTCACACTCAATAGACAATGAAACTTAAAAATAAAAAATGATATATTTTAGAAAACAATATTCATTCAGCCAATGTAAATTCATTTAATTAAACTTACTAAACTGTTCACAGGCTTCATTAACATTTGGATTTCGCATAAAACGTCTGAAAAAATTAATTGTTAAATGATAATACAGTTGATAGAAATTGAAAATATGAATAAACATTCTTACTTTTTTAGTTTACTGTTTATATTGTGATATTTAACTAGAAACTCATGTTCTCTGTTGTCCAACATTAGATTGGCATGCACGTTTGAATCCATGATTCACTTCGTTTATCAATCAATTAATTAATTTTAAAATTAATACTTTAATTATAATCATTATAAAACTAACTGTAATTAAATTAATAAGAAATTACGTTTAGAATAGTATGTAAATCATTACGAAATAAACATGAAACTGCCATTATGGTATTTAATTCATATCAATAAAATGTAATGTCGGTGGATTGCCTACAGTTGCACAGGTAGATGTTAAATATAAAGATAAAATAAGTTACTAACACAAGAAAAAAAAATTTCTGAGAGAAATTCATACGTAAAACCATTAGCGTTGTATATCTCTGTATATTTTGGAGATGTGTCGTGTTGTCATGATTGAATATTCTGATTGTTGTCATTTCATTCTCGTTTAATGTCTTGAAAAACATTACATCAGCTATTAGAATATTGTCTAAAAAGATTGTTTATCTTTAAAATATTACAAGAAAATCCATGATTCTGCTGTCATGTAGTCTGTAGTAAATGAGCGATGTTTATACATGATCCAAAAATTTTTGAAGGTATAACATATTTTTATACTTCAGTTATTTGTTATTAAATAACAGTTACATTGTATTGTCGTCTATGAGTTATTAATGCAATAATCAATACCTTTCTTTTAGCTATTATTTTATTAGATTAATCACTGAAGTTAATGACAATATTTTTGGTTAAATCATCCAAAATATGCACATGATGTTTTCATCAAAACAATAATGAACGATTTAATTGAAAAACATGAACAGTAAGAACATCGTAAATCTTCGAAAATATTTTTTTAGCTTAAGAGTCCAAAGTTTTTTCTACACAGAATATTAATATATGTGTGTGATTATTGACTTTTCATCATTCACTAAAAAATGATTATGAAATTTTGAAGGACATACATTTATTTATTGATAAATAAAATATCCAAATTATTATTTACCTGAAAAACAATTAAAAAAATAATTTATTTCATTGTTGATAATTATTTGCACAAAAATAAAAATGAGCAAACGATCAAAAGCCAAAAAGAAGCAAGCTTTGAGTGTTTCAAAAGATGAATCAGGTATGTGGAATTAATTTTATTAATGTACAATAAGTAAATAAGAAATTGTCTAACAATGAATACTTGTAGGCATGGAGTATCCACTAGATATTTGGTTTCTTATTTCTGAATATATTCAACCAGAAGCAGTTGGAAAATTCGCAAGTATTTGCAAAAGCTCATATTATGTAGTACAAACTGGTAAATTTTGGTTTTCTCTGTACAAACGGTATTGTATTTTTCTTACTTTTCTACAAATTTTCAATATGCTTTCATTATTATTTTTAAATCTATAAATTATTTTATTCTCAGATTTTACAAACCAGTACCTAATTTACCAGAAAAATTGAAGCCTGAATTTATGGTCCAATTATGTGGCTTGCGAGCCTACGTTATACGAACATTACATTACACATATTTTTCGTCCTTGAAGAAAGTAAACAGGCCTTATTTAGATCAGGATCAACCCCATACTCTTGTAAAAAGGCGGTGTAATTTAATGTGGCATAAGGTTATAAAAATAATGTTATTTTTTAATATTCTAATCGTTTAAAGATTTACGTAGCTATAACTAATGTGGAAAAATTCATTTAGAGTATTGAGAATCGATGGTATTTTTATTTTAAACTTGAAGAAGTGACTGATCGACGTAGTTATTCAAGAATAGAAAATATAAATAGTTGGGACTGTGATATCGTATCTGATGATAATTATTCGTTTGATGATGTTTGGAAAAATCCGGAAGAAAACTGTCGAATTTTAAGAGTGAGTTATTAGAAAATTCTAAATAATATTCTAAAGAATAGTAGCATTAAATTTTCAAAAAAATCTAATTCTAATATATTCATTAGGTCACTTGTATTAATTACGCAATGATTCCACTTGTGGCTGGATTAATTCTTCAATCGGTAAAAGTAGATCTATCACCAGGATTTAAATACCATCGAATCACTTTAAACTTTGGAAGTACTTATATACCAAAAACACCAACTCATACAATAACTCTTAGCCAAGTGGTTGATTATAAAGTTTTAGATTGGTGGAATCCATGCTATCCACATCAAGACAAGATAGATTTCTTCATGCCATTTACTGAATCATGGGATTCATAAAGTATCAAAGCTTATCTTTATTCAAATCAAGTAAATAATTTTACAGAGTCCTCCATTTTTATTAAAAGTGTTTGCAAATAGTTATTGTTTATTCAGAGTTCATTGTCATTTATTGCAAAAAATAAAACTGATTTATTTTGATACACAGGATTATGACTTTTATTTCAAATATAAAGTAAGCATACTTTGTTTAGAAGAATTAATATTATTCTAATGTTATTCTAAAAGAATTTTATAAATAAATTTATTGGAAAAATGTTATAAGTCAACTAATCTAGGTAATAGTATGATAATCATACCTTTTTTCTGTTATAGTGTGTTATCAGTAGCTTTTTTGTACTATTTTATTTACATATTTTACCCAACTTATAATGACTTTGCATTACTTACCGAATATTTAACTGACTCACTGTCCATTCTACCCTTCGCTGTTATTATCCACTGATTGTAATCTACCAGAATATCGAATAAAAATAATTGGTACTTTGCATTGAAAGTAGAGAGGGGTAGCCAAGCACAGAGAACAGCACAATCAAAATGAATACAGGAATGTTGTTTGGACTTGGCGAAATGTAAAGCCACCAAATATAAAATAATAACAAATTGGTAAATGTTTTAAATATTTGTTAATATTGTGGGCAAAGGATTGATGAGTTGAAATAACTTTCATCGTTTGAATATAGTTTTTGTTTGTATATTCCAACAGTTAATATTAATCACAGACAAAAAAATGGAAAAACTAATTTTTAGTAATATAATAATCAATTATTTGATGTTGAATGTAGAGATGGACAAATTTAACTGTCTATGTTATTTAGCTTTTTTGTCATATTCAATTTTATATAAATTGAAAGAATATCAACTGATTTATGGCAATGATTGATTATTTTTTTAATGAGGGAAAATTGATCAATATTCTAATGTTTATGACTAAATAATTATGAATAATGATTTAGATAGGATGCTGATTCTTATTCATGTCAGATGTTTGTTTAGACAACAACTAGATAAATATAAAAAAATGGTCAATCAAAGTTTCATCGTCATATTATACATGTAAAATATGGATAAGCATTATAAAGTCAAGTATCCTAATTTGTCGAAAATATCAGTGATAAACTGCGGCTTTGAACATGATAGATCATAAAGTAGACTGAAGAATCCCTAATTGAATTGAAAGAAGACTGTGACTGTCTTTAAAATATTTCCACAAGTAACGGATAGCACACGCAATATCTTTCTAGCTTTAAAAAAAGCTAGGATGGGAAATTAAACCATCATATGAGATGAGATGATTATCATAAGCATATTGTGCTTAAATAACTATTGTGTGTAACAGAAAAAACCAGACATTTTATTAAAATCATACGCGAATCGTACTGTAATGAGTAATGGCTTTGCTTTGAATATTTTTTAATGATTTTAAATTGTAATCCATCACTCACTTATTGCATTCTACATGCTCTTTTATGTGCAGATTATACACCACTGGTCTCTCTATTACTTTATGATTACTCGGTTTAACATAGCGGGTGCAAAAGAGGGAGAAAATCAGTTAGTCATCTATATTAGTTTCAAATAGAGATCTTTAATTAAAATGAGATATTTAAAAATAAAAGGAAGGTTCATGAATAGACGCATTAACATTTAAATATACCAATTCTCAAGTTTTAATTATGATATTGATATGAATCCAATGGAATTGAAATTTTTATTCACGGTATTAGTTATTAAGCTTATTTGTAGAGTTTTTATTTTTAATGAAGGTTTTATACTTCAATTAAAGTGCACCATCTTGTCATGTAAATCGTTATAGAGTAGGTTCCCTTGTATGTATTTATGCTGAAGATTAAAAACTTGGTGTCAATTTCAGTGATATGTATGTGAAATTTATGATATCTTATGTACGTGCTACATGTGCCAGTCAGAGGAATGGTAGGAACGTCAAACTTAGGTGAAAGCGAGGGCATTAAAAGTGGCATGATAATTATGACAGGTTTGTTACGAAATACGTCATTCGAAACATGAAGTGTTAATGAATAAACACCCTGAGCTAAGGGGTGACTGGTACTGAGTTTACTAGTAATCTTCATTATTTGAATTTGTGTTTTATTAATATACTACCTATTTGCAATTAGTATTGTTTTAAAAATTCAATGATTAATAGACGAGTGATGAAAAAAAAATTTTTCACTTGAATGCAAGACTTTTTACTTTTTTCTGTAATTCTTTAAATCAAAAAAAATTTTTAGTATTTATAGAATTTTTAAAGAATATCAATTGGTTATTAAAAAATTATTTATACCATCATTACAGTTTTTAATTATTTAATGATAAATAACTACCTGAAATCAAAGTCAAAATAAGCAAAGTTTTTCAAGTTAATTAAATTATTTTTGTGATTATTTAGTAAAATCATTTATTGATTTTTAGTAAATATTTATGAGGGGCTCAAGTTCACTCCAAAAATGGCTTCTAAATAGTTTGGAGCAGATTAGTTTTAGAGTTCCACTTATCAATAGTTACTGATATAAAATTATCAGTAATATATTATTGTTTTTGTTTTAAATTAAAGGTCAATTGTTTTAAAGATATCAAAATTAATTAAAGTAAAGTTTTAAGGTACATTTTACTCAGACTCAATCTTCTTAAATCCGTCGGACAGAATTTGTTCAAATTTTATATCACATAGAATTCAACTTCTTCTTTATAGAAGCAATAAAAGCACCCATCAAAATCTGTACAATAAAAATAAAATATAAACTGCATTTTTTTTAATTAAAAATAAACAAAAGACAATGAAAAAAATATTAGAAGGATTTTTTACGCTTTTTAATGATGTAATCTTGATGTGGGATACTGACCTGAAGAAGCTCTCTCAAGCGAATAAAACGATGGAGCTTTAAATTATTTTTTTTTTTTTTAAATGATGACCTGATTTATGTCTAAGATTATAGCTAGTCGGATTTATACCTTTTTCAGGAGAAAAAAAGATCACTTCACACTTTTGTTCACGAAAAGCAATGACTAAAAATCAACAATTCGTATTATGAATATATTTTACATCTCAGAAAGAAACAAAATTGATTACCATTTTCATAAATATAATGAAAAAGTCAGAAATGGGAAAAAGTGTAAGAAAAATGCAATAACAAAAAAATAATATAGCCAGTTTTTTTTTGACTCAGGAAAAGCTTGGCAGCTCAGTGATTGATCGTTTTGGACGACTGTCGCCATTTCCATTCCTAATGTTATACTAATACTATTATATAGATGCAAGTATTATTTGACAATAATAATACTATTTATCAGAAAATTAATACATAAAAAAAATATAAGAAAGAGTCAGTTAAATAAACTTATTAATATCGTATTGACAGCTGTGCTTGTCCACACTGCTTCTTTTTAATTATAGAAAAAATTTCCTTCGTTGCTAAATTGACATTGTGAAGAAGTGAAGAACGTTACACACAGTAAGAGCGTGTTAATGGATACTGACATGCAGTTTTGATGGATCGGCCTAGAACTTTATACTTTCCATTCCCGCATTCCTGGCAAACAAATTGTGCATATATAGTTATATGTGCCCATGTATTTATATTCCAATGTATTGTACATATATGTCTGTATATATACTCATATATATGTGTTGATTTTCATACCCATTATTATTTTCTTCTATTATGTGAATAATATGGATACCAGAAAAATTAAAACGTTTGGAACATTGAATGCAAACGTCGCGTTTATGAATTGAAGTCTCCGAAGTTGAAAGCTCTAGAAGCATATTATATAATATTAAATGACAACGACTTATGAATTTTATACTTAAAAAAGTGTAAATTAAATACCGAAGTTATCAAAAGGGTTTTTTTTTCATACAGAATACTTACAAAAGAATTTTTTTCGGCTCCATTGTTTGGTTAGGTGAAGTGGAAGTTTTGAAGTCAAAAAATAACCTCAAAATTATGTTGAATTAGATCATTGTTCAGCATCATATGTATTCTTTTTAATGACAATATTTAAGGTATTCAAGGCATACTGGTTGTATTTAAATACTGGTACCACATCAAAGTATTGGGATACCATGGGTGGTATTTATGATAGCTGGAACGAGACATTTTGTATGCAGTTGAATGCATATGTTGCATTGTACGTGAATGTCACGTATACACATGGAGATATGTATTAGTTGATCTCGGTCCCATGACAGTTGCTGTATTGGTCGAAGGACGTGTTGTCCAAACTTGATGTATCTGTCCCTAAGGAACGGATTTCTGTTGCAACTAAAAGCCTCGAGCTAAACTAAACTACAAAACTTTATTGACAAGTTGTTTCATTCTATTCCAACGCTATTTCACCTTTACTTTTTTCTACATAGCTCGAGGTATATGGATGTATATAAAATGTCCAAAACCTCACCAATGGATACAACATAGACGATATGGCGGGTTGTAAGGCGAAATTACACTTCAACCAGTGGAAATTAAATTAAAAGTTTTAAAAAATTATCCAGCTCACATTTTTACGTACTAATAAACGAGCTTTGAGTACCAACTACAACACTTTGTCCAGTAAAATTGAATAAAAAATTAGCAAAGTGAAATTGGTGAATTAATTAAAATTATTTATATTTTACTTACATTGTGATAATTGGTCTGCAATGAGAACCAAAGAAAATTTCGGCTATCTTTTTTTAAAAAAAGTAAATGATTATCAGTCGAGGAAAATGGCTTATGTGAAAAAGATACATATAATTTTTATATAAATTTACAATGAAACGTTAATGAAGAATTTTATATCCATATTATTATGAAAAAAGGTTTTGAGATGATTAAAACTATCACCAAAAAATCATCCACAATGTTTAAAGTAATAATAAAATTGCCACAAACTTGGAACAGGAAAGTCATTTAATTATTTCAATAAATTAAGATTATTTATATTTATTAAAAACGAGGACATTCATTTTGAAGGCAATATATTCAACTTAATGTTGGATTAATTGAAAATTAAAAGAAGAAATTTCTGTCATTGATTTCATTGTTTGTGATGTGAGCAAGAGCATCAAAATCACTAAAGAAACAATTCGTTCAAGACGATCAGTCTAATGGTGGTAATTATCTGCATTAAATTAGGAA